ATTAAGCAAGTGGAAGCTCCTGACTTGTTTGAATGGGATCACGGAATAGCTCTGCATGCACTGCAGGAGAATTGGACCTCATGTCACCTCTAGGGGAAGTCTCATGGTTTTTCTCGATTTGCGCCGGGGACCTGGGGTACGTTCTCGACTTACGGCGGGGATGGCCCTTCAAAACACGAGTTTCTTCAGTGACGTCAGGACTCCTGTCTAGTAACGAGGGACACCTCAGGAATCTCTTCGAGGCTTGGCAGGGCAAAAGGGACGCTTCTCGAGGTGAGGCAGGGCACCCAAGGAACCTTTCCACTAGCCACAGGGATTTTGGATTCCTATCACTATTCAAGAGGAGTCAGGCATCGTCACCTTTTGAAGCAATGAACACCGCGTGCCTCTCGAGGAGTCAGCGGGATTTGAGGCATTCCGTCAAAATGAGGCAGGGACATAGGGCTTTCTCTAAGGTCTCCACAGGGGATTCAGACATCCCTTCATGTTGTAAGATGAAAGACGAGCCTGTATTCAAGCCACTACAAGGAAATCCGGCCTCCTTTCAAGTTAGGGCTTCTCGCTCTATATTCCCCTTGAGGCAGCAAACTCGGGGTCCCTCCCTCATACCTATTGCTGAGAGAAGCCTCCTCCTGAGGTGCTTCCGGAAAGTTGGCATACGTCTTGAGCCTAAGCCAGGGAATCAGCTCTCATCTCGAGATGATTTGGGGTACACGGAGCATTCCTCGAGTTGCTGTGCTGAAGTTGGTGTTCCTCTAGTCTTGGGACAGTGTTCTCGGGGCATCTCTGGAGTATCCTGAATGAAGTCGAGCCACCGCTCGTGTTGAATGGGGAACGGGGAATGGCTCTGGAGTCAATGCAGGGGAATCGGGCCTCATCTCGAGTTGATTTGGGGCACATGGAGCTGCTTTGCGTTGATGGGGTGACCTCAGGGTCCGTCTAGACTGGTGACAGTGATCTTGGGGACTGTCTCGTGATCCATTAAGCAAGTCGAAGCTCCTGACTTGTTTGAATGGGATCACGGAATAGCTCTGCATGCACTGCAGGGGAATGGGGTCTCATCTCGCCTCTAGGGGGAAGTCTCATGGTTTTTCTCGAGTTCAGGCGGGGACCTGGGGTATGTTCTCGACTTACTGCGGAGATGCCCCTTCAAAACACGAGTTTCTTCAGTGACGTCAGGACTCATGTCTAGTAAGTTAGGGACACCTCAGGAATCGCTTCGAGGCTTGGCAGGGCAAAAGGGACGCTTCTCGAGGTGAGGCAGGGCACCCAAGGACCCTTTCCAGTAGCCACAGGGATTTTGGATTCCTATCAGTATTCAAGAGGAGTCAGGCATCGTCACCTTTTGAAGCAATGAACTCCGCGTGCCTCTCGAGGTGTCAGCGGGATGTGAGGCATTCCGTCAAAATGAGGCAGGGACCTAGGGCTTTCTCTAAGGTCTCCACAGGGGATTCAGCCATCCCTTCATGTTGTGAGATGAAAGACGAGCCTGTATTCAAGCCACTACAAGGAAATCCGGCCTCCTTTCAAGTTAGGGCTTCTCGCTCTTTATTCCCCTTGATGCAGCAAACTCGGGGTCCCTCCCTCATACCTATTGCTGAGAGAAGCCTCCTCCTGAGGTGCTTCTGGAAAGTTGGCATACGTCTTGAGCCTAAGCCAGGGAATCAGCTCTCATCTCGAGATGATTTGGGGTACACGGAGCATTCCTCGAGTTGCTGTGCTGAAGTTTGTGTTCCTCTAGACTTGGGAGAGTGTTCTCGGGGCATCTCTGGAGTTTCCTGAATGAAGTCGAGCCACCGGTCGTGTTGAATGGGGAACGGGGAATGGCTCTGGAGTCAATGCAGGGGAATCGGGCCTCATCTCGAGTTGATTTGGGGCACATGGAGCTGCTTTGCGTTGATGGGGTGACCTCAGGTTCCGTCTAGACTGGTGACAGTGTTCTTGGGGACTCTTTCGTGATCCATTAAGCAAGTCGAAGCTCCTGACTTGTTTGAATGGGATCACGGCATAGCTCTGCATGCACTGCAGGGGAATGGGGTCTCATCTCGCCTCTAGGGGGAAGTCTCATGGTTTTTCTCGAGTTGGGCGGGGACCTGGGGTATGTTCTCGACTTACGGAGGGCATGGCCCTTCAAAACACGAGTTTCTTCAGTGACGTCAGGACTCCTGTCTAGTAACGAGGGACACCACAGGAACCTCTTCGAGGTTTGGCAGGGCAAAAGGGACGCTTCTCGAGGTGAGGCAGGGCACCCAAGGACCCTTTCCAGTAGCCACAGTGATTTTGGGATTCCTATCAGTATTCAAGAGGAGGCAGGCGTCATCACCTTTTGAAGAAATGAACTCCGCCTAACTCTCGAGGAGTCAGCAGGATGTGAAGCATTCCGTCAAAATGAGGCAGGGACCTAGGGCTTTCTCTAAGGTCTCCACAGGGGATTCAGACATCCCTTCATGTTGTGAGATGAAAGACGAGCCTGTATTCAAGCCACTACAAGGAAATCCGGCCTCCTTTCAAGTTAGGGCTTCTCGCTCTATATTCCCCTTGAGGCAGCAAACTCGGGGTCCCTCCCTCATACCTATTGCTGAGAGAAGCCTCCTCCTGAGGTGCTTCCGGAAAGTTGGCATACGTCTTGAGCCTAAGCCAGGGAATCAGCTCTCATCTCGAGATGATTTGGAGTACACGGAGCATTCCTCGAGTTGCTGTGCTGAAGTTGGTGTTCCTCTAGTCTTGGGACAGTGTTCTCGGGGCATCTCTGGAGTTTCCTGAATGAAGTTGAGCCACCGCTCGTGTTGAATGGGGAACGGGGAATGGCTCTGGAGTCAATGCAGGGGAATCAGGCCTCATCTCGAGTTGATTTGGGGCACATGGAGCTGCTTTGCGTTGATGGGGTGACCTCAGAGTCCGTCTAGACTGGTGACAGTGTTCTTGGGGACTGTCTCGTGATCCATTAAGCAAGTCGAAGCTCCTGACTTGTTTGAATGGGATCACGGAATAGCTCTGCATGCACTGCAGGGGAATGGCGTCTCATCTCGCCTCTAGGGGGAAGTCTCATGGTTTTTCTCGAGTTGAGGCGGGGACCTGGGGTATGTTCTCGACTTACGGAGGGGATGGCCCTTCAAAACACGAGTTTCTTCAGTGACGTCAGGACTCCTGTCTAGTAAGTGAGGGACAGCTCAGGAATCGCTTCGAGGCTTGGCAGGGCAAAAGGGACGCTTCTCGAGGTGAGGCAGGGCACCCAAGGACCCTTTCCAGTAGCCACAGGGATTTTGGGATTCCTATCAGTATTCAAGAGGAGTCAGGCGTCATCACCTTTTGAAGAAATGAACTCCGCCTAACTCTCGAGGAGTCACCGGGATGTGAAGCATTCCGTCAAAATGAGGCAGGGACCTAGGGCTTTCTCTGAGGTCTCCACAGGGGATTCAGACATCCCTTCATGTTGTGAGATGAAAGACGAGCCTGTATTCAAGCCACTGCAAGGAAATCCGGCCTCCTTTCAAGTTAGGGCTTCTCGCTGTATATTCCCGTTGAGGCAGCAAACTCGGGGTCCCTCCCTCATACCTATTGCTGAGAGAAGCCTCCTCCTGAGGTGCTTCCGGAAAGTTGGCATACATCTTGATCTTAAACCAGGGAATCAGCTCTCATCTCGAGACGATTTGGGGTACACGGAGCATTCCTCGAGTTGCTGTGCTGAAGTTGGTGTTCCTCTAGTCTTGGGACAGTGTTCTCGGGGCATCTCTGGAGTTGCCTGAAGGAAGTCGAGCCACCGGTCGTGTTGAAGGGAACTTGGAATGGCTCTGGAGTCAATGCAGGGGAATCGGGCCTCATCTCGAGGTGATTTGGGGCACATGGAGCTGCTTTGCGTTGCTGGGGGTACCTCAGGGTCCGTCTAGACTGGTGACAGTGTTCTTGGGGACTGTCTCGAGATCCATTAAGCAAGTCGAAGCTCCTGACTTGTTTGAATGGGATCACGGAATAGCTCTGCATGCACTGCAGGGGAATGGGGCCTCATGTCGCCTCTAGGGGGAAGTCTCATGGTTTTTCTCGAGTTGCGGCGGGGACCTGGGGTATGTTCTCGACTTACGGCGGGGATGGCCCTTCAAAACACAAGTTTCTTCAGTGACGTCAGTACTCCTGTCTAGTAACGAGGGACACCTCAGGAATCTCTTCGAGGCTTGGCAGGGCAAAAGGGACGCTTCTCGAGGTGAGGCAGGGCACCCAAGGACCCTTTCCAGTAGCCACAGGGATTTTGGATTCCTATCAGCATTCAAGAGGAGTCAGGCATCGTCACCTTTTGAAGCAATGAACTCTGCGTGCCTCTCGAGGTGTCAGCGGGATGTGAGGCATTCCGTCAAAATGAGGCAGGGACCTAGGGCTTTCTCTAAGGTCTCCACAGGGGATTCAGACATCCGTTCATGTTGTGAGATGAAAGAAGAGCCTGTGTTCAAGCCACTGCAAGGAAATCTGGCCTCCTTCAAGTTAGGCCTTCTCGCTGTATATTCCCCTTGAGGCAGCAAACTCGGGGTCCCTCCCTCATACCTATTGCTGAGAGAAGCCTCCTCCTGAGGTGCTTCTGGAAAGTTGGCATACGTCTTGATCCTAAGCCAGGGAATCAGCTCTCATCTCGAGACGATTTGGGGTACACGGAGCATTCCTCGAGTTGCTGTGCTGAAGTTGGTGTTCCTCTAGACTTGGGACAGTCTTCTCGGGGCATCTCTGGAGTTGCCTGAAGGAAGTCGAGCCACCGGTCGTGTTGAATGGGGAACGGGGAATGGCTCTGGAGTCAATGCAGGGAAGTCGGGCCTCATCTCGAGGTGATTTGGGGCACATGGAGCTGCTTTGCATTGCTGGGGTTACCTCAGGGTCCGTCTAGACTGGTGACAGTGTTCTTGGGGACTGTCTCGAGAATCATTAAGCAAGTCGAAGCTCCTGACTTGTTTGAATGGGATCACGGAATAGCTCTGCATGCACTGCAGGGAAATGGGGCCTCATGTCGCCTCTAGGGGGAAGTCTCATGGTTTTTCTCGAGTTGCGGCGGGGACCTGGGGTATGTTCTCGACTTACGGCGGGGATGGACCTTCAAAACACGAGTTTCTTCAGTGACGTCAGGACTCCTGTCTAGTAACGAGTGACAACTCAGGAATCTCTTCGAGGCTTGGCAGGGCAAAAGGGACGCTTCTCGAGGTGAGGCTGGGCACCCAAGGACCCTTTCCAGTAGCCACAGGGATTTTGGATTCCTATCAGTATTCAAGAGGAGTCAGGCATCGTCACCTTTTGAAGCAATGAACACCGCGTGCCTCTCGAGGTGTCAGCGGGATGTGAGGCATTCCGTCAAAATGAGGCAGGGACCTAGGGCTTTCTCTAAGGTCTCCACAGGTGATTCAGACATCCCTTCATGTTGTGAGATGAAAGACGAGCCTGTATTCAAGCCACTACAAGGAAATCCGGCCTCCTTTCAGGTTAGGGCTTCTCGCTCTATATTCCCCTTGAGGCAGCAAACTCGGGGTCCCTCCCTCATACCTATTGCTGAGAGAAGCCTCCTCCTGAGGTGCTTCTGGAAAGTTGGCATACGTCTTGAGCCTAAGAAAGGGAATCAGCTCTCATCTCGAGATGATTTGGGGTACACGGAGCATTCCTCGAGTTGCTGTGCTGATGTTGGTGTTCCTCTAGACTTGGGACAGTGTTCTCGGGGCATCTCTGGAGTTGGCTGAATTAAGTCGAGCCACCGGTCGTGTTGAATGGGGAACGGGGAATGGCTCTGGAGTCAATGCAGGGGAATCAGTCCTCATCTCGAGTTGATTGGGGGCACATGGAGCTGCTTTGCAATGATGGGGTGACCTCAGGGTCCGTCTAGACTCCTGACAGTGTTCTTTGGGACTGTTTCGTGATCCATTAAGCAAGTGGAAGCTCCTGACTTGTTTGAATGGGATCACGGAATAGCTCTGCATGCACTGCAGGGGAATGGGACCTCATGTCGCCTCTAGGGGAAGTCTCATGGTTTTTCTCGAGTTGCGCCGGGGACCTGGGGTATGTTCTCGACTTACGGCGGGGATGGCCCTTCAAAACACGAGTTTCTTCAGTGACGTCAGGACTCCTGTCTAGTAACAAGGGACACCTCAGGAATCTCTTCGAGGCTTGGCAGGGCAAAAGGGACGCTTCTCGAGGTGAGGCAGGGCACCCAAGGACCCTTTCCAATAGCCACAGGGATTTTGGGATTCCTATCAGTATTCAAGAGGAGTCAGGCGTCATCACCTTTTGAAGAAATGAACTCCGCCTACCTCTCGAGGAGTCAGCGGGAAGTGAGGCATTCCGTCAAAATGAGGCAGGGACCTAGGGCTTTCTCTAAGGTCTCCACAGGGGATTCAGACATCCCTTCATGTTGTGAGATGAAAGAAGAGCCTGTTTTCAAGCCACTACAAGGAAATCCGGCCTCCTTTCAAGTTAGGGTTTCTCGCTGTATATTCCCCTTGAGGCAGCAAACTCGGGGTCCCTCCCTCATACATATTGCTGAGAGAAGCCTCCTCCTGAGGTGCTTCCGGAAAGTTGGCATACGTCTTGATCCTAAGCCAGGGAATCAGCTCTCATCTCGAGACGATATGGGGTACACGGAGCATTCCTCGAGTTGCTGTGCTGAAGTTGGTGTTCCTCTAGTCTTGGGACAGTGTTCTCGGGGCATCTCTGGAGTTGCCTGAAGGAAGTCGAGCCACCGGTCGTGTTGAATGGGGAACTTGGAATGGCTCTGGAGTCAATGCAGGGGAATCGGGCCTCATCTCGAGGTGATTTCGGGCACATGGAGCTGCTTTGCGTTGCTGGGGGTGCCTCAGGGTCGGTCTAGACTGGTGACAGTGTTCTTGGGGACTGTCTCGAGATCCATTAAGCAAGTCGAAGCTCCTGACTTGTTTGAATGGGATCACGGAATAGCTCTGCATGCACTGCAGGGGAATGGGGCCTCATGTCGCCTCTAAGGGGAAGTCTCATGGTTTTTCTCGAGTTGGGCGGGGACCTGGGGTATGTTCTCGACTTACGGAGGGGATGGCCCTTCAAAACACGAGTTTCTTCAGTGACGTCAGGACTCCTGTCTAGTAACGAGGGACACCACAGGAATCTCTTCGAGGTTTGGCAGGGCAAAAGGGACGCTTCTCGAGGTGAGGCAGGGCACCCAAGGACCCTTTCCAGTAGCCAAAGGGATTTTGGGATTCCTATCAGTATTCAAGAGGAGACAGGCGTCATCACCTTTTGAAGAAATGAACTCCGCCTACCTCTCGAGGAGTCAGCAGGATGTGAAGCATTCCGTCAAAATGAGGCAGGGACCTAGGGCTTTCTCTAAGGTCTCCACAGGGGATTCAGACATCCCTTCATGTTGTGAGATGAAAGACGAGCCTGTATTCAAGCCACTACAAGGAAATCCGTCCTCCTTTCAAGTTAGGGCTTCTCGCTCTATATTCCCCTTGAGGCAGCAAACTCGGGGTCCCTCCCTCATACCTATTGCTGAGAGAAGCCTCCTCCTGAGGTGCTTCCGGAAAGTTGGCATACGTCTTGAGCCTAAGCCAGGGAATCAGCTCTCATCTCGAGATGATTTGTGGTACACGGAGCATTCCTCGAGTTGCTGTGCTGAAGTTGGTGTTCCTCTAGTCTTGGTACAGTGTTCTCAGGATATCTCTGGAGTTTCCTGAATGAAGTTGAGCCACCGGTCGTGTTGAATGGGGAACGGGGAATGGCTCTGGAGTCAATGCAGGGGAATCGGGCCTCATCTCGAGTTTATTTGGGGCACATGGAGCTGCTTTGCGTTGATGGGGTGACCTCAGGTCCGTCTAGACTGGTGACAGTGTTCTTGGGGACTCTTTCGTGATCCATTAAGCAAGTCGAAGCTCCTGACTTGTTTGAATGGGATCACGGCATAGCTCTGCATGCACTGCAGGGGAATGGGGTCTCATCTCGCCTCTAGGGGGAAGTCTCATGGTTTTTCTCGAGTTGGCGGGGACCTGGGGTATGTTCTCGACTTACGGAGGGCATGGCCCTTCAAAACACGAGTATCTTCAGTGACGTCAGGACTCCTGTCTAGTAACGAGGGACACCACAGGAATCTCTTCGAGGTTTGGCAGGGCAAAAGGGACGCTTCTCGAGGTGAGGCAGGGCACCCAAGGACCCTTTCCAGTAGCCACAGTGATTTTGGGATTCCTATCAGTATTCAAGAGGAGGCAGGCGTTATCACCTTTTGAAGAAATGAACTCCGCCTAACTCTCGAGGAGTCAGCAGGATGTGAAGCATTCCGTCAAAATGAGGCAGGGACCTAGGGCTTTCTCTAAGGTCTCCACAGGGGATTCAGACATCCCTTCATGTTGTGAGATGAAAGACGAGCCTGTATTCAAGCCACTACAAGGAAATCCGGCCTCCTTTCAAGTTAGGGCTTCTCGCTCTATATTCCCCTTGAGGCAGCAAACTCGGGGTCCCTCCCTCATACCTATTGCTGAGAGAAGCCTCCTCCTGACGTGCTTCCGGAAAGTTGGCATACGTCTTGAGCTTAAGCCAGGGAATCAGCTCTCATCTCGAGATGATTTGGAGTACACGGAGCATTCCTCGAGTTGCTGTGCTGAAGTTCGTGTTCCTCTAGTCTTGGGACAGTGTTCTCGGGGCATCTCTGGAGTTTCCTGAATGAATTTGAGCCACCGGTCGTGTTGAATGGGGAACGGGGAATGGCTCTGGAGTCAATGCAGGGGAATCAGGCCTCATCTCGAGTTGATTTGGGGCACATGGAGCTGCTTTGCGTTGATGGGGTGACGTCAGGATCCGTCTAGACTGGTGACAGTGTTCTTGGGGACTGTCTCGTGATCCATTAAGCAAGTCGAAGCTCCTGACTTGTTTGAATGGGATCACGGAATAGCTCTCCATGCACTGCAGGGGAATGGGGTCTCATCTCGCCTCTAGGGGGAAGTCTCATGGTTTTTCTCGAGTTGAGGCGGGGACCTGGGGTATGTTCTCGACTTACGGAGGGGATGGCCCTTCAAAACACGAGTTTCTTCAGTGACGTCAGGACTCCTGTCTAGTAAGTGAGGGTCACCTCAGGAATCGCTTCGAGGCTTGGCAGGGCAAAAGGGACGCTTCTCGAGGTGAGGCAGGGCACCCAAGGACCCTTTCCAGTAGCCACAGGGATTTTGGGATTCCTATCAGTATTCAAGAGGAGTCAGGCGTCATCACCTTTTGAAGAAATGAACTCCGCCTAACTCTCGAGGAGTCACCGGGATGTGAAGCATTCCGTCAAAATGAGGCAGGGACCTAGGGCTTTCTCTGAGGGCTCCACAGGGGATTCAGACATCCCTTCATGTTGTGAGATGAAAGACGAGCCTGTATTCAAGCCACTGGAAGGAAATCCGGCCTCCTTTCAAGTTAGGGCTTCTCGCTGTATATTCCCCTTGAGGCAGCAAACTCGGGGTCCCTCCCTCATACCTATTGCTGAGAGAAGCCTCCTCCTGAGGTGCTTCCGGAAAGTTGGCATACATCTTGATCTTAAGCCAGGGAATCAGCTCTCATCTCGAGACGATTTGGGGTACACGGAGCATTCCTCGAGTTGCTATGCTGAAGTTGGTGTTCCTCTAGTCTTGGGACAGTGTTCTCGGGGCATCTCTGGAGTTGCCTGAAGGAAGTCGAGCCACCGGTCGTGTTGAAGGGAACTTGGAATGGCTCTGGAGTCAATGCAGGGGAATCGGGCCTCATCTCGAGGTGATTTGGGGTACATGGAGCTGCTTTGCGTTGCTGGGGGTACCTCAGGGTCCGTCTAGACTGGTGACAGTGTTCTTGGGGACTGTCTCGAGATCCATTAAGCAAGTCGAAGCTCCTGACTTGTTTGAATGGGATCACGGAATAGCTCTGCATGCACTGCAGGGGAATGGGGCCTCATGTCGCCTCTAGGGGGAAGTCTCATGGTTTTTCTCGAGTTGCGGCGGGGACCTGGGGTATGTTCTCGACTTACGGCGGGGATGGCCCTTCAAAACACGAGTTTCTTCAGTGACGTCAGGACTTCTGTCTAGTAACGAGGGACACCTCAGGAATCTCTTCGAGGCTTGGCAGGGCAAAAGGGACGCTTCTCGAGGTGAGGCTGGGCACCCAAGGAACCTTTCCAGTAGCCACAGGGATTTTGGATTCCTATCAGTATTCAAGAGGAGTCAGGCATCGTCACCTTTTGAAGCAATGAACTCTGCGTGCCTCTCGAGGTGTCAGCGGGATGTGAGGCATTCCGTCAAAATGAGGCAGGGACCTAGGGCTTTCTCTAAGGTCTCCACAGGGTATTCAGACATCCCTTCATGTTGTGAGATGAAAGAGGAGCCTGTATTCAAGCCACTACAAGGAAATCCGGCCTCCTTTCAAGTTAGGGCTTCTCGCTCTATATTCCCCTTGAGGCAGCAAACTCGGGGTCCCTCCCTCATACCTATTGCTGAGAGAAGCCTCCTCCTGAGGTGCTTCTGGAAAGTTGGCATACGTCTTGAGCCTAAGCCAGGGAATCAGCTCTCATCTCGAGATGATTTGGGGTACACGGAGCATTCCTCGAGTTGCTGTGCTGAAGTTGGTGTTCCTCTAGACTTGGGACAGTGTTCTCGGGGCATCTCTGGAGTTGGCTGAAGGAAGTCGAGCCACCGGTCGTGTTGAATGGGGAACGGGGAATGGCTCTGGAGTCAATGCAGGGGAGTCGGGCCTCATCTCGAGTTGATTTGGGGCACATGGAGCTGCTTTGCATTGATGGGGTGACCTCAGGGTCCGTCTAGACTGGTGACAGTGTTCTTGGGGACTGTCTCGTGATCCATTAAGCAAGTCGAAGCTCCTGACTTGTTTGAATGGGATCACGGAATAGCTCTGCATGCACTGCAGGGGAATGGGGTCTCATCTCGCCTCTAGTGGGAAGTCTCATGGTTTTTCTCGAGTTGAGGCGGGGACCTGGGGTATGTTCTCGACTTACGGAGGGGATGGCCCTTCAAAACACGAGTTTCTTCAGTGACGTCAGGACTCATGTCTAGTAAGTGAGGGACACGTCAGGAATTGCTTCGAGGCTTGGCAGGGCAAAAGGGACGCTTCTCGAGGTGAGGCAGGGCATCTAAGGACCCTTTCCAGTAGCCACAGGGATTTTGGGATTCCTATCAGTATTCAAGAGGAGTCAGGCGTCATCACCTTTTGAAGAAATGAACTCCGCCTAACTCTCGAGGAGTCACCGGGATGTGAAGCATTCCGTCAAAATGAGGCAGGGACCTAGGGCTTTCTCTGAGGTCTCCACAGGGGATTCAGACATCCCTTCATGTTGTGAGATGAAAGACGAGCCTGTATTCAAGCCACTACAAGGAAATCCGGCCTCCTTTCAAGTTAGGGCTTCTCGCTCTATATTCCCCTTGAGGCAGCAAACTCGGGGTCCCTCCCTCATACCTATTGCTGAGAGAAGCCTCCTCCTGAGGTGCTTCCGGAAAGTTGGCATACGTCTTGAGCCTAAGCCAGGGAATCAGCTCTCATCTCGAGATGATTTGGAGTACACGGAGCATTCCTCGAGTTGCTGTGCTGAAGTTGGTGTTCCTCTAGTCTTGGGACAGTGTTCTCGGGGCATCTCTGGAGTTTCCTGAATGAAGTTGAGCCACCGCTCGTGTTGAATGGGGAACGGGGAATGGCTCTGGAGTCAATGCAGGGGAATCAGGCCTCATCTCGAGTTGATTTGGGGCACATGGAGCTGCTTTGCGTTGATGGGGTGACCTCAGGGTCCGTCTAGACTGGTGACAGTGCTTTTGGGGACTGTCTCGTGATCCATTAAGCAAGTCGAAGCTCCTGACTTGTTTGAATGGGATCACGGAATAGCTCTGCATGCACTGCAGGGAAATGGGGCCTCATGTCGCCTCTAGGGGGAAGTCTCATGGTTTTTCTCGAGTTGCGGCGGAGACCTGGGGTATGTTTTCGACTTACGGCGGGGATGGCCCTTCAAAACACGAGTTTCTTCAGTGACGTCAGGACTCCTGTCTAGTAACGAGTGACAACTCAGGAATCTCTTCGAGGCTTGGCAGGGCAAAAGGGACGCTTCTCGAGGTGAGGCTGGGCACCCAAGGACCCTTTCCAGTAGCCACAGGGATTTTGGATTCCTATCAGTATTCAAGAGGAGTCAGGCATCGTCACCTTTTGAAGCAATGAACACCGCGTGCCTCTCGAGTTGTCAGCGGGATGTGAGGCATTCCGTCAAAATGAGGCAGGGACCTAGGGCTTTCTCTAAGGTCTCCACAGGGGATTCAGACATCCCTTCATGTTGTGAGATGAAAGACGAGCCTGTATTCAAGCCACTACAAGGAAATCCGGCCTCCTTTCAAGTTAGGGCTTCTCGCTCTATATTCCCCTTGAGGCAGCAAACTCGGGGTCCCTCCCTCATACCTATTGCTGAGAGAAGCCTCCTCCTGAGGTGCTTCTGGAAAGTTGGCATACGTCTTGAGCCTAAGAAAGGGAATCAGCTCTCATCTCGAGATGATTTGGGGTACACGGAGCATTCCTCGAGTTGCTGTGCTGAAGTTGGTGTTCCTCTAGACTTGGGACAGTGTTCTCGGTGCATCTCTGGAGTTGGCTGAAGGAAGTCGAGCCACCGGTCGTGTTGAATGGGGAACGGGGAATGGCTCTGGAGTCAATGCAGGGGAATCAGGTCTCATCTCGAGTTGATTGGGGGCACATGGAGCTGCTTTGCATTGATGGGGTGACCTCAGGGTCCGTCTAGACTCCTGACAGTGTTCTTTGGGACTGTTTCGTGATCCATTAAGCAAGTGGAAGCTCCTGACTTGTTTGAATGGGATCACGGAATAGCTCTGCATGCACTGCAGGGGAATGGGACCTCATGTCGCCTCTAGGGGAAGTCTCATGGTTTTTCTCGAGTTGCGCCGGGGACCTGGGGTATGTTCTCGACTTACGGCGGGGATGGCCCTTCAAAACACGAGTTTCTTCAGTGACGTCAGGACTCCTGTCTAGTAACAAGGGACACCTCAGGAATCTCTTCGAGGCTTGGCAGGGCAAAAGGGACGCTTCTCGAGGTGAGGCAGGGCACCCAAGGACCCTTTCCAATAGCCACAGGGATTTTGGGATTCCTATCAGTATTCAAGAGGAGTCAGGCGTCATCACCTTTTGAAGAAATGAACTCCGCCTACCTCTCGAGGAGTCAGCGGGAAGTGAGGCATTCTGTCAAAATGAGGCAGGGACCTAGGGCTTTCTCTAAGGTCTCCACAGGGAATTCAGACATCCCTTCATGTTGTGAGATGAAAGACGAGCCTGTATTCAAGCCACTGCAAGGAAATCCGGCCTCCTTTCAAGTTAGGGCTTCTTGCTGTATATTCCCCTTGAGGCAGCAAACTCGGGGTCCCTCCCTCATACCTATTGCTGAGAGAAGCCTCCTCCTGAGGTGCTTCCGGAAAGTTGGCATACGTCTTGATCCTAAGCCAGGGAATCAGCTCTCATCTCGAGACGATTTGGGGTACACGGAGCATTCCTCGAGTTGCTGTGCTGAAGTTGGTGTTCCTCTAGTCTTGGGACAGTGTTCTCGGGGCATCTCTGGAGTTACCTGAAGGAAGTCGAGCCACCGGTCGTGTTGAATGGGGAACTTAGAATGGCTCTGGAGTCAATGCAGGGGAATCGGGCCTCATCTCGAGGTGATTTGGGGCACATGGAGCTGCTTTGCGTTGCTGGGGGTACCTCAGGGTCGGTCTAGACTGGTGACAGTGTTCTTGGGGACTGTCTCGAGATCCATTAAGCAAGTCGAAGCTCCTGACTTGTTTGAATGGGATCACGGAGTACCTCTGCATGCACTGCAGGTGAATGGGGCCTCATGTCGCCTCTAAGGGGAAGTCTCATGGTTTTTCTCGAGTTGGGCGGGGACCTGGGGTATGTTCTCGACTTACGGAGGGGATGGCCCTTCAAAACACGAGTTTCTTCAGTGACGTCAGGACTCCTGTCTAGTAACGAGGGACACCACAGGAATCTCTTCGAGGTTTGGCAGGGCAAAAGGGACGCTTCTCGAGGTGAGGCAGGGCACCCAAGGACCCTTTCCAGTAGCCACAGGGATTTTGGGATTCCTATCAGTATTCAAGAGGAGACAGGCGTCATCACCTTTTGAAGAAATGAACTCCGCCTACCTCTCGAGGAGTCAGCAGGATGTGAAGCATTCCGTCAAAATGAGGCAGGGACCTAGGGCTTTCTCTAAGGTCTCCACAGGGGATTCAGACATCCCTTCATGTTGTGAGATGAAAGACGAGCCTGTATTCAAGCCACTACAAGGAAATCCGGCCTCCTTTCAAGTTAGGGCTTCTCGCTCTATATTCCCCTTGAGGCAGCAAACTCGGGGTCCCTCCCTCATACCTATTGCTGAGAGAAGCTTCCTCCTGAGGTGCTTCCGGAAAGTTGGCATACGTCTTGAGCCTAAGCCAGGGAATCAGCTCTCATCTCGAGATGATTTGGGGTACACGGAGCATTCCTCGAGTTGCTGTGCTGAATTTGGTGTTCCTCTAGTCTTGGTACAGTGTTCTCAGGGCATCTCTGGAGTTTCCTGAATGAAGTTGAGCCACCGCTCGTGTTGAATGGGGAACGGGGAATGGCTCTGGATTCAATGCAGGGGAATCGGGCCTCATCTCGAGTTGATTTGGGGCACATGGAGCTGCTTTGCGTTGATGGGGTGACCTCAGGGTCCGTCTAGACTGGTGACAGTGTTCTTGGGGACTGTCTCGTGATCCATTAAGCAAGTCGAAGCTCCTGACTTGTTTGAATGGGATCACGGAATAGCTCTGCATGCACTGCAGGGGAATGGGGTCTCATCTCGCCTCTAGGGGGAAGTCTCATGGTTTTTCTCGAGTTGAGCCGGGGACCTGGGCTATGTTCTCGACTTACGGCGGGGATGGCCCTTCAAAACACGAGTTTCTTAAGTGACGTCAGGACTCCTGTCTAGTAACGAGGGACACCTCAGGAATTTCTTCGAGGCTTGGCAGGGCAAAAGGGACGCTTCTCGAGGTGAGGCAGGGCACCCAAGGACCCTTTCCAGTAGCCACAGGGATTTTGGGATTCCTATCAGTATTCAAGAGGAGACAGGCGTCATCACCTTTTGAAGAAATGAACTCCGCCTAACTCTCGAGGAGTCACCGGGATGTGAAGCATTCCGTCAAAATGAGGCAGGGACCTAGGGCTTTCTCTGAGGTCTCCACAGGGGATTCAGACATCCCTTCATGTTGTGAGATGAAAGACGAGCCTGTATTCAAGCCACTGCAAGGAAATCCGGCCTCCTTTCAAGTTAGGGCTTCTCGCTGTATATTCCCCTTGAGGCAGCAAACTCGGGGTCCCTCCCTCATACCTATTGCTGAGAGAAGCCTCCTCCTGACGTGCTTCCGGAAAGTTGGCATACGTCTTGATCCTAAGCCAGGGAATCAGCTCTCATCTCGAGACGATTTGGGGTACACGGACCATTCCTCGAGTTGCTGTGCTGAAGTTGGTGTTCCTCTAGTCTTGGGACAGTGTTCTCGGGGCAACTCTGGAGTTGCCTGAAGGAAGTCGAGCCACCGGTCGTGTTGAATGGGGAACTTGGAATGGCTCTGGAGTCAATGCAGGGGAATCGGGCCTCATCTCGAGGTGATTTGGGGCACATGGAGCTGCTTTGCGTTGCTGGGGGTACCTCAGGGTCCGTCTAGACTGGTGACAGTGTTCTTGGGGACTGTCTCGAGATCCATTAAGCAAGTCGAAGCTCCTGACTTGTTTGAATGGGATCACGGATAAGCTCTGCGTGCACTGCAAGGGAATGGGGCCTCATGTCGCCTCTAGGGGGAAGTCTCATGGTTTTTCTCGAGTTGCGGCGGGGACCTGGGGTATGTTCTCGACTTACGGCGGGGATGGCCCTTCAAAACACGAGTTTCTTCAGTGACGTCAGGACTTCTGTCTAGTAACGAGGGACACCTCAGGAATCTCTTCGAGGCTTGGCAGGGCAAAAGGGAAGCTTCTCGAGGTGAGGCAGGGCACCCAAGGACCCGTTCCAGTAGCCACAGGGATTTTGGATTCCTATCAGTATTCAAGAGGAGTCAGGCATCGTCACCTTTTGAAGCAATGAACTCTGCGTGCCTCTCGAGGTGTCAGCGGGATGTGAGGCATTCCGTCAAAATGAGGCAGGGACCTAGGGCTTTCTCTAAGGTCTCCACAGGGGATTCAGACATCCCTTCATGTTGTGAGATGAAAGACGAGCCTGTATTCAAGCCACTACAAGGAAATCCGGCCTCCTTTCAAGTTAGGGCTTCTCGCTCTATATTCCCCTTGAGGCAGCAAACTCGGGGTCCCTCCCTCATACCTATTGCTGAGAGAAGCCTCCTCCTGAGGTGCTTCTGGAAAGTTGGCATACGTCTTGAGCCTAAGCCAGGGAATCAGCTCTCATCTCGAGATGATTTGGGGTACACGGAGCATTCCTCGAGTTGCTGTGCTGAAGTTGGTGTTCCTCTAGACTTGGGACAGTGTTCTCGGGGCATCTCTGGAGTTGGCTGAAGGAAGTCGAGCCACCGGTCGTGTTGAATGGGGAACGGGGAATGGCTCTGGAGTCAATGCAGGGGAGTCGGGCCTCATCTCGAGTTGATTTGGGGCACATGGAGCTGCTTTGCGTTGATGGGGTGACCTCAGGGTCCGTCTAGACTGGTGACAGTGTTCTTGGGGACTGTCTCGTGATCCATTAAGCAAGTCGAAGCTCCTGACTTGTTTGAATGGGATCACGGAATAGCTCTGCATGCACTGCAGGGAAATGGGGCCTCATGTCGCCTCTAGGGGGAAGTCTCATGGTTTTTCTCGAGTTGCGGCGGGGACCTGGGGTATGTTCTCGACTTACGGCGGGGATGGCCCTTCAAAACACGAGTTTCTTCAGTGACGTCAGGACTCCTGTCTAGTAACGAGTGACAACTCAGGAATCTCTTCGAGGCTTGGCAGGGCAAAAGGGACGCTTCTCGAGGTGAGGCTGGGCACCCAAGGACCCTTTCCAGTAGCCACAGGGATTTTGGATTCCTATCAGTATTCAAGAGGAGTCAGGCATCGTCACCTTTTGAAGCAATGAACACCGCGTGTCTCTCGAGGTGTCAGCGGGATGTGAGGCATTCCGTCAAAATGAGGCAGGGACCTAGGGCTTTCTCTAAGGTCTCCACAGGGGATTCAGACATCCCTTCATGTTGTGAGATGAAAGACGAGCCTGTATTCAAGCCACTACAAGGAAATCCGGCCTCCTTTCAAGTTAGGGCTTCTCGCTCTATATTCCCCTTGAGGCAGCAAACTCGGGGTCCCTCCCTCATACCTATTGCTGAGAGAAGCCTCCTCCTGACGTGCTTCTGGAAAGTTGGCATACGTCTTGAGCCTAAGAAAGGGAATCAGCTCTCATCTCGAGATGATTTGGGGTACACGGAGCATTCCTCGAGTTGCTGTGCTGAAGTTGGTGTTCCTCTAGACTTGGGACAGTGTTCTCGGTGCATCTCTGGAGTTGGCTGAAGGAAGTCGAGCCACCGGTCGTGTTGAATGGGGAACGGGGAATGGCTCTGGAGTCAATGCAGGGGAATCAGGTCTCATCTCGAGTTGATTGGGGGCACATGGAGCTGCTTTGCATTGATGGGGTGACCTCAGGGTCCGTCTAGACTCCTGACAGTGTTCTTTGGGACTGTTTCGTGATCCATTAAGCAAGTGGAAGCTCCTGACTTGTTTGAATGGGATCACGGAATAGCTCTGCATGCACTGCAGGGGAATGGGACCTCATGTCGCCTCTAGGGGAAGTCTCATGGTTTTTCTCGAGTTGCGCCGGGGACCTGGGGTATGTTCTCGACTTACGGCGGGGATGGCCCTTCAAAACACGAGTTTCTTCAGTGACGTCAGGACTCCTGTCTAGTAACAAGGGACACCTCAGGAATCTCTTCGAGGCTTGGCAGGGCAAAAGGGACGCTTCTCGAGGTGAGGCAGGGCACCCAAGGACCCTTTCCAATAGCCACAGGGATTTTGGGATTCCTATCAGTATTCAAGAGGAGTCAGGCGTCATCACCTTTTGAAGAAATGAACTCCGCCTACCTCTCGAGGAGTCAGCGGGAAGTGAGGCATTCTGTCAAAATGAGGCAGGGACCTAGGGCTTTCTCTAAGGTCTCCACAGGGAATTCAGACATCCCTTCATGTTGTGAGATGAAAGACGAGCCTGTATTCAAGCCACTGCAAGGAAATCCGGCCTCCTTTCAAGTTAGGGCTTCTCGCTCTATATTCCCCTTGAGGCAGCAAACTCGGGGTCCCTCCCTCATACCTATTGCTGAGAGAAGCCTCCTCCTGAGGTGCTTCCGGAAAGTTGGCATACGTCTTGATCCTAAGCCAGGGAATCAGCTCTCATCTCGAGACGATTTGGGGTACACGGAGCATTCCTCGAGTTGCTGTGCTGAAGTTGGTGTTCCTCTAGTCTTGGGACAGTGTTCTCGGGGCATCTCTGGAGTTGCCTGAAGGAAGTCGAGCCACCGGTCGTGTTGAATGGGGAACTTAGAATGGCTCTGGAGTCAATGCAGGGGAATCGGGCCTCATCTCGAGGTGATTTGGGGCACATGGAGCTGCTTTGCGTTGCTGGGGGTACCTCAGGGTCGGTCTAGACTGGTGACAGTGTTCTTGGGGACTGTCTCGAGATCCATTAAGCAAGTCGAAGCTCCTGACTTGTTTGAATGGGATCACGGAATACCTCTGCATGCACTGCAGGTGAATGGGGCCTCATGTCGCCTCTAAGGGGAAGTCTCATGGTTTTTCTCGAGTTGGGCGGGGACCTGGGGTATGTTCTCGACTTACGGAGGGGATGGCCCTTCAAAACACGAGTTTCTTCAGTGACGTCAGGACTCCTGTCTAGTAACGAGGGACACCACAGGAATCTCTTCGAGGTTTGGCAGGGCAAAAGGGACGCTTCTCGAGGTGAGGCAGGGCACCCAAGGACCCTTTCCAGTAGCCACAGGGATTTTGGGATTCCTATCAGTATTCAAGAGGAGACAGGCGTCATCACCTTTTGAAGAAATGAACTCCGCCTACCTCTCGAGGAGTCAGCAGGATGTGAAGCATTCCGTCAAAATGAGGCAGGGACCTAGGGCTTTCTCTAAGGTCTCCACAGGGGATTCAGACATCCCTTCATGTTGTGAGATGAAAGACGAGCCTGTATTCAAGCCACTACAAGGAAATCCGGCCTCCTTTCAAGTTAGGGCTTCTCGCTCTATATTCCCCTTGAGGCAGCAAACTCGGGGTCCCTCCCTCATACCTATTGCTGAGAGAAGCTTCCTCCTGAGGTGCTTCCGGAAAGTTGGCATACGTCTTGAGCCTAAGCCAGGGAATCAGCTCTCATCTCGAGATGATTTGGGGTACACGGAGCATTCCTCGAGTTGCTGTGCTGAAGTTGGTGTTCCTCTAGTCTTGGTACAGTGTTCTCAGGGCATCTCTGGAGTTTCCTGAATGAAGTTGAGCCACCGCTCGTGTTGAATGGGGAACGGGGAATGGCTCTGGATTCAATGCAGGGGAATCGGGCCTCATCTCGAGTTGATTTGGGGCACATGGAGCTGCTTTGCGTTGATGGGGTGACCTCAGGGTCCGTCTAGACTGGTGACAGTGTTCTTGGGGACTGTCTCGTGATCCATTAAGCAAGTCGAAGCTCCTGACTTGTTTGAATGGGATCACGGAATAGCTCTGCATGCACTGCAGGGGAATGGGGTCTCATCTCGCCTCTAGGGGGAAGTCTCATGGTTTTTCTCGAGTTGAGCCGGGGACCTGGGCTATGTTCTCGACTTACGGCGGGGATGGCCCTTCAAAACACGAGTTTCTTAAGTGACGTCAGGACTCCTGTCTAGTAACGAGGGACACCTCAGGAATTTCTTCGAGGCTTGGCAGGGCAAAAGGGACGCTTCTCGAGGTGAGGCAGGGCACCCAAGACCCTTTCCAGTAGCCACAGGGATTTTGGGATTCCTATCATTATTCAAGAGGAGACAGGCGTCATCACCTTTTGAAGAAATGAACTCCGCCTAACTCTCGAGGAGTCACCGGGATGTGAAGCATTCCGTCAAAATGAGGCAGGGACCTAGGGCTTTCTCTGAGGTCTCCACAGGGGATTCAGACATCCCTTCATGTTGTGAGATGAAAGACGAGCCTGTATTCAAGCCACTGCAAGGAAATCCGGCCTCCTTTCAAGTTAGGGCTTCTCGCTGTATATTCCCCTTGAGGCAGCAAACTCGGGGTCCCTCCCTCATACCTATTGCTGAGAGAAGCCTCCTCCTGACGTGCTTCCGGAAAGTTGGCATACGTCTTGATCCTAAGCCAGGGAATCAGCTCTCATCTCGAGATGATTTGGGGTACACGGAGCATTCCTCGAGTTGCTGTGCTGAAGTTGGTGTTCCTCTAGTCTTGGGACAGTGTTCTCGGGGCAACTCTGGAGTTGCCTGAAGGAAGTCGAGCCACCGGTCGTGTTGAATGGGGAACTTGGAATGGCTCTGGAGTCAATGCAGGGGAATCGGGCCTCATCTCGAGGTGATTTGGGGCACATGGAGCTGCTTTGCGTTGCTGGGGGTACCTCAGGGTCCGTCTAGACTGGTGACAGTGTTCTTGGGGACTGTCTCGAGATCCATTAAGCAAGTCGAAGCTCCTGACTTGTTTGAATGGGATCACGGATTAGCTCTGCGTGCACTGCAGGGGAATGGGGCCTCATGTCGCCTCTAGGGGGAAGTCTCATGGTTTTTCTCGAGTTGCGGCGGGGACCTGGGGTATGTTCTCGACTTACGGCGGGGATGGCCCTTCAAAACACGAGTTTCTTAAGTGACGTCAGGACTCCTGTCTAGTAACGAGGGACACCTCAGGAATTTCTTCGAGGCTTGGCAGGGCAAAATGGACGCTTCTCGAGGTGAGGCAGGGCACCCAAGGACCCTTTCCAGTAGCCACAGGGATTTTGGATTCCTATCAGTATTCAAGAGGAGTCAGGCATCGTCACCTTTTGAAGCAATGAACTCCGCGTGCCTCTCGAGGTGTCAGCGGGATATGAGGCATTCCGTCAAAATGAGGCAGGGACCTAGGGCTTTCTCTAATGTCTCCACAGGGTATTCAGACATCCCTTCATTTTGTGAGATGAAAGACGAGCCTGTATTCAAGCCACTACAAGGAAATCCGGCCTCCTTTCAAGTTAGGGCTTCTCGCTCTATATTACCCTTGAGGCAGCAAACTCGGGGTCCCTCCCTCATACCTATTGCTGAGAGAAGCCTCCTCCTGAGGTGCTTCTGGAAAGTTGGCATACATCTTGAGCCTAAGCCAGGGAATCAGCTCTCATCTCGAGATGATTTGGGGTACATGGAGCATTCCTCGAGTTGCTGTGCTGAAGTTGGTGTTCCTCTAGACTTGGGACAGTGTTCTCGGGGCATCTCTGGAGTTTCCTGAAGGAAGTCGAGCCACCGGTCGTGTTGAATGGGGAACGGGGAATGGCTCTGGAGTCAATGCAGGGGAATCGGGCCTCATCTCGAGTTGATTTGGGGCACATGGAGCTGCTTTGCGTTGATGGGGTGACCTCAGGGTCCGTCTAGACTGGTGACAGTGTTCTTGGGGACTGTCTCGAGATCCATTAAGCAAGTCAAAGCTCCTGACTTGTTTGAATGGAATCACGGAATAGCTCTGCATGCACTGCAGGGGAATGGGGCCTCATGTCGCCTCTAGGGGGAAGTCTCATGGTTTTTCTCGAGTTGAGGCGGGGACCTGGGGTATGTTCTCGACTTACGGCCGGGATGGCCCTTCAAAACACGAGTTTCTTCAGTGACGTCAGGACTCCTGTCTAGTAACGAGGGACACCTCAGGAATTTCTTCGAGGCTTGGCAGGGCAAAAGGGACGCCTCTCGAGGTGAGGCAGGGCAACCAAGGACCCTTTCCAGTAGCCACAGGGATTTTGGATTCCTATCAGTATTCAAGAGGAGTCAGGCATCGTCACCTTTTGAAGCAATGAACTCCACGTGCCTCTCCAGGTGTCAGCGGGATGTGAGGCATTCCGTCAAAATGAGGCAGGGACCTAGGGCTTTCTCTAATGTCTCCACAGGGGATTCAGACATCCCTTCATGTTGTGAGATGAAAGACGAGCCTGTATTCAAGCCACTACAAGGAAATCCGGCCTCCTTTCAAGTTAGGGCTTCTCGCTCTATATTCCCCTTGAGGCAGCAAACTCGGGGTCCCTCCCTCATACCTATTGCTGAGAGAAGCCTCCTCCTGAAGTGCTTCCGGAAAGTTGGCATACGTCTTGAACCTAAGCCAGGGAATCAGCTCTCATCTCGAGATGATTTGGGGTACACGGAGCATTCCTCGAGTTGCTGTGCTGAAGTTGGTGTTCCTCAAGTCTTGGGACAGTGTTCTCGGGGCATCTCTGGAGTTTCCTGAATGAAGTCGAGCCACCGGTCGTGTTGAATGGGGAACGGGGAATGGCTCTGGAGTCAATGCAGGGAAATCGGGCCTCATCTCGAGTTGATTTGGGGCACATGGAGCTGCTTTGCGTTGATGGGGTGACCTCAGGGTCCGTCTAGACTGGTGACAGTGTTCTTGGGGACTGTCTCGTGATCCATTAAGCAAGTCGAAGCTCCTGACTTGTTTGAATGGGATCACGGATTAGCTCTGCATGCACTGCAGGGGAATGGGGTCTCATCTCGCCTCTAGGGGGAAGTCTCATGGTTTTTCTCGAGTTGAGGCGGGGACCTGGGGTATGTTCTCGACTTACGGCGGGGATGGCCCTTCAAAACACGAGTTTCTTCAGTGACGTCAGGACTCCTGTCTAGTAACGAGGGACAACTCAGGAATTTCTTCGAGGCTTGGCAGGGCAAAAGGGACGCTTCTCGAGGTGAGGCAGGGCACCCAAGGACCCTTTCCAGTAGCCACAGGGATTTTGGGATTCCTATCAGTATTCAAGAGGAGGCAGGCGTCATCACCTTTTGAAGAAATGAACTCCGCCTACCTCTCGAGGAGTCAGCAGGATGTGAAGCATTCCGTCAAAATGAGGCAGGGAACTAGGGCTTTCTCTAAGGTCTCCACAGGGGATTCAGACATCCCTTCATGTTGTGAGATGAAAGACGAGCCTGTATTCAAGCCACTACAAGGAAATCCGGCCTCCTTTCAAGTTAGGGCTTCTCGCTCTATATTCCCCTTGAGGCAGCAAACTCGGGGTCCCTCCCTCATACCTATTGCTGAGAGAAGCCTCCTCCTGAGGTGCTTCCGGAAAGTTGGCATACGTCTTGAGCCTAAGCCAGGGAATCAGCTCTCATCTCGAGATGATTTGGGGTACACGGAGCATTCCTCGAGTTGCTGTGCTGAAGTTGGTGTTCCTCTAGTCTTGGGACAGTGTTCTCGGGGCATCTCTGGAGTTGCCTGAAGGAAGTCGAGCCACCGGTCGTGTTGAATGGGGAACTTGGAATGGCTCTGGAGTCAATGCAGGGGAATCGGGCCTCATCTCGAGTTGATTTGGGGAACATGGAGCTGCTTTGCGTTGATGGGGTGACTTCAGGGTCCGTCTAGACTGGTGACAGTGTTCTTGGGGACTGTCTCGTGATCCATTAAGCAAGTCGAAGCTCCTGACTTGTTTGAATGGGTCACGGAATAGCTCTGCATGCACTGCAGGGGAATGGGGTCTCATCTCGCCTCTAGGGGGAAGTCTCATGGTTTTTCTCGAGTTGAGGCGGGGACCTGGGGTATGTTCTCGACTTACGGAGGGGATGGCCCTTCAAAACACGAGTTTCTTCAGTGACGTCAGGACTCCTGTCTAGTAAGTGAGGGACACTTCAGGAATCTCTTCGAGGCTTGGCAGGGCAAAAGGGACGCTTCTCGAGGTGAGGCAGGGCACCCAAGACCCTTTCCAGTAGCCACAGGGATTTTGGGATTCCTATCAGAATTCAAGAGGAGTCAGGCGTCATCACCTTTTGAAGAAATGAACTCAGCCTAACTCTCGAGGAGTCACCGGGATGTGAAGCATTCCGTCAAAATGAGGCAGGGACCTAGGGCTTTCTCTGAGGTCTTCACAGGGGATTCAGACATCCCTTCATGTTGTGAGATGAAAGACGAGCCTGTATTCAAGCCACTGCAAGGAAATCCGGCCTCCTTTCAAGTTATGGCTTCTCGCTGTATATTCCCCTTGAGGCAGCAAACTCGGGGTCCCTCCCTCATACCTATTGCTGAGAGAAGCCTCCTCCTGAGGTGCTTCCGGAAAGTTGGCATACGTCTTGATCCTAAGCCAGGGAATCAGCTCTCATCTCGAGACGGTTTGGGGTACACGGAGCATTCCTCGAGTTGCTGTGCTGAAGTTGGTGTTCCTCTAGTCTTGGGACAGTGTTCTCGGGGCATCTCTGGAGTTGCCTGAAGGAAGTCGAGCCACCGGTCGTGTTGAATGGGGAACTTGGAATGGCTCTGGAGTCAATGCAGGGGAATCGGGCCTCATCTCGAGGTGATTTCGGGCACATGGAGCTGCTTTGCGTTGCTGGGGGTACCTCAGGGTCCGTCTAGACTGGTGACAGTGTTCTTGGGGACTGTCTCGAGATCCATTAAGCAAGTCGAAGCTCCTGACTTGTTTGAATGGGATCACGGAATAGCTCTGCATGCACTGCAGGGGAATGGGGCCTCATGTCGCCTCTAGGGGGAAGTCTCATGGTTTTTCTCGAGTTGCAGCGGGGACCTGGGGTATGTTCTCGACTTACGGCGGGGATGGCCCTTCAAAACACGAGTTTCTTCAGTGACGTCAGGACTCCTGTCTAGTAACGAGGGACACCTCAGGAATTTCTTCGAGGCTTGGCAGGGCAAAAGGGACGCTTCTCGAGGTGAGGCAGGGCACCCAAGGACCCTTTCCAGTAGCCACAGGGATTTTGGGATTCCTATCAGTATTCAAGAGGAGGCAGGCGTCATCACCTTTTGAAGAAATGAACTCCGCCTACCTCTCGAGGAGTCAGCAGGATGTGAAGCATTCCGTCAAAATGAGGCAGGGACCTAGGGCTTTCTCTAAGGTCTCCACAGGGGATTCAGACATCCCTTCATGTTGTGAGATGAAAGACGAGCCTGTATTCAAGCCACTACAAGGAAATCCGGCCTCCTTTCAAGTTAGGGCTTCTCGCTCTATATTCCCCTTGAGGCAGCAAACTCGGGGTCCCTCCCTCATACCTATTGCTGAGAGAAGCCTCCTCCTGAGGTGCTTCCAGAAACTTGGCATACGTCTTGAGCCTAAGCCAGGGAATCAGCTCTCATCTCGAGATGATTTGGGGTACACGGAGCATTCCTCAAGTTGCTGTGCTGAAGTTGGTGTTCCTCTAGTCTTGGGACAGTGTTCTCGGGGCATCTCTGGAGTTTCCTGAATGAAGTTGAGCCACCGCTCGTGTTGAATGGGGAACGGGGAATGGCTCTGGAGTCAATGCAGGGGAATCGGGCCTCATCGCGAGTTGATTTGGGGCACATGGAGCTGCTTTGCGTTGATGGGGTGACCTCAAGGTCCGTCTAGACTGGTGACAGTGTTCTTGGGGACTGTCTCGAGATCCATTAAGCAAGTCGAAGCTCCTGACTTGTTTGAATGGGATCACGGAATAGCTCTTTATGCACTGCAGGGGAATGGGGTCTCATCTCGCCTCTAGGGGGAAGTCTCATGGTTTTTCTCGAGTTGAGGCGGGGACCTGGGGTATGTTCTCGACTTACGGCGGGGATGGCCCTTCAAAACACGAGTTTCTTCAGTGACGTCAGGACTCCTGTCTAGTAACGAGGGACACCTCAGGAATTTCTTCGAGGCTTGGCAGGGCAAAAGGGACGCTTCTCGAGGTGAGGCAGGGCACCCAAGGACCCTTTCCAGTAGCCACAGGGATTTTGGGATTCCTATCAGTATTCAAGAGGAGGCAGGCGTCATCACCTTTTGAAGAAATGAACTCCGCCTACCTCTCGAGGAGTCAGCAGGATGTGAAGCATTCCGTCAAAATGAGGCAGGGACCTAGGGCTTTCTCTAAGGTCTCCACAGGGGATTCAGACATCCCTTCATGTTGTGAGATGAAAGACGAGCCTGTATTCAAGCCACTACAAGGAAATCCGGCCTCCTTTCAAGTTAGGGCTTCTCGCTCTATATTCCCCTTGAGGCAGCAAACTCGGGGTCCCTCCCTCATACCTATTGCTGAGAGAAGCCTCCTCCTGAGGTGCTTCCAGAAACTTGGCATACGTCTTGAGCCTAAGCCAGGGAATCAGCTCTCATCTCGAGATGATTTGGGGTACACGGAGCATTCCTCAAGTTGCTGTGCTGAAGTTGGTGTTCCTCTAGTCTTGGGACAGTGTTCTCGGGGCATCTCTGGAGTTTCCTGAATGAAGTTGAGCCACCGCTCGTGTTGAATGGGGAACGGGGAATGGCTCTGGAGTCAATGCAGGGGAATCGGGCCTCATCGCGAGTTGATTTGGGGCACATGGAGCTGCTTTGCGTTGATGGGGTGACCTCAAGGTCCGTCTAGACTGGTGACAGTGTTCTTGGGGACTGTCTCGAGATCCATTAAGCAAGTCGAAGCTCCTGACTTGTTTGAATGGGATCACGGAATAGCTCTTTATGCACTGCAGGGGAATGGGGTCTCATCTCGCCTCTAGGGGGAAGTCTCATGGTTTTTCTCGAGTTGAGGCGGGGACCTGGGGTATGTTCTCGACTTACAGAGGGGATGGCCCTTCAAAACACGAGTTTCTTCAGTGACGTCAGGACTCCTGTCTAGTAAGTGAGGGACACCTCAGGAATCTCTTCGAGGCTTGGCAGGGCAAAAGGGACGCTTCTCGAGGTGAGGCAGGGCACCCAAGGACCCTTTCCAGTAGCCACAGGGATTTTGGGATTCCTATCAGTATTCAAGAGGAGTCAGGCGTCATCACCTTTTGAAGAAATGAACTCCGCCTAACTCTCGAGGAGTCACCGGGATGTGAAGCATTCCGTCAAAATGAGGCAGGGACCTAGGGCTTTCTCTGAGGTCTCCACAGGTGATTCAGACATCCCTTCATGTTGTGAGATGAAAGACGAGCCTGTATTCAAGCCACTGGAAGGAAATCCGGCCTCCTTTCAAGTTAGGGCTTCTCGCTGTATATTCCCCTTGAGGCAGCAAACTCGGGGTCCCTCCCTCATACCTATTGCTGAGAGAAGCCTCCTCCTGAGGTGCTTCTGGAAAGTTGGCATACGTCTTGAGCCTAAGCCAGGGAATCGGCTCTCATCTCGAGATGATTTGGGGTACACGGAGCATTCCTCGAGTTGCTGTGCTGAAGTTGGTGTTCCTCTAGACTTGGGACAGTGTTCTCGGGGCATCTCTGGAGTTGGCTGAAGGAAGTTGAGCCACCGCTCGTGTTGAATGGGGAACGGGGAATGGCTCTGGAGTCAATGCAGGGGAATCGGGCCTCATCGCGAGTTGATTTGGGGCACATGGAGCTGCTTTGCGTTGATGGGGTGACCTCAAGGTCCGTCTAGACTGGTGACAGTGTTCTTGGGGACTGTCTCGAGATCCATTAAGCAAGTCGAAGCTCCTGACTTGTTTGAATGGGATCACGGAATAGCTCTGCATGCACTGCAGGGGAATGGGACCTCATGTCGCCTCTAGGGGAAGTCTCATGGTTTTTCTCGAGTTGCGCCGGGGACCTGGGGTATGTTCTCGACTTACGGCGGGGATGGCCCTTCAAAACACGAGTTTCTTCAGTGACGTCAGGACTCCTGTCTAGTAACGAGGGACACCTCAGGAATCTCTTCGAGGCTTGGCAGGGCAAAAGGGACGCTTCTCGAGGTGAGGCAGGGCACGCAAGGAACCTTTCCATTAGCCACAGGGATGTTGGATTCCTATCACTATTCAAGAGGAGTCAGGCATCGTCACCTTTTGAAGCAATGAACTCCGCGTGCCTTTCGAGGTGTCAGCGGGATGTGAGGCATTCCGTCAAAATGAGGCATGGACATAGGGCTTTCACTAAGGTCTCCACAGGGGATTCAGACATCCCTTCATGTTTTGAGATGAAAGACGAGCCTGTATTCAAGCCACTACAAGGAAATCCGGCCTCCTTTCAAGTTAGGGCTTCTCGCTCTATATTCCCCTTGAGGTAGCAAACTCGGGGTCCCTCCCTCATACCTATTGCTGAGAGAAGCCTCCTCCTGAGGTGCTTCCGGAAAGTTGGCATACGTCTGGAGCCTAAGCCAGGGAATCAGCTCTCATCTCGAGATGATTTGGGGTACACGGAGCATTCCTCGAGTTGCTGTGCTGAAGTTGGTGTTCCTCTAGTCTTGGGACAGTGTTCTCGGGGCATCTCTGGAGTTTCCTGAATGAAGTCGAGCCACCGGTCGTGTTGAATGGGGAACGGGGAATGGCTCTGGAGTCAATGCAGGGGAATCGGGCCTCATCTCGAGTTGATTTGGGGCACATGGAGCTGCTTTGCGTTGATGGGGTGACCTCAGGGTCCGTCTAGACTGGTGACAGTGTTCTTGGGGACTGTCTCGTGATCCATTAAGCAAGTCGAAGCTCCTGACTTGTTTGAATGGGATCACGGAATAGCTCTGCATGCACTGCAGGGGAATGGGGTCTCATCTCTCCTCTAGTGGGAAGTCTCATGGTTTTTCTCGACTTGAGGCGGGGACCTGGGGTATGTTCTCGACTTACGGAGGGGATGGCCCTTCAAAACACGAGTTTTTTCAGTGACGTCAGGACTCATGTCTAGTAAGTGAGGGACACCTCAGGAATCGCTTCGAGGCTTGGCAGGGCAAAAGGGACGCTTCTCGAGGTGAGGCAGGGCACCTAAGGACCCTTTCCAGTAGCCACAGGGATTTTGGGATTCCTATCAGTATTCAAGAGGAGTCAGGCGTCATCACCTTTTGAAGAAATGAACTCCGCCTAACTCTCGAGGAGTCACCGGGATGTGAAGCATTCCGTCAAAATGAGGCAGGGACCTAGGGCTTTCTCTGAGGTCTCCACAGGGGATTCAGACATCCCTTCATGTTGTGAGATGAAAGACGAGCCTGTATTCAAGCCACTGCAAGAAAATCCGGCCTCCTTTCAAGTTAGGGCTTCTCGCTGTATATTCCCCTTGAGGCAGCAAACTCGGGGTCCCTCCCTCATACCTATTGCTGAGAGAAGCCTCCTCCTGAGGTGCTTCCGGAAAGTTGGCATACGTCTTGAGCCTAAGCCAGGGAATCAGCTCTCATCTCGAGATGATTTGGGGTACACGGAGCATTCCTCGAGTTGCTGTGCTGAAGTTGGTGTTCCTCTAGTCTTGGGACAGTGTTCTCGGGGCATCTCTGGATTTTCCTGAATGAAGTCGAGCCACCGGTCGTGTTGAATGGGGAACGGGGAATGGCTCTGGAGTCAATGCAGGTGAATTGGGCCTCATCTCGAGGTGATTTGGGGCACATGGAGCTGCTTTGCATTGATGGGGGGACCTCAGGGTCCGTCTAGAGGTGACAGTGTTCTTGGGGACTGTCTCGTGATCCATTAAGCAAGTCGAAGCTCCTGACTTGTTTGAATGGGATCACGGAATAGCTCTGCATGCACTGCAGGGGAATGGGGTCTCATCTCGCCTCTAGGGGGAAGTCTCATGGTTTTTTTCGAGTTGCGGCGGGGACCTGGGTTATGTTCTCGACTTACGGAGGGGATGGCCCTTCAAAACACGAGTTTCTTCAGTGACGTCAGGACTCCTGTCTAGTAACGAGGGACACTTCAGGAATCTCCTCGAGGCTTGGCAGGGCAAAAGGGACACTTCTCGAGGTGAGGCAGGGCACCCAAGGACCCTTTCCAGTAGCCACAGGGATTTTGGGATTCCTATCAGTATTCAAGAGGAGTCAGGCGTCATCACCTTTTGAAGTAATGAACTCCGAGTACCTCTCGAGGAGTCAGCGGGATGTGAAGCATTCCATCAAAATGAGGCAGGGACCTAGGGCTTTCTCTAAGGTCTCCACAGGGGATTCAGACATCCCTTCATGTTGTGAGATGAAAGACGAGCCTGTATTCAAGCCACTGCAAGGAAATCCGGCCTCCTTTCAAGATAGGGCTTCTCGCTCTATATTTCCCTTGAGGCAGCAAACTCGGGGTCCCTCCCTCGTACCTATTGCTGAGAGCAGCCTCCTCCTGAGGTGCTTCCGGAAAGTTGGCATACGTCTTGATCCTAAGCCAGGGAATCAGCTCTCATCTCGAGACGATTTGGGGTACACGGAGCATTCCTCGAGTTGCTGTGCTGTAGTTGGTGTTCCTCTAGACTTGGGACAGTGTTCTCGGGGCATCTCTGGAGTTGCCTGAAGGAAGTCGAGCCACCGGTCGTGTTGAATGGGGAACGGGGAATGGCTCTGGAGTCAATGCAGGGGAATCGGGCCTAATCTCGAGGTGATTTGGGGCACATGGAGCTGCTTTGCGTTGCTGGGGTGACCTCAGGGTCCGTCTAGACTGGTGACAGTGTCTTGGGACTGTCTCGAGAATCATTAAGCAAGTCGAAGCTCCTGACTTGTTTGAATGGGATCACGGAATAGCTCTGCATGCACTGCAGGGAAATGGGGCCTCATGTCGCCTCTAGGGGGAAGTCTCATGGTTTTTCTCGAGTTGCGGAGGGGACCTGGGGTATGTTCTCGACTTACGGCGGGGATGGCCCTTCAAAACACGAGTTTCTTCAGTGACGTCAGGACTCCTGTCTAGTAACGAGTGACACCTCAGGAATCTCTTCGAGGCTTGGCAGGGCAAAAGGGACGCTTCTCGAGGTGAGGCAGGGCACCCAAGGACCCTTTCCAGTAGCCACAGGGATTTTGGATTCCTATCAGTATTCAAGAGGAGTCAGGCATCGTCACCTTTTGAAGCAATGAACACCGCGTGCCTCTCGAGGTGTCAGCGGGATGTGAGGCATTCCGTCAAAATGAGGCAGGGACCTAGGGCTTTCTCTAAGGTCTCCACAGGGGATTCAGACATCCCTTCATGTTGTGAGATGAAAGACGAGCCTGTATTCAAGCCACTACAAGGAAATCCGGCCTCCTTTCAAGTTAGGGCTTCTCGCTCTATATTCCCCTTGAGGCAGCAAACTCGGGGTCCCTTCCTCATACCTATTGCTGAGAGAAGCCTCCTCCTGAGGTGCTTCTGGAAAGTTGGCATACGTCTTGAGTCTAAGCCAGGGAATCAGCTCTCATCTCGAGATGATTTGCGGTAAACGGAGAATTCCTCGAGTTGCTGTGCTGAAGTTGGTGTTCCTCTAGACTTGGGACAGTGTTCTCGGGGCATATCTGGAGTTGCCTGAAGGAAGTCGAGCCACCGGTCGTGTTGAATGGGGAACGGGGAATGGCTCTGGAGTCAATGCAGGGGAATCGGGCCTCATCTCGAGTTGATTGGGGGCACATGGAGCTGCTTTGCATTGATGGGGTGACCTCAGGGTCCGTCTAGACTCCTGACAGTGTTCTTTGGGACTGTTTCGTGATCCATTAAGCAAGTGGAAGCTCCTGACTTGTTTGAATGGGATCACGGAATAGCTCTGCATGCACTGCAGGGGAATGGGACCTCATGTCGCCTCTAGGTGAAGTCTCATGGTTTTTCTCGAGTTGCGCCGGGGACCTGGGGTATGTTCTCGACTTACGGCGGGGATGGCCCTTCAAAATACGAGTTTCTTCAGTGACGTCAGGACTCCTGTCTAGTAACGAGGGACACCTCAGGAATCTCTTCGAGGCTTGGCAGGGCAAAAGGGACGCTTCTCGAGGTGAGGCAGGGCACCCAAGGAACCTTTCCATTAGCCACAGGGATTTTGGATTCCTATCACTATTCAAGAGGAGTCAGGCATCGTCACCTTTTGAAGCAATGAACTCCGCGTGCCTTTCGAGGTGTCAGCGGGATGTGAGGCATTCCGTCAAAATGAGGCAGGGACATAGGGCTTTCACTAAGGTCTCCACAGGGGATTCAGACATCCCTTCATGTTGTGAGATGAAAGACGAGCCTGTATTCAAGCCACTACAAGGAAATCCGGCCTCCTTTCAAGTTAGGGCTTCTCGCTCTATATTCCCCTTGAGGCAGCAAACTCGGGGTCCCTCCCTCATACCTATTGCTGACAGAAGCCTCCTCCTGAGGTGCTTCTGGAAAGTTGGCATACGTCTTGAGCCTAAGCCAGGGAATCAGCTCTCATCTCGAGATGATTTGGGGTACACGGAGCATTCCTCGAGTTGCTGTGCTGAAGTTGGTGTTCCTCTAGTCTTGGGACAGTGTTCTCGGGGCATCTCTGGAGTTTCCTGAATGAAGTCGAGCCACCGGTCGTGTTGAATGGGGAATGGGGAATGGCTCTGGAGTCAATGCAGGGGAATCGGGCCTCATCTCGAGTTGATTTGGGGCACATGGAGCTGCTTTGCGTTGATGGGGTGACCTCAGGGTCCGTCTAGACTGGTGACAGTGTTCTTGGGGACTGTCTCGTGATCCATTAAGCAAGTCGAAGCTCCTGACTTGTTTGAATGGTATCACAGAATAGCTCTGCATGCACTGCAGGGGAATGGGGTCTCATCTCTCCTCTAGTGGGAAGTCTCATGGTTTTTCTCGAGTTGCGCCGGGGACCTGGGGTATGTTCTCGACTTACGGCGGGGATGGCCCTTCAAAACACGAGTTTCTTCAGTGACGTCAGGACTCATGTCTAGGAAGTGAGGGACACCTCAGGAATCGCTTCGAGGCTTGGCAGGGCAAAAGGGACGCTTCTCGAGGTGAGGCAGGGCACCTAAGGACCCTTTCCAATAGCCACAGGGATTTTGGGATTCCTATCAGTATTCAAGAGGAGTCAGGCGTCATCACCTTTTGAAGAAATGAACTCCGCCTAACTCTCGAGGAGTCACCGGGATGTGAAGCATTCCGTCAAAATGAGGCAGGGACCTAGGGCTTTCTCTGAGGTCTCCACAGGGGATTCAGACATCCCTTCATGTTGTGAGATGAAAGACGAGCCTGTATTCAAGCCACTGCAAGGAAATCCGGCCTCCTTTCAAGTTAGGGCTTCTCGCTGTATATTCCCCTTGAGGCAGCAAACTCGGGGTCCCTCCCTCATACCTATTGCTGAGAGAAGCCTCCTCCTGAGGTGCTTCCGGAAAGTTGGCATACGTCTTGAGCCTAAGCCAGGGAATCAGCTCTCATCTCGAGATGATTTGGGGTACACGGAGCATTCCTCGAGTTGCTGTGCTGAAGTTGGTGTTCCTCTAGTCTTGGGACAGTGTTCTCGGGGCATCTCTGGATTTTCCTGAATGAAGTCGAGCCACCGGTCGTGTTGAATGGGGAACGGGGAATGGCTCTGGAGTCAATGCAGGGGAATTGGGCCTCATCTCGAGTTGATTTGGGGCACATGGAGCTGCTTTGCATTGATGGGGGGACCTCAGGGTCCGTCTAGACTGGTGACAGTGTTCTTGGGGACTGTCTCGTGATCCATTAAGCAAGTCGAAGCTCCTGACTTGTTTGAATGGGATCACGGAATAGCTCTTTATGCACTGCAGGGGAATTGGGTCTCATCTCGCCTCTAGGGGGAAGTCTCATGGTTTTTCTCGAGTTGTGGCGGGGACCTGGGTTATGTTCTCGACTTACGGAGGGGATGGCCCTTCAAAATACGAGTTTCTTCAGTGACGTCAGGACTCCTGTCTAGTAACGAGGGACACTTCAGGAATCTCCTCGAGGCTTGGCAGGGCAAAAGGGACACTTCTCGAGGTGAGGCAGGGCACCCAAGGACCCTTTCCAGTAGCCACAGGGATTTTGGGATTCCTATCAGTATTCAAGAGGAGTCAGGCATCCTCACCTTTTGAAGTAATGAACTCCGAGTACCTCTCGAGGAGTCAGCGGGATGTGAAGCATTCCATCAAAATGAGGCAGGGACCTAGGGCTTTCTCTAAGGTCTCCACAGGGGATTCAGACATCCCTTCATGTTGTGAGATGAAAGACGAGCCTGTATTCAAGCCACTGCAAGGAAATCCGGCCTCCTTTCAAGTTAGGGCTTCTCGCTCTATATTTCCCTTGAGGCAGCAAACTCGGGGTCCCTCCCTCGTACCTATTGCTGAGAGCAGCCTCCTCCTGAGGTGCTTCCGGAAAGTTGGCATACGTCTTGATCCTAAGCCAGGGAATCAGCTCTCATCTCGAGACGATTTGGGGTACACGGAGCATTCCTCGAGTTGCTGTGCTGAAGTTGGTGTTCCTCTATTCTTGGGACAGTGTTCTCGGGGCATCTCTGGAGTTGCCTGAAGGAAGTCGAGCCACCGGTCGTGTTGAATGGGGAACGGGGAATGGCTCTGGAGTCAATGCAGGGGAATCGGGCCTCATCTCGAGGTGATTTGGGGCACATGGAGCTGCTTTGCGTTGCTGGGGTGACCTCAGGGTCCGTCTAGACTGGTGACAGTGTCTTGGGACTGTCTCGAGAATCATTAAGCAAGTCGAAGCTCCTGACTTGTTTGAATGGGATCACGGAATAGCTCTGCATGCACTGCAGGGAAATGGCGCCTCATGTCGCCTCTAGGGGGAAGTCTCATGGTTTTTCTCGAGTTGCGGCGGGGACCTGGGGTATGTTCTCGACTTACGGCGGGGATGGCCCTTCAAAACACGAGTTTCTTCAGTGACGTCAGGACTCCTGTCTAGTAACGAGTGACACCTCAGGAATCTCTTCGAGGCTTGGCAGGGCAAAAGGGACGCTTCTCGAGGTGAGGCAGGGCACCCAAGGACCCTTTCCAGTAGCCACAGGGATTTTGGATTCCTATCAGTATTCAAGAGGAGTCAGGCATCGTCACCTTTTGAAGCAATGAACACCGCGTGCCTCTCGAGGTGTCAGCGGGATGTGAGGCATTCCGTCAAAATGAGGCAGGGACCTAGGGCTTTCTCTAAGGTCTCCACAGGGGATTCAGACATCCCTTCATGTTGTGAGATGAAAGACGAGCCTGTATTCAAGCCACTACAAGGAAATCCGGCCTCCTTTCAAGTTAGGGCTTCTCGCTCTATATTCCCCTTGAGGCAGCAAACTCGGAGTCCCTCCCTCATACCTATTGCTGAGAAAAGCCTCCTCCTGAGGTGCTTCTGGAAAGTTGGCATACGTCTTGAGCCTAAGCCAGGGAATCAGCTCTTATCTCGAGATGATTTGGGGTACACGGAGCATTCCTCGAGTTACTGTGCTGAAGTTGGTGTTCCTCTAGACTTGGGACAGTGTTCTCGGGGCATCTCTGGAGTTGGCTGAAGGAAGTCGAGCCACCGGTCGTGTTGAATGGGGAACGGGGAATGGCTCTGGAGTCAATGCAGGGGAATCGGGCCTCATCTCGAGTTGATTGGGGGCACATGGAGCTGCTTTGCATTGATGGGGTGACCTCAGGGTCCGTCTAGACTCCTGACAGTGTTCTTTGGGACTGTTTCGTGATCCATTAAGCAAGTGGAAGCTCCTGACTTGTTTGAATGGGATCACGGAATAGCTCTGCATGCACTGCAGGGGAATGGGACCTCATGTCGCCTCTAGGTGAAGTCTCATGGTTTTTCTCGAGTTGCGCCGGGGACCTGGGGTATGTTCTCGACTTACGGCGGGGATGGCCCTTCAAAATACGAGTTTCTTCAGTGACGTCAGGACTCCTGTCTAGTAACGAGGGACACCTCAGGAATCTCTTCGAGGCTTGGCAGGGCAAAAGGGACGCTTCTCGAGGTGAGGCAGGGCACCCAAGGAACCTTTCCATTAGCCACAGGGATTTTGGATTCCTATCACTATTCAAGAGGAGTCAGGCATCGTCACCTTTTGAAGCAATGAACTCCGCGTGCCTTTCGAGGTGTCAGCGGGATGTGAGGCATTCCGTCAAAATGAGGCAGGGACATAGGGCTTTCTCTAAGGTCTCCACAGGGGATTCAGACATCCCTTCATGTTGTGAGATGAAAGACGAGCCTGTATTCAAGCCACTACAAGGAAATCCGGCCTCCTTTCAAGTTAGGGCTTCTCGCTCTATATTCCCCTTGAGGCAGCAAACTCGGGGTCCCACCCTCATACCTATTGCTGACAGAAGCCTCCTCCTGAGGTGCTTCCGGAAAGTTGGCATACGTCTGGAGCCTAAGCCAGGGAATCAGCTCTCATCTCGAGATGATTTGGGGTACACGGAGCATTCCTCGAGTTGCTGTGCTGAAGTTGGTGTTCCTCTAGTCTTGGGACAGTGTTCTCGGGGCATCTCTGGAGTTTCCTGAATGAAGTCGAGCCACCGGTCGTGTTGAATGGGGAATGGGGAATGGCTCTGGAGTCAATGCAGGGGAATCGGGCCTCATCTCGAGTTGATTTGGGGCACATGGAGCTGCTTTGCGTTGATGGGGTGACCTCAGGGTCCGTCTAGACTGGTGACAGTGTTCTTGGGGACTGTCTCGTGATCCATTAAGCAAGTCGAAGCTCCTGACTTGTTTGAATGGAATCACAGAATAGCTCTGCATGCACTGCAGGGGAATGGGGTCTCATCTCTCCTCTAGTGGGAAGTCTCATGGTTTTTCTCGAGTTGCGCCGGGGACCTGGGGTATGTTCTCGACTTACGGCGGGGATGGCCCTTCAAAACACGAGTTTCTTCAGTGACGTCAGGACTCATGTCTAGGAAGTGAGGGACACCTCAGGAATCGCTTCGAGGCTTGGCAGGGCAAAAGGGACGCTTCTCGAGGTGAGGCAGGGCACCTAAGGACCCTTTCCAGTAGCCACAGGGATTTTGGGATTCCTATCAGTATTCAAGAGGAGTCAGGCGTCATCACCTTTTGAAGAAATGAACTCCGCCTAACTCTCGAGGAGTCACCGGGATGTGAAGCATTCCGTCAAAATGAGGCAGGGACCTAGGGCTTTCTCTGAGGTCTCCACAGGGGATTCAGACATCCCTTCATGTTGTGAGATGAAAGACGAGCCTGTATTCAAGCCACTGCAAGGAAATCCGGCCTCCTTTCAAGTTAGGGCTTCTCGCTGTATATTCCCCTTGAGGCAGCAAACTCGGGGTCCCTCCCTCATACCTATTGCTGAGAGAAGCCTCTTCCTGAGGTGCTTCCGGAAAGTTGGCATACGTCTTGAGCCTAAGCCAGGGAATCAGCTCTCATCTCGAGATGATTTGGGGTACACGGAGCATTCCTCGAGTTGCTGTGCTGAAGTTGGTGTTCCTCTAGTCTTGGGACAGTGTTCTCGGGGCATCTCTGGATTTTCCTGAATGAAGTCGAGCCACCGGTCGTGTTGAATGGGGAACGGGGAATGGCTCTGGAGTCAATGCAGGGGAATTGGGCCTCATCTCGAGTTGATTTGGGGCACATGGAGCTGCTTTGCATTGATGGGGGGACCTCCGGGTCCGTCTAGACTGGTGACAGTGTTCTTGGGGACTGTCTCATGATCCATTAAGCAAGTCGAAGCTCCTGACTTGTTTGAATGGGATCACGGAATAGCTCTTTATGCACTGCAGGGGAATGGGGTCTCATCTCGCCTCTAGGGGGAAGTCTCATGGTTTTTCTCGAGTTGTGGCGGGGACCTGGGTTATGTTCTCGACTTACGGAGGGGATGGCCCTTCAAAACACGAGTTTCTTCAGTGACGTCAGGACTCCTGTCTAGTAACGAGGGACACTTCAGGAATCTCCTCGAGGCTTGGCAGGGCAAAAGGGACACTTCTCGAGGTGAGGCAGGGCACCCAAGGACCCTTTCCAGTAGCCACAGGGATTTTGGGATTCCTATCAGTATTCAAGAGGAGTCAGGCGTCATCACCTTTTGAAGTAATGAACTCCGAGTACCTCTCGAGGAGTCAGCGGGATGTGAAGCATTCCATCAAAATGAGGCAGGGACCTAGGGCTTTCTCTAAGGTCTCCACAGGGGATTCAGACATCCCTTCATGTTGTGAGATGAAAGAGGAGCCTGTATTCAAGCCACTGCAAGGAAATCCGGCCTCCTTTCAAGTTAGGGCTTCTCGCTCTATATTTCCCTTTAGGCAGCAAATTCGGGGTCCCTCCCTCGTACCTATTGCTGAGAGCAGCCTCCTCCTGAGGTGCTTCCGGAAAGTTGGCATACGTCTTGATCCTAAGCCAGGGAATCAGCTCTCATCTCGAGACGATTTGGGGTACACGGAGCATTCCTCGAGTTGCTATGCTGAAGTTGGTGTTCCTCTCGACTTGGGACAGTGTTCTCGGGGCATCTCTGGAGTTGCCAGAAGGAAGTCGAGCCACCGGTCGTGTTGAATGGGGAACGGGGAATGGCCCTGGAGTCAATGCAGGGGAGTCAGGCCTCATCTCGAGGTGATTTGGGGCACATGGAGCTGCTTTGCGTTGCTGGGGTGACCTCAGGGTCCGTCTAGACTGGTGACAGTGTTCTTGGGACTGTCTCGAGAATCATTAAGCAAGTCGAAGCTCCTGACTTGTTTGAATGGGATCACGGAATAGCTCTGCATGCACTGCAGGGAAATGGGGCCTCATGTCGCCTCTAGGGGGAAGTCTCATGGTTTTTCTCGAGTTGCGGCGGGGACCTGGGGTATGTTCTCGACTTACGGCGGGGATGGCCCTTCAAAACACGAGTTTCTTCAGTGACGTCAGGACTCCTGTCTAGTAACGAGTGACACCTCAGGAATCTCTTCGAAGCTTGGCAGGGCAAAAGGGACGCTTCTCGAGGTGAGGCAGGGCACCCAAGGACCCTTTCCAGTAGCCACGGGGATTTTGGATTCCTATCAGTATTCAAGAGGAGTCAGGCATCGTCACCTTTTGAAGCAATGAACTCCGCGTGCCTCTCCAGGTGTCAGCGGGATGTGAGGCATTCCGTCAAAATGAGGCAGGGACCTAGGGCTTTCTCTAAGGTCTCCACAGGGGATTCAGACATCCCTTCATGTTGTGAGATGAAAGACGAGCCTGTATTCAAGCCACTACAAGGAAATCCGGCCTCCTTTCAAGTTAGGGCTTCTCGCTCTATATTCCCCTTGAGGCAGCAAACTCGGAGTCCCTCCCTCATACCTATTGCTGAGAGAAGCCTCCTCCTGAGGTGCTTCTGGAAAGTTGACATACGTCTTGAGCCTAAGCCAGGGAATCAGCTGTCATCTCGAGATGATTTGGGGTACACGGAGCATTCCTCGAGTTGCTGTGCTGAAGTTGGTGTTCCTCTAGACTTGGGACAGTGTTCTCGGGGCATTTCTGGAGTTGGCTGAAGGAAGTCGAGCCACCGGTCGTGTTGAATGGGGAACGGGGAATGGCTCTGGAGTCAATACAGGGGAATCGGGCCTCATCTCGAGTTGATTTGGGGCACATGGAGCTGCTTTGCATTGATGGGGTGACCTCAGGGTCCGTGTAGACTCCTGACAGTGTTCTTTGGGACTGTTTCGTGATCCATTAAGCAAGTGGAAGATCCTGACTTGTTTGAATGGGATCACGGAATAGCTCTGCATGCACTGCAGGGGAATGGGACCTCATGTCGCCTCTAGGGGAAGTCTCATGGTTTTTCTCGAGTTGCGCCGGGGACCTGGGGTACGTTCTCGACTTACGGCAGGGATGGCCCTTCAAAACACGAGTTTCTTCAGTGACGTCAGGACTCCTGTCTAGTAACGAGGGACACCTCAGGAATCTCTTCGAGGCTTGGCAGGGCAAAAGGGACGCTTCTCGAGGTGAGGCAGGGCACCCAAGGAACCTTTCCACTAGCCACAGGGATTTTGGATTCCTATCACTATTCAACAGGAGTCAGGCATCGTCACCTTTTGAAGCAATGAACTCCGCGTGCCTTTCGAGGTGTCAGCGGGATTTGAGGCATTCCGTCAAAATGAGGCAGGGACATAGGGCTTTCTCTAAGGTCTCCACAGGGGATTCAGACATCCCTTCATGTTGTGAGATGAAAGAGGAGCCTGTATTCAAGCCACTACAAGGAAATCCGGCCTCCTTTCAAGTTAGGGCTTCTCGCTCTATATTCCCCTTGAGGCAGAAAACTCGGGGTCCCTCCCTCATACCTATTGCTGAGAGAAGCCTCCTCCTGAGGTGCTTCCGGAAAGTTGGCATACGTCTTGAGCCTAAGCCAGGGAATCAGCTCTCATCTTGAGATGATTTGGGGTACACGGAGCATTCCTCGAGTTGCTGTGCTGAAGTTGGTGTTCCTCTAGTCTTGGGACAGTGTTCTCGGGGCATCTCTGGAGTTTCCTGAATGAAGTTGAGCCACCGATCGTGTTGAATGGGGAACGGGGAATGGCTCTGGAGTCAATGCAGGGGAATCGGGCCTCATCTCGAGGTGATTTCGGGCACATGGAGCTGCTTTGCGTTGCTGGGGGTACCTCAGGGTCCGTCTAGACTGGTGACAGTGTTCTTGGGGACTGTCTCGAGATCCATTAAGCAAGTCGAAGCTCCTGACTTGTTTGAATGGGATCACGGAATAGCTCTGCATGCACTGCAGGGGAATGGGGCCTCATGTCGCCTCTAGGGGGAAGTCTCATGGTTTTTCTCGAGTTGCACCGGGGACCTGGGGTATGTTCTCGACTTAAGGCGGGGATGGCCCTTCAAAACACGAGTTTCTTCAGTGACGTCAGGACTCCTGTCTAGTAACGAGGGACACCTCAGGAATTTCTTCGAGGCTTGGCAGGGCAAAAGGGACGCTTCTCGAGGTGAGGCAGGGCACCCAAGGACCCTTTCCAGTAGCCACAGGGATTTTGGGATTCCTATCAGTATTCAAGAGGAGTCAGGCGTCATCACCTTTTGAAGAAATGAACTCCGCCTACCTCTCGAGGAGTCAGCAGGATGTGAAGCATTCCGTCAAAATGAGGCAGGGACCTAGGGCTTTCTCTAAGGTCTCCACAGGGGATTCAGACATCCCTTCATGTTGTGAGATGAAAGACGAGCCTGTATTCAAGCCACTACAAGGAAATCCGGCCTCCTTTCAAGTTAGGGCTTCTCGCTCTATATTCCCCTTGAGGCAGCAAACTCGGGGTCCCTCCCTCATACCTATTGCTGAGAGAAGCCTCCTCCTGAGGTGCTTCCGGAAAGTTGGCATACGTCTTGAGCCTAAGCCAGGGAATCAGCTCTCATCTCGAGATGATTTGGGGTACACGGAGCATTCCTCGAGTTGCTGTGCTGAAGTTGGTGTTCCTCTAGACTTGGGACAGTGTTCTCGGGGCATCTCTGGAGTTGGCTGAAGGAAGTCGAGCCACCGGTCGTGTTGAATGGGGAACGGGGAATGGCTCTGGAGTCAATGCAGGGGAATCAGGCCTCATCTCGAGTTGATTTGGGGCACATGGAGCTGCTTTGCGTTGATGGGGTGACCTCAGCGTCCGTCTAGACTGGTGACACTGTTCTTGGGGACTGTCGAGATCCATTAAGCAAGTCGAAGCTCCTGACTTGTTTGAATTGGATCACGGAATAGCTCTTTATGCACTGCAGGGGAATGGGGTCTCATCTCGCCTCTAGGGGGAAGTCTCATGGTTTTTCTCGAGTTGAGGCGGGGACCTGGGGTATGTTCTCGACTTACGGAGGGGATGGCCATTCAAAACACGAGTTTCTTCAGTGACGTCAGGACTCCTGTCTAGTAAGTGAGGGACACCTCAGGAATCTCTTCGAGGCTTGACAGGGCAAAAGGGACGCTTCTCGAGGTGAGGCAGGGCACCCAAGGACCCTTTCCAGTAGCCACAGGGATTTTGGGATTCCTATCAGTATTCAAGAGGAGTCAGGCGTCATCACCTTTTGAAGAAATGAACTCCGCCTAACTCTCGAGGAGTCACCGGGATGTGAAGCATTCCGTCAAAATGAGGCAGGGACCTAGGGCTTTCTCTGAGGTCTCCACAGGGGATTCAGACATCCCTTCATGTTGTGAGATGAAAGACGAGCCTGTATTCAAGCCACTGCAAGGAAATCCGGCCTCCTTTCAAGTTAGGGCTTCTCGCTGTATATTCCCCTTGAGACAGCAAACTCGGGGTCCCTCCCTCATACCTATTTCTGAGAGAAGCCTCCTCCTGAGGTGCTTCCGGAAAGTTGGCATACGTCTTGATCCTAAGCCAGGGAATCAGCTCTCATCTCGAGACGATTTGGGGTACACAGAGCATTCCTCGAGTTGCTGTGCTGAAGTTGGTGTTCCTCTAGTCTTGGGACAGTGTTCTCGGGGCATCTCTGGAGTTGCCTGAAGGAAGTCGAGCCACCGGTCGTGTTGAATGGGGAACTTGGAATGGCTCTGGAGTCAATGCAGGGGAATCGTGCCTCATCTCGAGGTGATTTGGGGCACATGGAGCTGCTTTGCGTTGCTGGGGGTACCTCAGGGTCCGTCTAGACTGGTGACAGTGTTCTTGGGGACTGTCTCGAGATCCATTAAGCAAGTTGAAGCTCCTGACTTGTTTGAATGGGATCACGGAATAGCTCTGCATGCACTGCAGGGGAATGGGGCCTCATGTCGCCTCTAGGGGGAAGTCTCATGGTTTTTCTCGAGTTGAGGCGGGGACCTGGGGTATGTTCTCGACTTTCGGCGGGGATGGCCCTTCAAAACACGAGTTTCTTCAGTGACGTCAGGACTCCTGTCTAGTAACGAGGGACACCTCAGGAATTTCTTCGAGGCTTGGCAGGGCAAAAGGGACGCTTCTCGAGGTGAGGCAGGGCACCCAAGGACCCTTTCCAGTAGCCACAGGGATTTTGGATTCCTATCAGTATTCAAGAGGAGTCAGGCATCGTCACCTTTTGAAGCAATGAACTCCGCGTGCCTCTCGAGGTGTCAGCGGGATGTGAGGCATTCCGTCAAAATGAGGCAGGGACCTAGGGCTTTCTCTAAGGTCTCCACAGGGGATTCAGACATCCCTTCATGTTGTGAGATGAAAGACGAGCCTGTATTCAAGCCACTACAAGGAAATCCGGCCTCCTTTCAAGTTAGGGCTTCTCGCTCTATATTACCCTTGAGGCAGCAAACTCGGGGTCCCTCCCTCATACCTATTGCTGAGAGAAGCCTCCTCCTGAGGTGCTTCTGGAAAGTTGGCATACGTCTTGAGCCTAAGCCAGGGAATCAGCTCTCATCTCGAGATGATTTGGGGTACATGGAGCATTCCTCGAGTTGCTGTGCTGAAGTTGGTGTTCCTCTAGACTTGGGACAGTGTTCTCGGGGCATCTCTGGAGTTTCCTGAATGAAGTCGAGCCACCGGTCGTGTTGAATGGGGAACGGGGAATGGCTCTGGAGTCAATGCAGGGGAATCGGGCCTCATCTCGAGTTGATTTGGGGCACATGGAGCTGCTATGCGTTGATGGGGTGACCTCAGGGTCCGTCTAGACTGGTGACAGTGTTCTTGGGGACTGTCTCGAGATCCATTAAGCAAGTCGAAGCTCCTGACTTGTTTGAATGGGATCACGGAATAGCTCTGCATGCACTGCAGGGGAATGGGGCCTCATGTCGCCTCTAGGGGGAAGTCTCATGGTTTTTCTCGAGTTGCGGCGGGGACCTGGGGTATGTTCTCGACTTACGGCGGGGATGGCCCTTCAAAACACGAGTTTCTTCAGTGACGTCAGGACTCCTGTCTAGTAACGAGGGACACCTCAGGAATTTCTTCGAGGCTTGGCAGGGCAAAAGGGACGCTTCTCGAGGTGAGGCAGGGCACCCAAGGACCCTTTCCAGTAGCCACAGGGATTTTGGGAATCCTATCAGTATTCAAGAGGAGGCAGGCGTCATCACCTTTTGAAGAAATGAACTCCGCCTAACTCTTGAGGAGTCAGCAGGATGTGAAGCATTCCGTCAAAATGAGGCAGGGACCTAGGTCTTTCTCTAAGGTCTCCACAGGGGATTCAGACATCCCTTCATGTTGTGAGATGAAAGACGAGCCTGTATTCAAGCCACTACAAGGAAATCCGGCCTCCTTTCAAGTTAGGGCTTCTCGCTCTATATTCCCCTTGAGGCAGCAAACTCGGGGTCCCTCCCTCATACCTATTGCTGACAGAAGCCTCCTCCTGAGGTGCTTCCGGAAAGTTGGCATACGTCTTGAGCCTAAGCCAGGGAATTAGCTCTCATCTCGAGATGATTTGGGGTACACGGAGCATTCCTCACGTTGCTGTGCTGAAGTTGGTGTTCCTCTAGTCTTGGGACAGTGTTCTCGGGGCATCTCTGGAGTTTCCAGAATGAAGTTGACCCACCGCTCGTGTTGAATGGGGAACGGGGAATGGATCTGGAGTCAATGCAGGGGAATCGGGCCTCATCTGGAGTTGATTTGGGGCACATGGGGCTGCTTTGCGTTGATGGGGTGACCTCAGGGTCCGTCTAGACTGGTGACAGTGTTCTTGGGGACTGTCTCATGATCCATTAAGCAAGTCGAAGCTCCTGACTTGTTTGAATGGGATCACGGAATAGCTCTGCATGCACTGCAGGGGAATGGGGTCTCATCTCGCCTCTAGTGGGAAGTCTCATGGTTTTTCTCGAGTTCAGGCGGGGACCTGGGGTATGTTCTCGACTTACGGAGGGGATGGCCCTTCAAAACACGAGTATCTTCAGTGACGTCAGGACTCCTGTCTAGTAAGTGAGGGACACCTCAGGAATCTCTTCGAGGCTTGGCACGGCAAAAGGGACTCTTCTCGAGGTGAGGCAGGGCACCCAAGGACCCTTTCCAGTAGCCACATTGATTTTGGGATTCCTATCAGTATTCAAGAGGAGTCAGGCGTCATCACCTTTTGAAGAAATGAACTCCGCCTAACTCTCGAGGAGTCACCGGGATGTGAAGCATTCCGTCAAAATGAGGCAGGGACCTAGGGCTTTCTCTGAGGTCTCCACAGGGGATTCAGACATCCCTTCATGTTGTGAGATGAAAGACGAGCCTGTATTCAAGCCACTACAAGGAAATCCGGCCTCCTTTCAAGTTAGGGCTTCTCGCTGTATATTCCCCTTGAGGCAGCAAACTCGGGGTCCCTCCCTCATACCTATTGCTGAGAGAAGCCTCCTCCTGAGGTGCTTCCGGAAAGTTGGCATACGTCTTGATCCTAAGCCAGGAAATCAGCTCTCATCTCGAGACGATTTGGGGTACACAGAGCATTCCTCGAGTTGCTGTGCTGAAGTTGGTGTTCCTCTAGTCTTGGGACAGTGTTCTCGGGGCATCTCTGGAGTTGCCTGAAGGAAGTCAAGCCACCGGTCGTGTTGAATGGGGAACTTGGAATGGCTCTGGAGTCAATGCAGGGGAATCACCTCTCATCGCGAGATGATTTGGGGTACATGGAGCGTTCCTCGAGTTGCTGTGCTGAAGTTGGTGTTCCTCTAGACTTGGGACAGTGTTCTCGGGGCATCTCTGGAGTTTCCTGAATGAAGTCGAGCCACCGGTCGTGTTGAATGGGGAACGGGGAATGGCTCTGGAGTCAATGCAGGGGAATCGGGCCTCATCTCGAGTTGATTTGGGGCACATGGAGCTGCTTTGCGTTGATGGGGTGACCTCAGGGTCCGTCTAGACTGGTGACAGTGTTCTTGGGGACTGTCTCGAGATCCATTAAGGAAGTCAAAGCTCCTGACTTGTTTGAATGGGATCACGGAATAGCTCTGCATGCACTGCAGGGGAATGGGGCCTCATGTCGCCTCTAGGGGGAAGTCTCATGGTTTTTCTCGAGTTGCGGTGGGGACCTGGGGTTTGTTCTCGACTTACGGCGGGGATGGCCCTTCAAAACACGAGTTTCTTCAGTGACGTCAGGACTCCTGTCTAGTAACGAGGGACACCTCAGGAATTTCTTCGAGGCTTGGCAGGGCAAAAGGGACGCTTCTCGAGGTGAGGCAGGGCACCCAAGGACCCTTTCCAGTAGCCACAGGGATTTTGGATTCCTATCAGTATTCAAGAGGAGTCAGGCATCGTCACCTTTTGAAGCAATGAACTCCGCGTGCCTCTCCAGGTGTCAGCGGGATGTGAGGCATTCCGTCAAAATGAGGCAGGGAACTAGGGCTTTCTCTAAGGTCTCCACAGGGGATTCAGACATCCCTTCATGTTGTGAGATGAAAGACGAGCCTGTATTCAAGCCACTACAAGGAAATCCGGCCTCCTTTCAAGTTAGGGCTTCTCGCTCTATATTCCCCTTGAGGCAGCAAACTCGGGGTCCCTCCCTCATACCTATTGCTGAGAGAAGCCTCCTCCTGAGGTGCTTCTGGAAAGTTGGCATACGTCTTGAGCCTAAGCCAGGGAATCAGCTCTCATCTCGAGATGATTTGGGGTACATGGAGCATTCCTCGAGTTGCTGTGCTGAAGTTGGTGTTCCTCTAGACTTGGGACAGTGTTCTCGGGGCATCTCTGGAGTTGGCTGAAGGAAGTCGAGCCACCGGTCGTGTTGAATGGGGAACGGGGAATGGCTCTGGAGTCAATGCAGGGGAATCGGGCCTCATCTCGAGTTGATTTGGGGCACATGGAGCTGCTTTGCGTTGATGGGGTGACCTCAGGGTCCGTCTAGACTGGTGACAGTGTTCTTGGGGACTGTCTCGAGATCCATTAAGGAAGTCAAAGCTCCTGACTTGTTTGAATGGGATCACGGAATAGCTCTGCATGCACTGCAGGGGAATGGGGCCTCATGTCGCCTCTAGGGGGAAGTCTCATGGTTTTTCTCGAGTTGCGGTGGGGACCTGGGGTTTGTTCTCGACTTACGGCGGGGATGGCCCTTCAAAACACGAGTTTCTTCAGTGACGTCAGGACTCCTGTCTAGTAACGAGGGACACCTCAGGAATTTCTTCGAGGCTTGGCAGGGCAAAAGGGACGCTTCTCGAGGTGAGGCAGGGCACCCAAGGACCCTTTCCAGTAGCCACAGGGATTTTGGATTCCTATCAGTATTCAAGAGGAGTCAGGCATCGTCACCTTTTGAAGCAATGAACTCCGCGTGCCTCTCCAGGTGTCAGCGGGATGTGAGGCATTCCGTCAAAATGAGGCAGGGAACTAGGGCTTTCTCTAAGGTCTCCACAGGGGATTCAGACATCCCTTCATGTTGTGAGATGAAAGACGAGCCTGTATTCAAGCCACTACAAGGAAATCCGGCCTCCTTTCAAGTTAGGGCTTCTCGCTCTATATTCCCCTTGAGGCAGCAAACTCGGGGTCCCTCCCTCATACCTATTGCTGAGAGAAGCCTCCTCCTGAGGTGCTTCTGGAAAGTTGGCATACGTCTTGAGCCTAAGCCAGGGAATCAGCTCTCATCTCGAGATGATTTGGGGTACATGGAGCATTCCTCGAGTTGCTGTGCTGAAGTTGGTGTTCCTCTAGACTTGGGACAGTGTTCTCGGGGCATCTCTGGAGTTGGCTGAAGGAAGTCGAGCCACCGGTCGTGTTGAATGGGGAACGGGGAATGGCTCTGGAGTCAATGCAGGGGAATCGGGCCTCATCTCGAGTTGATTTGGGGCACATGGAGCTGCTTTGCGTTGATGGGGTGACCTCAGGGTCCGTCTAGACTGGTGACAGTGTTCTTGGGGACTGTCTCGAGATCCATTAAGGAAGTCAAAGCTCCTGACTTGTTTGAATGGGATCACGGAATAGCTCTGCATGCACTGCAGGGGAATGGGGCCTCATGTCGCCTCTAGGGGGAAGTCTCATGGTTTTTCTCGAGTTGCGGCGGGGACCTGGGGTATGTTCTCGACTTACGGCGGGGATGGCCCTTCAAAACACGAGTTTCTTCAGTGACGTCAGCACTCCTGTCTAGTAACGAGGGACACCTCAGGAATTTCTTCGAGGCTTGGCAGGGCAAAAGGGACGCTTCTCGAGGTGAGGCAGGGCACCCAAGGACCCTTTCCAGTAGCCACAGGGATTTTGGATTCCTATCAGTATTCAAGAGGAGTCAGGCATCGTCACCTTTTGAAGCAATGAACTCCGCGTGCCTCTCCAGGTGTCAGCGGGATGTGAGGCATTCCGTCAAAATGAGGCAGGGAACTAGGGCTTTCTCTAAGGTCTCCACAGGGGATTCAGACATCCCTTCATGTTGTGAGATGAAAGACGAGCCTGTATTCAAGCCACTACAAGGAAATCCGGCCTCCTTTCAAGTTAGGGCTTCTCGCTCTATATTCCCCTTGAGGCAGCAAACTCGGGGTCCCTCCCTCATACCTATTGCTGAGAGAAGCCTCCTCCTGAGGTGCTTCCGGAAAGTTGGCATACGTCTTGATCCTAAGCCAGGGAATCAGCTCTCATCTCGAGACGATTTGGGGTAGACGGAGCATTCCTCGAGTTTCTGTGCTGAAGTTGGTGTTCCTCTAGTCTTGGGACAGTGTTCTCGGGGCATCTCTGGAGTTGCCTGAAGGAAGTCGAGCCACCGGTCGTGTTGAATGGGGAACTTGGAATGGCTCTGGAGTCAATGCAGGGGAATCGGGCCTCATCTCGAGGTGATTTCGGGCACATGGAGCTGCTTTGCGTTGCTGGGGGTACCTCAGGGTCCGTCTAGACTGGTGACAGTGTTCTTGGGGACTGTCTCGAGATCCATTAAGCAAGTCGAAGCTCCTGACTTGTTTGAATGGGATCACGGAATAGCTCTGCATGCACTGCAGGGGAATGGGGCCTCATGTCGCCTCTAGGGGGAAGTCTCATGGTTTTTCTCGAGTTGCGGCGGGGACCTGGGGTATGTTCTCGACTTACGGCGGGGATGGCCCTTCAAAACACGAGTTTCTTCAGTGACGTCAGGACTCCTGTCTAGTAACGAGGGACACCTCAGGAATTTCTTCGAGGCTTGGCAGGGCAAAAGGGACGCTTCTCGAGGTGAGGCAGGGCACCCAAGGACCCTTTCCAGTAGCCACAGGGATTTTGGGAATCCTATCAGTATTCAAGAGGAGGCAGGCGTCATCACCTTTTGAAGAAATGAACTCCGCCTAACTCTTGAGGAGTCAGCAGGATGTGAAGCATTCCGTCAAAATGAGGCAGGGACCTAGGTCTTTCTCTAAGGTCTCCACAGGGGATTCAGACATCCCTTCATGTTGTGAGATGAAAGACGAGCCTGTATTCAAGCCACTACAAGGAAATCCGGCCTCCTTTCAAGTTAGGGCTTCTCGCTCTATATTCCCCTTGAGGCAGCAAACTCGGGGTCCCTCCCTCATACCTATTGCTGAGAGAAGCCTCCTCCTGAGGTGCTTCCGGAAAGTTGGCATACGTCTTGAGCCTAAGCCAGGGAATCAGCTCTCATCTCGAGATGATTTGGGGTACACGGAGCATTCCTCAAGTTGCTGTGCTGAAGTTGGTGTTCCTCTAGTCTTGGGACAGTGTTCTCGGGGCATCTCTGGAGTTTCCAGAATGAAGTTGACCCACCGCTCGTGTTGAATGGGGAACGGGGAATGGATCTGGAGTCAATGCAGGGGAATCGGGCCTCATCTGGAGTTGATTTGGGGCACATGGAGCTGCTTTGCGTTGATGGGGTGACCTCAGGGTCCGTCTAGACTGGTGACAGTGTTCTTGGGGACTGTCTCATGATCCATTAAGCAAGTCGAAGCTCCTGACTTGTTTGAATGGGATCACGGAATAGCTCTGCATGCACTGCAGGGGAATGGGGTCTCATCTCGCCTCTAGTGGGAAGTCTCATGGTTTTTCTCGAGTTGAGGCGGGGACCTGGGGTATGTTCTCGACTTACGGAGGGGATGGCCCTTCAAAACACGAGTATCTTCAGTGACGTCAGGACTCCTGTCTAGTAAGTGAGGGACACCTCAGGAATCTCTTCGAGGCTTGGCAGGGCAAAAGGGACTCTTCTCGAGGTGAGGCAGGGCACCCAAGGACCCTTTCCAGTAGCCACATTGATTTTGGGATTCCTATCAGTATTCAAGAGGAGTCAGGCTTCATCACCTTTTGAAGAAATGAACTCCGCCTAACTCTCGAGGAGTCACGGGGATGTGAAGCATTCCGTCAAAATGAGGCAGGGACCTAGGGCTTTCTCTGAGGTCTCCACAGGGGATTCAGACATCCCTTCATGTTGTGAGATGAAAGACGAGCCTGTATTCAAGCCACTGAGGAAATCCGGCCTCCTTTCAAGTTAGGGCTTCTCGCTGTATATTCCCCTTGAGGCAGCAAACTCGGGGTCCCTCCCTCATACCTATTGCTGAGAGAAGCCTCCTCCTGAGGTGCTTCCGGAAAGTTGGCATACGTCTTGATCCTAAGCCAGGGAATCAGCTCTCATCTCGAGACGATTTGGGGTACACAGAGCATTCCTCGAGTTGCTGTGCTGAAGTTGGTGTTCCTCTAGTCTTGGGACAGTGTTCTCGGGGCATCTCTGGAGTTGCCTGAAGGAAGTCGAGCCACCGGTCGTGTTGAATGGGGAACTTGGAATGGCTCTGGAGTCAATGCAGGGGAATCACCTCTCATCTCGAGATGATTTGGGGTACATGGAGCATTCCTCGAGTTGCTGTGCTGAAGTTGGTGTTCCTCTAGACTTGGGACAGTGTTCTCGGGGCATCTCTGGAGTTTCCTGAATGAAGTTGAGCCACCGGTCGTGTTGAATGGGGAACGGGGAATGGCTCTGGAGTCAATGCAGGGGAATCGGGCCTCATCTCGAGTTGATTTGGGGCACATGGAGCTGCTTTGCGTTGATGGGGTGACCTCAGGGTCCGTCTAGACTGGTGACAGTGTTCTTGGGGACTGTCTCGAGATCCATTAAGGAAGTCAAAGCTCCTGACTTGTTTGAATGGGATCACGGAATAGCTCTGCATGCACTGCAGGGGAATGGGGCCTCATGTCGCCTCTAGGGGGAAGTCTCATGGTTTTTCTCGAGTTGCGGCGGGGACCTGGGGTATGTTCTCGACTTACGGCGGGGATGGCCCTTCAAAACACGAGTTTCTTCAGTGACGTCAGGACTCCTGTCTAGTAACGAGGGACACCTCAGGAATTTCTTCGAGGCTTGGCAGGGCAAAAGGGACGCTTCTCGAGGTGAGGCAGGGCACCCAAGGACCCTTTCCAGTAGCCACAGGGATTTTGGATTCCTATCAGTATTCAAGAGGAGTCAGGCATCGTCACCTTTTGAAGCAATGAACTCCGCGTGCCTCTCCAGGTGTCAGCGGGATGTGAGGCATTCCGTCAAAATGAGGCAGGGAACTAGGGCTTTCTCTAAGGTCTCCACAGGGGATTCAGACATCCCTTCATGTTGTGAGATGAAAGACGAGCCTGTATTCAAGCCACTACAAGGAAATCCGGCCTCCTTTCAAGTTAGGGCTTCTCGCTCTATATTCCCCTTGAGGCAGCAAACTCGGGGTCCCTCCCTCATAGCTATTGCTGAGAGAAGCCTCCTCCTGAGGTGCTTCCGGAAAGTTGGCATACGTCTTGATCCTAAGCCAGGGTATCAGCTCTCATCTCGAGACGATTTGGGGTACACGGAGCATTCCTCGAGTTGCTGTGCTGAAGTTGGTGTTCCTCTAGTCTTGGGACAGTGTTCTCGGGGCATCTCTGGAGTTGCCTGAAGGAAGTCGAGCCACCGGTCCTGTTGAATGGGGAACGGGGAATGGCTCTGGAGTCAATGCAGGGGAATCGCCCCTCATCTCGAGTTGATTTGGGGCACATGGAGCTGCTTTGCGTTGATGGGGTGACCTCAGGGTCCGTCTAGACTGGTGACAGTGTTCTTGGGGACTGTCTCATGATCCATTAAGCAAGTCGAAGCTCCTGACTTGTTTGAATGGGATCACGGAATAGCTCTGCATGCACTGCAGGGGAATGGGGTCTCATCTCGCCTCTAGGGGGAAGTCTCATGGTTTTTCTCGAGTTGCGCCGGGGACCTGGGGTATGTTCTCGACTTACGGCGGGGATGGCCCTTCAAAACACGAGTTTCTTCAGTGACGTCAGGACTCCTGTCTAGTAACGAGGGACACCTCAGGAATTTCTTCGAGGCTTGGCAGGGCAAAAGGGACGCTTCTCGAGGTGAGGCAGGGCACCCAAGGACCCTTTCCAGTAGCCACAGGGATTTTGGATTCCTATCAGTATTCAAGAGGAGTCAGGCATCGTCACCTTTTGAAGCAATGAACTCCGCGTGCCTCTCGAGGTGTCAGCGGGATGTGAGGCATTCCGTCAAAATGAGGCAGGGACCTAGGGCTTTCTCTAAGGTCTCCACAGGGGATTCAGACATCCCTTCATGTTGTGAGATGAAAGACGAGCCTGTATTCAAGCCATTACAAGGAAATCCGGCCTCCTTTCAAGTTAGGGCTTCTCGCTCTATATTCCCCTTGAGGCAGCAAACTCGGGGTCCCTCCCTCATACCTATTGCTGAGAGAAGCCTCCTCCTGAGGTGCTTCTGGAAAGTTGGCATACGTCTTGAGCCTAAGCCAGGGAATCAGCTCTCATCTCGAGATGATTTGGGGTACATGGAGCATTCCTCGAGTTGCTGTGCTGAAGTTGGTGTTCCTCTAGACTTGGGACAGTGTTCTCGGGGCATCTCTGGAGTTTCCTGAATGAAGTCGAGCCACCGGTCGTGTTGAATGGGCAACGGGGAATGGCTCTGGAGTCAATGCAGGGGAATCGGGCCTCATCTCGAGTTGATTTGGGGCACATGGAGCTGCTTTGCGTTGATGGGGTGACCTCAGGGTCCGTCTAGACTGGTGACAGTGTTCTTGGGGACTGTCTCGAGATCCATTAAGGAAGTCAAAGCTCCTGACTTGTTTGAATGGGATCACGGAATAGCTCTGCATGCACTGCAGGGGAATGGGGCCTCATGTCGCCTCTAGGGGGAAGTCTCATGGTTTTTCTCGAGTTGCGGCGGGGACCTGGGGTATGTTCTCGACTTACGGCGGGGATGGCCCTTCAAAACACAAGTTTCTTCAGTGACGTCAGGACTCCTGTCTAGTAACGAGGGACACCTCAGGAATTTCTTCGAGGCTTGGCAGGGCAAAAGGGACGCTTCTCGAGGTGAGGCAGGGCACCCAAGGACCGTTCAGTAGCCACAGGGATTTTGGATTCCTATCAGTATTCAAGAGGAGTCAGGCATCGTCACCTTTTCAAGCAATGAAGTCCGCGTGCCTCTCGAGGTGTCAGCGGAATGTGAGGCATTCCGTCAAAATGAGGCAGGGACCTAGGGCTTTCTCTAAGGTCTCCACAGGGGATTCAGCCATCCCTTCATGTTGTGAGATGAAAGACGAGCCTGTATTCAAGCCACTACAAGGAAATCCGGCCTCCTTTCAAGTTAGGGCTTCTCGCTCTATATTCCCCTTGAGGCAGCAAACTCGGGGTCCCTCCCTCATACCTATTGCTGAGAGAAGCCTCCTCCTGAGGTGCTTCCGGAAAGTTGGCATACGTCTTGAGCCTAAGCCAGGGAATCAGCTCTCATCTCGAGATGATTGGGGGTACACGGAGCATTCCTCGAGTTGCTGTGCTGAAGTTGTTGTTCCTCTAGTCTTGGGACAGTGTTCTCCGGGCATCTCTGGAGTTTCCTGAATGAAGTCGAGCCACCGGTCGTGTCGAATGGGGAAAGGGGAATGGCTCTGGAGTCAATGCAGGGGAATCGGGCCTCATCTCGAGTTGATTTGGGGCACATGGAGCTGCTTTGCGTTGATGGGGTGACCTCAGGGTCCGTCTAGACTGGTGACAGTGTTCTTGGGGACTGTCTCGAGATCCATTAAGGAAGTCAAAGCTCCTGACTTGTTTGAATGGGATCACGGAATAGCTCTGCATGCACTGCAGGGGAATGGGGCCTCATGTCGCCTCTAGGGGGAAGTCTCATGGTTTTTCTCGAGTTGCGGCGGGGACCTGGGGTATATTCTCGACTTACGGCGGGGATGGCCCTTCAAAACACGAGTTTCTTCAGTGACGTCAGGACTCCTGTCTAGTAACGAGGGACACCTCAGGAATTTCTTCAAGGCTTGGCAGGGCAAAAGGGACGCTTCTCGAGGTGAGGCAGGGCACCCAAGGACCCTTTCCAGTAGCCAGAGGGATTTTGGATTCCTATCAGTATTCAAGAGGAGTCAGGCATCGTCACCTTTTGAAGCAATGAATTCCGCGTGCGTCTCCAGGTGTCAGCGGGATGTGAGGCATTCCGTCAAAATGAGGCAGGGAACTAGGGCTTTCTCTAAGGTCTCCACAGGGGATTCAGACATCCCTTCATGTTGTGAGATGAAAGACGAGCCTGTATTCAAGCCACTGCAAGGAAATCCGGCCTCCTTTCAAGTTAGGGCTTCTCGCTGTATATTCCCCTTGAGGCAGCAAACTCGGGGTCCCTCCCTCATACCTATTGCTGAGAGAAGCCTCCTCCTGACGTGCTTCCGGAAAGTTGGCATACGTCTTGAGCCTAAGCCAGGGAATCAGCTCTCATCTCGAGATGATTTGGGGTTCACGGAGCATTCCTCAAGTTGCTGTGTTGAAGTTGGTGTTCCTCTAGTCTTGGGACAGTGTTCTCGGGGCATCTCTGGAGTTTCCAGAATGAAGTTGAGCCACCGCTCGTGTTGAATGGGGAACGGGGAATGGCTCTGGAGTCAATGCAGGGGAATCGGGCCTCATCTCGAGTTGATTTGGGGCACATGGAGCTGCTTTGCGTTGATGGGGTGACCTCAGGGTCCGTCTAGACTGGTGACAGTGTTCTTGGGGACTGTCTCATGATCCATTAAGCAAGTCGAAGCTCCTGACTTGTTTGAATGGGATCACGGAATAGCTCTGCATGCACTGCAGGGGAATGGGGTCTCATCTCGCCTCTAGGGGGAAGTCTCATGGTTTTTCTCGAGTTGAGGCGGGGACCTGGGGTATGTTCTCGACTTACGGAGGGGATGGCCCTTCAAAACACGAGTATCTTCAGTGACGTCAGGACTCCTGTCTAGTAAGTGAGGGACACCTCAGGAATCTCTTCGAGGCTTGGCAGTGCAAAAGGGACGCTTCTCGAGGTGAGGCAGGGCACCCAAGGACCCTTTCCAGTCGCCACAGGGATTTTGGATTCCTATCAGTATTCAAGAGGAGTCAGGCGTCATCACCTTTTGAAGAAATGAACTCCGCCTAACTCTCGAGGAGTCACCGGGATGTGAAGCATTCCGTCAAAATGAGGCAGGGACCTAGGGCTTTCTCTGAGGTCTCCACAGGGGATTCAGACATCCCTTCATGTTGTGAGATGAAAGACGAGCCTGTATTCAAGCCACTGGAAGGAAATCCGGCCTCCTTTCAAGTTAGGGCTTCTCACTGTATATTCCCCTTGAGGCAGCAAACTCGGGGTCCCTCCCTCATACCTATTGCTGAGAGAAGCCTCCTCCTGAGGTGCTTCCGGAAAGTTGGCATACGTCTTGATCCTAAGCCAGGGAATCAGCTCTCATCTCGAGACGATTTGGGGTACACGGAGCATTCCTCGAGTTGCTGTGCTGAAGTTGGTGTTCCTCTCGTCTTGGGACAGTGTTCTCGGGGCATCTCTGGAGTTGCCTGAAGGAAGTCGAGCCACCGGTCGTGTTGAATGGGGAACTTGGAATGGCTCTGTAGTCAATGCAGGGGAATCGGGCCTCATCTCGAGGTGATTTGGGGCACATGGAGCTGCTTTGCGTTGCTGGGGGTACCTCAGGGTCCGTCTAGACTGGTGACAGTGTTCTTGGGGACTGTCTCGAGATCCATTAAGCAAGTTGAAGCTCCTGACTTGTTTGAATGGGATCACGGAATAGCTCTGCATGCACTGCAGGGGAATGGGGCCTCATGTCGCCTCTAGGGGGAAGTCTCATGGTTTTTCTCGAGTTGCGGCGGGGACCTGGGTTATGTTCTTGACTTACGGCGGGGATGGCCCTTCAAAACACGAGTTTCTTCAGTGACGTCAGGACTCCTGTCTAGTAACGAGGGACACCTCAGGAATTTCTTCGAGGCTTGGCAGGGCAAAAGGGACGCTTCTCGAGGTGAGGCAGGGCACCCAAGGACCCTTTCCAGTAGCCACAGGGATTTTGGATTCCTATCAGTATTCAAGAGGAGTCAGGCATCGTCACGTTTTGAAGCAATGAACTCCGCGTGCCTCTCGAGGTGTCAGCGGGATGTGAGGCATTCCGTCAAAATGAGGCAGGGACCTAGGGCTTTCTCTAAGGTCTCCACAGGGGATTCAGACATCCCTTCATGTTGTGAGATGAAAGACGAGCCTGTATTCAAGCCACTACAAGGAAATCCGGCCTCCTTTCAAGTTAGGGCTTCTCGCTGTATATTCCCCTTGAGGCAGCAAACTCGGGGTCCCTCCCTCATACCTATTGCTGAGAGAAGCCTCCTCCTGAGGTGCTTCTGGAAAGTTGGCATACGTCTTGAGCCTAAGCCAGGGAATCAGCTCTCATCTCGAGATGATTTGGGGTACATGGAGCATTCCTCGAGTTGCTGTGCTGAAGTTGGTGTTCCTCTAGACTTGGGACAGTGTTCTCGGGGCATCTCTGGAGTTTCCTGAATGAAGTCGAGCCACCGGTCGTGTTGAATGGGGAACGGGGAATGGCTCTGGAGTCAATGCAGGGGAATCGGGCCTCATCTCGAGTTGATTTGGGGCACATGGAGCTGCTTTGCGTTGATGGGGTGACCTCAGGGTCCGTCTAGACTGGTGACAGTGTTCTTGGGGACTGTCTCGAGATCCATTAAGGAAGTCAAAGCTCCTGACTTGTTTGAATGGGATCACGGAATAGCTCTGCATGCACTGCAGGGGAATGGGGCCTCATGTCGCCACTAGGGGGAAGTCTCATGGTTTTTCTCGAGTTGCGTCGGGGACCTGGGGTATGTTCTCGACTTCCGGCGGGGATGGCCCTTCAAAACACGAGTTTCTTCAGTGACGTCAGGACTCCTGTCTAGTAACGAGGGATACCTCAGGAATCTCTTCGAGGCTTGGCAGGGCAAAAGGGACGCTTCTCGAGGTGAGGCAGGGCACCCAAGGACCCTTTCCAGTAGCCACAGGGATTTTGGATTCCTATCAGTATTCAAGAGGAGTCAGGCATCGTCACCTTTTGAAGCAATGAACTCCGCGTGCCTCTCCAGGTGTCAGCGGGATGTGAGGCATTCCGTCAAATGAGGCAGGGAACTAGGGCTTTCTCTAAGGTCTCCACAGGGGATTCAGACATCCCTTCATGTTGTGAGATGAAAGACGAGCCTGTATTCAAGCCACTACAAGGAAATCCGGCCTCCTTTCAAGTTAGGGCTTCTCGCTCTATATTCCCCTTGAGGCAGCAAACTCGGGGTCCCTCCCTCATACCTATTGCTGAGAGAAGCCTCCTCCTGAGGTGCTTCCAGAAAGTTGGCATACGTCTTGAGCCTAAGCCAGGGAATCAGCTCTCATCTCGAGATGATTTGGGGTACACGGAGCATTCCTCGAGTTGCTGTGCTGAAGTTGGTGTTCCTCTAGTCTTGGGACAGTGTTCTCGGGGCATCTCTGGAGTTGCCTGAAGGAAGTCGAGCCACCGGTCGTGTTGAATGGGGAACTTGGAATGGCTCTGGAGTCAATGCAGGGGAATCGGGCCTCATCTCGAGGTGATTTCGGGCACATGGAGCTGCTTTGCGTTGCTGGGGGTACCTCAGGGTCCGTCTAGACTGGTGACAGTGTTCTTGGGGACTGTCTCGAGATCCATTAAGCAAGTCGAAGCTCGTGACTTGTTTGAATGGGATCACGGAATAGCTCTGCATGCACTGCAGGGGAATGGGGCCTCATGTCGCCTCTAGGGGGAAGTCTCATGGTTTTTCTCGAGTTGCGGCGGGGACCTGGGGTATGTTCTCGACTTACGGCGGGGATGGCCCTTCAAAACACGAGTTTCTTCAGTGACGTCAGGACTCCTGTCTAGTAACGAGGGACACCTCAGGAATTTCTGCGAGGCTTGGCAGGGCAAAAGGGACGCTTCTCGAGGTGAGGCAGGGCACCCAAGGACCCTTTCCAGTAGCCACAGTGATTTTGGGATTCCAATCAGTATTCAAGAGGAGGCAGGCGTCATCACCTTTTGAAGAAATGAACTCCGCCTAACTCTTGAGGAGTCAGCAGGATGTGAAGCATTCCGTCAAAATGAGGCAGGGACCTAGGACTTTCTCTGAGGTCTCCACAGGGGATTCAGACATCCCTTCATGTTGTGAGATGAAAGACGAGCCTGTATTCAAGCCACTGCAAGGAAATCCGGCCTCCTTTCAAGTTAGGGCTTCTCGCTGTATATTCCCCTTGAGGCAGCAAACTCGGGGTCCCTCCCTCATACATATTGCTGAGAGAAGCCTCCTCCTGACGTGCTTCCGGAAAGTTGGCATACGTCTTGAGCCTAAGCCAGGGAATCAGCTCTCATCTCGAGATGATTTGGGGTACACGGAGCATTCCTCAAGTTGCTGTGTTGAAGTTGGTGTTCCTCTAGTCTTGGGACAGTGTTCTCGGGGCATCTCTGGAGTTTCCAGAATGAAGTTGAGCCACCGCTCGTGTTGAATGGGGAACGGGGAATGGCTCTGGAGTCAATGCAGGGGAATCGGGCCTCATCTCGAGTTGATTTGGGGCACATGGAGCTGCTTTGCATTGATGGGGTGACCTCAGGGTCCGTCTAGACTGGTGACAGTGTTCTTGGGGACTGTCTCGAGATCCATTAAGCAAGTCGAAGCTCCTGACTTGTTTGAATGGGATCACGGAATAGCTCTGCATGCACTGCAGGGGAATGGGGTCTCATCTCGCCTCTAGGGGGAAGGCTCATGGTTTTTCTCGAGTTGAGGCGGGGACCTGGGGTATGTTCTCGACTTACGGAGGGGATGGCCCTTCAAAACACGAGTATCTTCAGTGACGTCAGGACTCCTGTCTAGTAAGTGAGGGACACCTCAGGAATCTCTTCGAGGCTTGGCAGGGCAAAAGGGACGCTTCTCGAGGTGAGGCAGGGCACCCAAGGACCCTTTCCAGTAGCCACAGGGATTTTGGGATTCCTATCAGTATTCAAGAGGAGTCAGGCGTCATCACCTTTTGAAGAAATGAACTCCGCCTAACTCTCGAGGAGTCACCGGGATGTGAAGCATTCCGTCAAAATGAGGCAGGGACCTAGGGCTTTCTCTGAGGTCTCCACAGGGGATTCAGACATCCCTTCATGTTTTGAGATGAAAGACGAGCCTGTATTCAAGCCACTGGAAGGAAATCCGGCCTCCTTTCAAGTTAGGGCTTCTCGCTGTATATTCCCCTTGAGGCAGCAAACTCGGGGTCCCTCCCTCATACCTATTGCTGAGAGAAGCCTCCTCCTGAGGTGCTTCCGGAAAGTTGGCATACGTCTTGATCCTAAGCCAGGGAATCAGCTCTCATCTCGAGACGATTTGGGGTACACAGAGCATTCCTCGAGTTGCTGTGCTGAAGTTGGTGTTCCTCTCGTCTTGGGACAGTGTTCTCGGGGCATCTCTGGAGTTGCCTGAAGGAAGTCGAGCCACCGGTCGTGTTGAATGGGGAACTTGGAATGGCTCTGTAGTCAATGCAGGGGAATCGGGCCTCATCTCGAGGTGATTTGGGGCACATGGAGCTGCTTTGCGTTGCTGGGGGTACCTCAGGGTCCGTCTAGACTGGTGACAGTGTTCTTGGGGACTGTCTCGAGATCCATTAAGCAAGTTGAAGCTCCTGACTTGTTTGAATGGGATCACGGAATAGCTCTGCATGCACTGCAGGGGAATGGGGCCTCATGTCGCCTCTAGGGGGAAGTCTCATGGTTTTTCTCGAGTTGCGGCGGGGACCTGGGTTATGTTCTTGACTTACGGCGGGGATGGCCCTTCAAAACACGAGTTTCTTCAGTGACGTCAGGACTCCTGTCTAGTAATGAGGGACACCTCAGGAATTTCTTCGAGGCTTGGCAGGGCAAAAGGGACGCTTCTCGAGGTGAGGCAGGGCACCCAAGGACCCTTTCCAGTAGCCACAGGGATTTTGGATTCCTATCAGTATTCAAGAGGAGTCAGGCATCGTCACGTTTTGAAGCAATGAACTCCGCGTGCCTCTCGAGGTGTCAGCGGGATGTGAGGCATTCCGTCAAAATGAGGCAGGGACCTAGGGCTTTCTCTAAGGTCTCCACAGGGGATTCAGACATCCCTTCATGTTGTGAGATGAAAGACGAGCCTGTATTCAAGCCACTACAAGGAAATCCGGCCTTCTTTCAAGTTAGGGCTTCTCGCTGTATATTCCCCTTGAGGCAGCAAACTCGGGGTCCCTCCCTCATACCTATTGCTGAGAGAAGCCTCCTCCTGAGGTGCTTCTGGAAAGTTGGCATACGTCTTGAGCCTAAGCCAGGGAATCAGCTCTCATCTCGAGATGATTTGGGGTACATGGAGCATTCCTCGAGTTGCTGTGCTGAAGTTGGTGTTCCTCTAGACTTGGGACAGTGTTCTCGGGGCATCTCTGGAGTTTCCTGAATGAAGTCGAGCCACCGGTCGTGTTGAATGGGGAACGGGGAATGGCTCTGGAGTCAATGCAGGGGAATCGGGCCTCATCTCGAGTTGATTTGGGGCACATGGAGCTGCTTTGCGTTGATGGGGTGACCTCAGGGTCCGTCTAGACTGGTGACAGTGTTCTTGGGGACTGTCTCATGATCCATTAAGCAAGTCGAAGCTCCTGACTTGTTTGAATGGGATCACGGAATAGCTCTGCATGCACTGCAGGGGAATGGGGTCTCATCTCGCCTCTAGGGGGAAGTCTCATGGTTTTTCTCGAGTTGCGGCGGGGACCTGGGGTATGTTCTCGACTTACGGCGGGGATGGCCCTTCAAAACACGAGTTTCTTCAGTGACGTCAGGACTCCTGTCTAGTAACGAGGGACACCTCAGGAATTTCTTCGAGGCTTGGCAGGGCAAAAGGGACGCTTCTCGAGGTGAGGCAGGGCACCCAAGGACCCTTTCCAGTAGCCACAGGGATTTTGGATTCCTATCAGTATTCAAGAGGAGTCAGGCATCGTCACGTTTTGAAGCAATGAACTCCGCGTGCCTCTCGAGGTGTCAGCGGGATGTGAGGCATTCCGTCAAAATGAGGCAGGGACCTAGGGCTTTCTCTAAGGTCTCCACAGGGGATTCAGACATCCCTTCATGTTGTGAGATGAAAGACGAGCCTGTATTCAAGCCACTACAAGGAAATCCGGCCTCCTTTCAAGTTAGGGCTTCTCGCTCTATATTACCCTTGAGGCAGCAAACTCGGGGTCCCTCCCTCATACCTATTGCTGAGAGAAGCCTCCTCCTGAGGTGCTTCTGGAAAGTTGGCATACGTCTTGAGCCTAAGCCAGGGAATCAGCTCTCATCTCGAGATGATTTGGGGTACATGGAGCATTCCTCGAGTTGCTGTGCTGAAGTTGGTGTTCCTCTAGACTTGGGACAGTGTTCTCGGGGCATCTCTGGAGTTTCCTGAATGAAGTCGAGCCACCGGTCGTGTTGAATGGGGAACGGGGAATGGCTCTGGAGTCAATGCAGGGGAATCGGGCCTCATCTCGAGGTGATTTGGGGCACATGGAGCTGCTTTGCATTGATGGGGTGACCTCAGGGTCCGTCTAGACTGGTGACAGTGTTCTTGGGGACTGTCTCGAGATCCATTAAGGAAGTCAAAGCTCCTGACTCGTTTGAATGGGATCACGGAATAGCTCTGCATGCACTGCAGGGGAATGGGGCCTCATGTCGCCTCTAGGGGGAAGTCTCATGGTTTTTCTCGAGTTGCGGCGGGGACCTGGGGTATGTTCTCGACTTACGGCGGGGATGGCCCTTCAAAACACGAGTTTCTTCAGTGACGTCAGGACTCCTGTCTAGTAACGAGGGACACCTCAGGAATTTCTTCGAGGCTTGGCAGGGCAAAAGGGACGCTTCTCGAGGTGAGGCAGGGCACCCAAGGACCCTTTCCAGTAGCCACAGGAATTTTGGATTCCTATCAGTATTCAAGAGGAGTCAGGCATCGTCACCTTTTGAAGCAATGAACTCCGCGTGCCTCTCCAGGTGTCAGCGGGATGTGAGGCATTCCGTCAAAATGAGGCAGGGAACTAGGGCTTTCTCTAAGGTCTCCACAGGGGATTCAGACATCCCTTCATGTTGTGAGATGAAAGACGAGCCTGTATTCAAGCCACTACAAGGAAATCCGGCCTCCTTTCAAGTTAGGGCTTCTCGCTCTATATTCCCCTTGAGGCAGCAAACTCGGGGTCCCACCCTCATACATATTGCTGAGAGAAGCCTCCTCCTGAGGTGCTTCCAGAAAGTTGGCATACGTCTTGAACCTAAGCCAGGGAATCAGCTCTCATCTCGAGACGATTTGGGGTACACGGAGCATTCCTCGAGTTGCTGTGCTGAAGTTGGTGTTCCTCTAGACTTGGGACAGTGTTCTCGGGGCATCTCTGGAGTTGTATGAAGGAAGTCGAGCCACCGGTCGTGTTGAATGGGGAACGGGGAATGGCTCTGGAGTCAATGCAGGGGAATCGGGACTCATCTCGAGTTGATTTGGGGCACATGGAGCTGCTTTGCGTTGCTGGGGTGACCTCAGGTCCGTCTAGACTGGTGACAGTGTTCTTGGGGACTGTCTCGAGATCCATTAAGCAAGTCGAAGCTCCTGACTTGTTTGAATGGGATCACGGAATAGCTCTGCATGCACTGCAGGGGAATGGGGCCTCATGTCGCCTCTAGGGGGAAGTCTCATGGTTTTTCTCGAGTTGCGGCGGGGACCTGGGGTATGTTCTCGACTTACGGCGGGGATGGCCCTTCAAAACACGAGTTTCTTCAGTGACGTCAGGACTCCTGTCTAGTAATGATGGACAACTCAGGAATCTCTTCGAGGCTTGGCAGGGCAAAAGGGACGCTTCTCGAGGTGAGGCAGGGCACCCAAGGACCCTTTCCAGTAGCCACAGGGATTTTGGATTCCTATCAGTATTCAAGAGGAGTCAGGCATCGTCACCTTTTGAAGCAATGAACTCCGCGTGGCTCTCGAGGTGTCAGCGGGATGTGAGGCATTCCGTCAAAATGAGGCAGGGACCTAGGGCTTTCTCATAGGTCTCTCCAGGGGATTCAGACATACCTTCATGTTGTGAGATGAAAGACGAGCCTGTATTCAAGCCACTACAGGAAATCCGGCCTCCTTTCAAGTTAGGGCTTCTCGCTGTATATTCCCCTTGAGGCAGCAAACTCGGGGTCCCTCCCTCATACCTATTGCTGAGAGAAGCCTCCTCCTGAGGTGCTTCCGGAAAGTTGGCATACATCTTGAGCCTAAGCCAGGGAATCAGCTCTCATCTCGAGATGATTTGGGGTACACGGAGCATTCCTCGAGTTGCTGTGCTGAAGTTGGTGTTCCTCTAATCTTGGGACAGTGTTCTCGGGGCATCTCTGGATTTTCCTGAATGAAGTCAAGCCACCGGTCGTGTTGAATGGGGAACGGGGAATGGCTCTGGAGTCAATGCAGGGGAATTGGGCCTCATCTCGAGTTGATTTGGGGCACATGGAGCTGCTTTGCATTGATGGGGGGACCTCAGGGTCCGTCTAGACTGGTGACAGTGTTCTTGGGGACTGTCTCGTGATCCATTAAGCAAGTCGAAGCTCCTGACTTGTTTGAATGGGATCACGGAATAGCTCTGCATGCACTGCAGGGGAATGGGGTCTCATCTCGCCTCTAGGGGGAAGTCTCATGGTTTTTCTCGAGTTGCGGCGAGGACCTGGGTTATGCTCTCAACTTAAGGAGGGGATGGCCCTTCAAAACACGAGTTTCTTCAGTGACGTCAGGACTCCTGTCTAGTAACGAGGGACACTTCAGGAATCTCCTCGAGGCTTGGAAGGGCAAAAGGGACACTTCACGAGGTGAGGCAGGGCACCCAAGGACCCTTTCCAGTAGCCACAGGGATTTTGTGATTCCTATCAGTATTCAAGAGGAGTCAGGCGTCATCACCTTTTGAATAATGAACTCCGAGTACCTCTCGAGGAGTCAGCGGGATGTGAAGCATTCCATCAAAATGAGGCAGGGACCTAGGGCTTTCTCTAAGGTCTCCACAGGGGATTCAGACATCCCTTCATGTTGTGAGATGAAAGAGGAGCCTGTATTCAAGCCACTGCAAGGAAATCCGGCCTCCTTTCAAGTTAGGGCTTCTCGCTCTATATTTCCCTTGAGGCAGCAAACTCGGGGTCCCTCCCTCGTACCTATTGCTGAGAGCAGCCTCCTCCTGAGGTGCTTCCGGATAGTTGACATACGTCTTGATGCTAAGCCAGGGAATCAGCTCTCATCTCGAGACGATTTGGGGTACACGGAGCATTCCTCGAGTTGCTGTGCTGAAGTTGGTCTTCCTCTAGACTTGGGACAGTGTTCTCGGGGCATCTCTGGAGTTGCCTGAAGGAAGTCTAGCCACCGGTCGTGTTGAATGGGGAACGGGGAATGGCCCTGGAGTCAATGCAGGGGAGTCGGGCCTCATCTCGAGGTGATTTTGGGCACATGGAGCTGCTTTCCGTTGCTGGGGTGACCTCAGGGTCCGTCTAGACTGGTGACAGTGTTCTTGGGGACTGTCTCGAGAATCATTAAGCAAGTCGAAGCTCCTGACTTGTTTGAATGGGATCACGGAATAGCTCTGCATGCACTGCAGGGAAATGGGGCCTCATGTCGCCTCTAGGGGGAAGTCTCATGGTTTTTCTCGAGTTGCGGCGGGGACCTGGGGTATGTTCTCGACTTGCGGCGGGGATGGCCCTTCAAAACACGAGTTTCTTCAGTGACGTCAGGACTCCTGTCTAGTAACGAGGGACACCTCAGGAATCTCTTCGAGGCTTGGCAGGGCAAAAGGGACGCTTCTCGAGGTGAGGCAGGGCACCCAAGGACCCTTTCCAGTAGCCACAGGGATTTTGGATTCCTATCAGTATTCAAGAGGAGTCAGGCATCATCACCTTTTGAAGCAATGAACACCGCGTGCCTCTCGAGGTGTCAGCGGGATGTGAGGCATTCCCTCAAAATGAGGCAGGGACCTAGGGCTTTCTCTAAGGTCTCCACAGGGGATTCAGACATCCCTTCATGTTGTGAGATGAAAGACGAGCCTGTATTCAAGCCACTACAAGGAAATCCGGCCTCCTTTCAAGTTAGTGCTTCTCGCTCTATATTCCCCTTGAGGCAGCAAACTCGGGGTCCCTCCCTCATACCTATTGCTGAGAGAATCCTCCTCCTGAGGTGCTTCTGGAAAGTTGGCATACGTCTTGAGCCTAAGCCAGGGAATCAGCTCTCATCTCGAGATGATTTGGGGTACACGGAGCATTCCTCGAGTTGCTGTGCTGAAGTTGGTGTTCCTCTAGACTTGGGACAGTGTTCTCGGGGCATCTCTGGAGTTGCCTGAAGGAAGTCGAGCCACCGGTCGTGTTGAATGGGGAACGGGGAATGGCTCTGGAGTCAATGCAGGGGAATCGGGCCTCATCTCGAGTTCATTGGGGGCACATGGAGCTGCTTTGCATTGATGGGGTGACCTCAGGGTCCGTCTAGACTCCTGACAGTGTTCTTTGGGACTGTTTCGTGATCCATTAAGCAAGTGGAAGCTCCTGACTTGTTTGAATGGGATCAAGGAATAGCTCTGCATGCACTGCAGGGGAATGGGACCTCATGTCGCCTCTAGGGGAAGTCTCATGGTTTTTCTCGAGTTGCGCCGGGGACCTGGGGTATGTTCTGGACTTACGGCGGGGATGGCCCTTCAAAACACGAGTTTCTTCAGTGACGTCAGGACTCCTGTCTAGTAACGAGGGACACCTCAGGAATCTCTTCGAGGCTTGGCAGGGCAAAAGGGACGCTTCTCGAGGTGAGGCAGGGAACCCAAGGACCCTTTCCAATAGCCACAGGGATTTTGGGATTCCTATCAGTATTCAAGAGGAGTCAGGCGTCATCACCTTTTGAAGAAATGAACTCCGCCTAACTCTCGAGGAGTCAGCGGGATGTGAGGCATTCCGTCAAAATGAGGCAGGGACCTAGGGCTTTCTCTAAGGTCTCCACAGGGGATTCAGACATCCCTTCATGTTGTGAGATGAAAGACGAACCTGTATTCATGCCACTACAAGGAAATCCGGCCTCCTTTCAAGTTAGGGTTTCTCGCTGTATATTCCCCTTGAGGCAGCAATCTCGGGGTCCCTCCCTCATACCTATTGCTGAGAGAAGCCTCCTCCTGAGGTGCTTCCGGAAAGTTGGCATACGTCTTGATCCTAAGCCAGGGAATCAGCTCTCATCTCGAGACGATTTGGGGTACACGGAGCATTCCTTGAGTTGCTGTGCTGAAGTTGGTGTTCCTCTAGTCTTGGGACAGTGTTCTCGGGGCATCTCTCGAGTTGCCTGAAGGAAGTCGAGCCACCGGTCGTGTTGAATGGGGAACTTGGAATGGCTCTGGAGTCAATGCAGGGGAATCGGGCCTCATCTCGAGGTGATTTGGGGCACATGGAGCTGCTTTGCGTTGCTGGGGGTACCTCAGGGTCGGTCTAGACTGGTGACAGTGTTCTTGGGGACTGTCTCGAGATCCATTAAGCAAGTCGAAGCTCCTGACTTGTTTGAATGGGATCACGGAATAGCTCTGCATGCACTGCAGGGGAATGGGGCCTCATGTCGCCTCTAAGGGGAAGTCTCATGGTTTTTCTCGAGTTGCGGCGGGGACATGGGTTATGTTCTCGACTTACGGCGGGGATGGCCCTTCAAAACACGAGTTTCTTCAGTGACGTCTGGACTCCTGTCTAGTAACGAGGGACACCTCAGGAATCTCTTCGAGGCTTGGCAGGGCAAAAGGGACGCTTCTCGAGGTGAGGCAGGGCAACCAAGGACCCTTTCCAGTAGCCACAGGGATTTTGAATTCCTATCAGTATTCAAGAGGAGTCAGGCATCGTCACCTTTTGAAGCAATGAACACCGCGTGCTTCTCGAGGTGTCAGCGGGATGTGAGGCATTCCGTCAAAATGAGGCAGGGACCTAGGGCTTTCTCTAAGGTCTCCACAGGGGATTCAGACATCCCTTCATGTTGTGAGATGAAAGTCGAGCCTGTATTCAAGCCACTACAAGGAAATCCGGCCTCCTTTCAAGTTAGGGCTTCTCGCTCTATATTCCCCTTGAGGCAGCAAACTCGGGGTCCCTCCCTCATACCTATTGCTGAGAGAAGCCTCCTCCTGAGGTGCTTCTGGAAAGTTGGCATACGTCTTGAGCCTAAGCCAGGGAATCAGCTCTCATCTCGAGATGATTTGGGGTACACGGAGCATTCCTCGAGTTGCTGTGCTGAAGTTGGTGTTCCTCTAGACTTGGGACAGTGTTCTCGGGGCATCTCTGGAGTTGGCTGAAGGAAGTCGAGCCACTGGTCGTGTTGAATGGGGAACGGGGAATGGCTCTGGAGTCAATGCAGGGGAATCGGGCCTCATCTCGAGTTGATTTGGGGCACATGGAGCTGCTTTGCATTGATGGGGTGACCTCACGGTCCGTCTAGACTCCTGACAGTGTTCTTTGGGACTGTTTCGTGATCCATTAAGCAAGTGGAAGCTCCTGACTTGTTTGAATGGGATCACGGAATAGCTCTGCATGCACTGCAGGGGAATGGGACCTCATGTCGCCTCTAGGGGAAGTCTCATGATTTTTCTCGAGTTGCGCCGGGGACCTGGGGTACGTTCTCGACTTACGGCGGGGATGGCCCTTCAAAACACGAGTTTCTTCAGTGACGTCAGGACTCCTGTCTAGTAACGAGGGACACCTCAGGAATCTCTTCGAGGCTTGGCAGGGCAAAAGGGACGCTTCTCGTGGTGAGGCAGGGCAACCAAGGAACCTTTCCACTAGCCACAGGGATTTTGGATTCCTATCACTATTCAAGAGGAGTCAGGCATCGTCACCTTTTGAAGCAATGAACACCGCGTGCCTCTCGAGGTGTCAGCGGGATGTGAGGCATTCCGTCAAAATGAGGCAGGGACCTAGGGCTTTCTCTAAGGTCTCCACAGGGGATTCAGACATCCCTTCATGTTGTGAGATGAAATACGAGCCTGTATTCAAGCCACTACAAGGAAATCCGGCCTCCTTTCAAGTTAGGGCTTCTCGCTCTATATTCCCCTTGAGGCAGCAAACTCGGGGTCCCTCCCTCATAACTATTGCTGAGAGAAGCCTCCTCCTGAGGTGCTTCGGAAAGTTGGCATACGTCTTGAGCCTAAGCCAGGGAATCAGCTCTCATCTCGAGATGATTTGGGGTACACGGAGCATTCCTCGAGTTGCTGTGCTGAAGTTGGTGTTCCTCTAGTCTTGGGACAGTGTTCTCGGGGCATCTCTGGAGTTTCCTGAATGAAGTCGAGCCACCGATCGTGTTGAATGGGGAACGGGGAATGGCTCTGGAGTCAATGCAGGAGAATCGGGCCTCATCTCGAGTTGATTTGGGGCACATGGAGCTGCTTTGCGTTGATGGGGTGACCTCAGGGTCCGTCTAGACTGGTGACAGTGTTCTTGGGGACTGTCTCGAGAATCATTAAGCAAGTCGAAGCTCCTGACTTGTTTGAATGGGATCACGGAATAGCTCTGCATGCACTGTAGGGGAATGGGGTCTCATCTCGCCTCTAGGGGGAAGTCTCATGGTTTTTCTCGAGTTGAGGCGGGGACCTGGGGTATGTTCTCGACTTACTGCGGGGATGCCCCTTCAAAACACGAGTTTCTTCAGTGACGTCATGACTCATGTCTAGTAAGTTAGGGACACCTCAGGAATCGCTTCGAGGCTTGGCAGAGCAAAAGGGACGCTTCTCGAGGTAAGGCAGGGCACCCAAGGACCCTTTCCAGTAGCCACAGGGATATTGGATTCCTATCAGTATTCAAGAGGAGTCAGGCATCGTCACCTTTTGAAGCAATGAACTCCGCGTGGCTCTCGAGGTGTCAGCGGGATGTGAGGCATTCCCTCAAAATGAGGCAGGGACCTAGGGCTTTCTCTAAGGTCTCCACAGGGGATTCAGACATCCCTTCATGTTGTGAGATGAAAGACGAGCCTGTATTCAAGCCACTACAAGGAAATCCGGCCTCCTTTCAAGTTAGGGCTTCTCGCTCTATATTCCCCTTGAGGCAGCAAACTCGGGGTCCCTCCATCATACCTATTGCTGAGAGAACCCTCCTCCTGAGGTGCTTCTGGAAAGTTGGCATACGTCTTGAGCCTAAGCCAGGGAATCAGCTCTCATCTCGAGATGATTTGGGGTACACGGAGCATTCCTCGAGTTGCTGTGCTGAAGTTGGTGTTCCTCTAGACTTGGGACAGTGTTCTCGGGGCATCTCTGGAGTTTCCTGAATGAAGTCGAGCCACCGGTCGTGTTGAATGTGGAACGGGGAATGGCTCTGGAGTCAATGCAGGGGAATCGGGCCTCATCTCGAGTTGATTTGGGGCCCATGGAGCTGCTTTGCGTTGATGGGGTGACCTCAGGGTCCGTCTAGACTGGTGACAGTGTTCTTGGGGACTGTCTCGTGATCCATTAAGCAAGTCGAAGCTCCTGACTTGTTTGGATGGGATCACGGCATAGCTCTGCATGCACTGCAGGGGAATGGGGTCTCATCTCGCCTCTAGGGGGAAGTCTCATGGTTTTTCTCGAGTTGGGCGGGGACCTGGGGTATGTTCTCGACTTACGGAGGGGATGGCCCTTCAAAACACGAGTTTCTTCAGTGACGTCACGACTCCTGTCTAGTAACGAGGGACACCACAGGAATCTCTTCGAGGTTTGGCAGGGCAAAAGGGACGCTTCTCGAGGTGAGGCAGGGCACCCAAGGACCCTTTCCAGTAGCCACAGGGATTTTGGGATTCCTATCAGTATTCAAGAGGAGACAGGCGTCATCACCTTTTGAAGAAATGAACTCCGCCTACCTCTCGAGGAGTCAGCAGGATGTGAAGCATTCCGTCAAAATGAGGCAGGGACCTAGGGCTTTCTCTAAGGTCTCCACAGGGGATTCAGACATCCCTTCATGTTGTGAGATGAAAGACGAGCCTGTATTCAAGCCACTACAAGGAAATCCGGCCTCCTTTCAAGTTAGGGCTTCTCGCTCTATATTCCCCTTGAGGCAGCAAACTCGGGGTCCCTCCCTCATACCTATTGCTGAGAGAAGCCTCCTCCTGAGGTGCTTCCGGAAAGTTGGCATATGTCTTGAGCCTAAGCCAGGGAATCAGCTCTCATCTCGAGATGATTTGGGGTACACGGAGCATTCCTCGAGTTGCTGTTCTGAAGTTGGTGTTCCTCTAGTCTTGGGACAGTGTTCTCAGGGCATCTCTGGAGTTTCCTGAATGAAGTTGAGCCACCGCTCGTGTTGAATGGGGAACGGGGAATGGCTCTGGAGTCAATGCAGGGGAATCGGGCCTCATCTCGAGTTGATTTGGGGCACATGGAGCTGCTTTGCGTTGATGGGGTGACCTCAGGGTCCGTCTAGACTGGTGACAGTGTTCTTGGCGACTGTCTCGTGATCCATTAAGCAAGTCGAAGCTCCTGACTTGTTTGAATGGGATCACGGAATAGCTCTGCATGCACTGCAGGGGAATGGGGTCTCATCTCGCCTCTAGGGGGAAGTCTCATGGTTTTTCTCGAGTTGAGGCGGGGACCTGGGGTATGTTCTCGACTTACGGAGGGGATGGCCCTTCAAAACACGAGTATCTTCAGTGACGTCAGGACTCCTGTCTAGTAAGTGAGGGACACCTCAGGAATCTCTGCGAGGCTTGGCAGGGCAAAAGGGACGCTTCTCGAGGTGAGGCAGGGCACCAAGGACCCTTTCCAGTAGCCACAGGGATTTTGGGATTCCTATCAGTATTCAAGAGGAGTCAGACGTCATCACCTTTTGAAGAAATGAACTCCGCCTAACTCTCGAGGAGTCACCGGGATGTGAAGCATTCCGTCAAAATGAGGCAGGGACCTAGGGCTTTCTCTGAGGTCTCCACAGGGGATTCAGACATCCCTTCATGTTGTGAGATGAAAGACGAGCCTGTATTCAAGCCACTGCAAGGAAATCCGGCCTCCTTTCAAGTTAGGGCTTCTCGCTGTATATTCCCCTTGAGGCAGCAAACTCGGGGTCCCTCCCTCATACCTATTGCTTAGAGAAGCCTCCTCCTGAGGTGCTTCCGGAAAGTTGGCATACGACTTGATCCTAAGCCAGGGAATCAGCTCTCATCTCGAGACGATTTGGGGTACACGGAGCATTCCTCGAGTTGCTGTGCTGAAGTTGGTGTTCCTCTAGTCTTGGGACAGTGTTCTCGTGGCAACTCTGGAGTTGGCTGAAGGAAGTCGAGCCACCGGTCTTGTTGAATGGGGAACTTGGAATGGCTCTGGAGTCAATGCAGGGGAATCGGGACTCATCTCGAGGTGATTTGGGGCACATGGAGCTGCTTTGCATTGCTGGGGGTACCTCAGGGTCCGTCTAGACTGGTGACAGTGTTCTTGGGGACTGTCTCGAGATCCATTAAGCAAGTCGAAGCTCCTGACTTGTTTGAATGGGATCACGGATTAGCTCTGCGTGCACTGCAGGGGAATGGGGCCTCATGTCGCCTCTAGGGGGAAGTCTCATGGTTTTTCTCGAGTTGCGGCGGGGACCTGGGGTATGTTCTCGACTTACGGCGGGGATGGCCCTTCAAAACACGAGTTTCTTAAGTGACGTCAGGACTCCTGTCTAGTAACGAGGGACACCTCAGGAATTTCTTCGAGGCTTGGCAGGGCAAAAGGGACGCTTCTCGAGGTGAGGCAGGGCACCCAAGGACCCTTTCCAGTAGCCACAGGGATTTTGGATTCGTATCAGTATTCAAGAGGAGTCAGGCATCGTCACCTTTTGAAGCAATGAACTCCGCGTGCCTCTCGAGGTGTCAGCGGGATGTGAGGCATTCCGTCAAAATGAGGCAGGGACCTAGGGCTTTCTCTAAGGTCTCCACAGGGGATTCAGACATCCCTTCATGTTGTGAGATGAAAGACGAGCCTGTATTCAAGCCACTGCAAGGAAATCCGGCCTCCTTTCAAGTTAGGGCTTCTCGCTCTATATTCCCCTTGAGACAGCAAACTCGGGGTCCCTCCATCATACCTATTGCTGAGAGAAGCCTCCTCCTGAGGTGCTTCCGGAAAGTTGGCATACGTCTTGAGCCTAAGCCAGGGAATCAGCTCTCATCTCGAGATGATTTGGGGTACACGGAGCATTCCTCGAGTTGCTGTGCTGAAGTTGGTGTTCCTATAGTCTTGGGACAGTGTTCTCGGGGCATCTCTGGAGTTTCCTGAATGAAGTCGAGCCACCGATCGTGTTGAATGGGGAACGGGGAATGGCTCTGGAGTCAATGCAGGAGAATCGGGCCTCATCTCGAGTTGATTTGGGGCACATGGAGCTGCTTTGCGTTGATGGGGTGACCTCAGGGTCCGTCTAGACTGGTGACAGTGTTCTTGGGGACTGTCTCGAGAATCATTAAGCAAGTCGAAGATCCTGACTTGTTTGAATGGGATCACGGAATAGCTCTGCATGCACTGCAGGGGAATGGGGTCTCATCTCGCCTCTAGGGGGAAGTCTCATGGTTTTTCTCGAGTTGAGGCGGGGACCTGGGGTATGTTCTCGACTTACGGAGGGGATGGCCCTTCAAAACACGAGTTTCTTCAGTGACGTCACGACTCCTGTCTAGTAAGTGAGGGACACCTCAGGAATCGCTTTGAGGCTTGGCAGGGCAAAAGGGAAGCTTCTCGAGGTGAGGCAGGGCACCCAAGGACCCTTTCCGGTAGCCACAGGGATTTTGGGATTCCTATCAGTATTCAAGAGGAGTCAGGCGTCCTCACCTTTTGAAGAAATGAACTCCGCCTAACTCTCGAGGAGTCACCGGGATGTGAAGCATTCCGTAAAAATGAGGCAGGGACCTAGGGCTTTCTCTGAGGTCTCCACAGGGGATTCAGACATCCCTTCATGTTGTGAGATGAAAGACGAGCCTGTATTCAAGCCACTGCAAGGAAATCCGGCCTCCTTTCAAGTTAGGGCTTCTCGCTGTATATTCCCCTTGAGGCAGCAAACGGGGTCCCTCCCTCATACCTATTGCTGAGAGAAGCCTCCTCCTGAGGTGCTTCCGGAAAGTTGGCATACGTCTTGATCCTAAGCCAGGGAATCAGCTCTCATCTCGAGACGATTTGGGGTACACGGAGCATTCCTCGAGTTGCTGTGCTGAAGTTGGTGTTCCTCTAGTCTTGGGACAGTGTTCTCGGGGCATCTCTGCAGTTGCCTGAAGGAAGTCGAGCCACCGGTCGTGTTGAATGGGGAACTTGGAATGGCTCTGGAGTCAATGCAGGGGAATTGGGCCTCATCTCGAGGTGATTTCGGGCACATGGAGCTGCTTTGCGTTGCTGGGGGTACCTCAGGGTCCGTCTAGACTGGTGACAGTGTTCTTGGGGACTGTCTCGAGATCCATTAAGCAAGTCGAAGCTCCTGACTTGTTTGAATGGGATCACGGAATAGCTCTGCATGCACTGCAGGGGAATAGGGCCTCATGTCGCCTCTACGGGGAAGTCTCATGGTTTTTCTCGAGTTGCGCCGGGGACCTGGGGTATGTTCTCGACTTACGGCGGGGATGGCCCTTCAAAACACGAGTTTCTTCAGTGACGTCAGGACTCCTGTCTAGTAACGAGGGACAACTCAGGAATTTCTTCGAGGCTTGGCAGGGCAAAAGGACGCTTCTCGAGGTGAGGCAGGGCACCCAAGGACCCTTTCCAGTAGCCACAAGGATTTTGGGATTCCTATCAGTATTCAAGAGGAGGCAGGCGTCATCACCTTTTGAAGAAATGAACTCCGCCTACCTCTCGAGGAGTCAGCAGGATGTGAAGCATTCCGTCAAAATGAGGCAGGGAACTAGGGCTTTCTCTAAGGTCTCCACAGGGGATTCAGACATCCCTTCATGTTGTGAGATGAAAGACGAGCCTGTATTCAAGCCACTACAAGGAAATCCGGCCTCCTTTCAAGTTAGGGCTTCTCGCTGTATATTCCCCTTGAGGCAGCAAACTCGGGGTCCCTCCCTCATACCTATTGCTGAGAGAAGCCTCCTCCTGAGGTTCTTCCGGAAAGTTGGCATACGTCTTGAGCCTAAGCCAGGGAATCAGCTCTCATCTCGAGATGATTTGGGGTACACGGAGCATTCCTCGAGTTGCTGTGCTGAAGTTGGTGTTCCTCTAGTCTTGGGACAGTGTTCTCGGGGCATGTCTGGAGTTTCCTGAATGAAATTGAGCCACCGCTCGTGTTGAATGGGGAACGGGGAATGGCTCTGGAGTCAATGCAGGGGAATCGGGCCTCATCTCGAGTTGATTTGGGGCACATGGAGCTGCTTTGCGTTGATGGGGTGACCTCGGGGTCCGTCTAGACTGGTGACAGTGTTCTTGGGGACTGTCTCGTGATCCATTAAGCAAGTCGAAGCTCCTGACTTGTTTGAATGGGATCACGGAATAGCTCTGCATGCACTGCAGGGGAATGGGGTCTCATCTCGCCTCTAGGGGGAAGTCTCATGGTTTTTCTCGAGTTGAGGCGGGGACCTGGGATATGTTCTCGACTTACGGAGGGGATGGCCCTTCAAAACACGAGTTTCTTCAGTGACGTCAGGAGTCCTGTCTAGTAAGTGAGGGACACCTCAGGTATCTCTTCGAGGCTTGGCAGGGCAAAAGGGACGCTTCTCGAGGTGAGGCAGGGCACCCAAGGACCCTTTCCAGTAGCCACAGGGATTTGGGGATTCCTATCAGTATTCAAGAGGAGTCAGGCGTCATCACCTTTTGAAGAAATGAACTCAGCCTAACTCTCGAGGAGTCACCGGGATGTGAAGCATTCCGTCAAAATGAGGCAGGGACCTAGGGCTTTCTCTGAGGTCTCCACAGGGGATTCAGACATCCCTTCATGTTGTGTGATGAAAGACGAGCCTGTATTCAAGCCACTGCAAGGAAATCCGGCCTCCTTTCAAGTTAGGGCTTCTCGCTCTATATTCCCCTTGAGGCAGCAAACTCGGGGTCCCTCCCTCATACCTATTGCTGAGAGAAGCCTCCTCCTGAGGTGCTTCCGGAAAGTTGGCATACGTCTTGAGCCTAAGCCAGGGAATCAGCTCTCATCTCGAGATGATTTGGGGTACACGGAGCATTCCTCGAGTTGCTGTGCTGAAGTTGGTGTTCCTCTAGTCTTGGGACAGTGTTCTCGGGGCATCTCTGGAGTTTCCTGAATGAAGTCGAGCCACCGGTCGTGTTGAATGGGGAACGGGGAATGGCTCTGGAGTCAATGCAGGGGAATCGGGCCTCATCTCGAGTTGATTTGGGGCACATGGAGCTGCTTTGCGTTGATGGGGTGACCTCAGGGTCCGTCTAGACTGGTGACAGTGTTCTTGGGGACTGTCTCGTGATCCATTAAGCAAGTCGAAGCTCCTGACTTGTTTGAATGGGATCACGGAATAGCTCTGCATGCACTGCAGGGGAATGGGGTCTCATCTCTCCTCTAGTGGGAAGTCTCATGGTTTTTCTCGAGTTGAGGCGGGGACCTGGGGTATGTTCTCGACTTACGGAGGGGATGGCCCTTCAAAACACGAGTTTCTTCAGTGACGTCAGGACTCATGTCTAGTAAGTGAGGGACACCTCAGGAATCGCTTCGAGGCTTGGCAGGGCAAAAGGGACGCTTCTCGAGGTGAGGCAGGGCACCTAAGGACCCTTTCCAGTAGCCACAGGGATTTTGGGATTCCTATCAGTATTCAAGAGGAGTCAGGCGTCATCACCTTTTGAAGAAATGAACTCCGCCTAACTCTCGAGGAGTCACCAGGATGTGAAGCATTCCGTCAAAATGAGGCAGGGACCTAGGGCTTTCTCTGAGGTCTCCACAGGGGATTCAGACATCCCTTCATGTTGTGAGATGAAAGACGAGCCTGTATTCAAGCCACTGCATGGAAATCCGGCCTCCTTTCAAGTTAGGGCTTCTCGCTGTATATTCCCCTTGAGGCAGCAAACTCGGGGTCCCTCCCTCATACCTATTGCTGAGAGAAGCCTCCTCCTGAGGTGCTTCCGGAAAGTTGGCATACGTCTTGAGCCTAAGCCAGGGAATCAGCTCTCATCTCGAGACGATTTGGGGTACACGGAGCATTCCTCGAATTGCTGTGCTGAAGTTGGTGTTCCTCTAGACTTGGGACAGTGTTCTCGGGGCATCTCTGGAGTTTCCTGAATGAAGTCGAGCCACCGGTCGTGTTGAATGGGGAACGGGGAATGGCTCTGGAGTCAATGCAGGGGAATCGGGCCTCATCTCGAGGTGATTTGGGGCACATGGAGCTGCTTTGCGTTGCTGGGGTGACCTCAGGGTCCGTCTAGACTGGTGACAGTGTTCTTGGGACTGTCTCGAGAATCATTAAGCAAGTCGAAGCTCCTGACTTGTTTGAATGGGATCACGGAATAGCTCTGCATGCACTGCAGGGAAATGGGGCCTCATGTCGCCTCTAGGGGGAAGTCTCATGGTTTTTCTCGAGTTGAGGCGGGGACCTGGGGTATGTTCTCGACTTACGGCGGGGATGGCCCTTCAAAACACGAGTTTTTTCAGTGACGTCAGGACTCCTGTCTAGTAACGAGTGACACCTCAGGAATCTCTTCGAGGCTTGGCAGGGCCAAAGGGACGCTTCTCAAGGTGAGGCAGGGCACCCAAGGACCCTTTCCAGTAGCCACAGGGATTTTGGATTCCTATCAGTATTCAAGAGGAGTCAGGCATCGTCACCTTTTGAAGCAATGAACACAGCGTGCCTCTCGAGGTGTCAGCGGGATGTGAGGCATTCCGTCAAAATGAGGCAGGGACCTAGGGCTTTCTCTAAGGTCTCCACAGTGGATTCAGACATCCTTTCATGTTGTGAGATGAAAGACGAGCCTGTATTCAAGCCACTACAAGGAAATCCGGCCTCCTTTCAAGTTAGGGCTTCTCGCTCTATATTCCCCTTGAGGCAGCAAACTCGGGGTCCCTCCCTCATACCTATTGCTGAGAGAAGCCTCCTCCTGAGGTGCTTCTGGAAAGTTGGCATACGTCTTGAGCCTAAGCCAGGGAATCAGCTCTCATCTCGAGATGATTTGGGGTACACGGAGCATTCCTCGAGTTGCTGTGCTGAAGTTGGTGTTCCTCTAGACTTGGGACAGTGTTCTCGGGGCATCTCTGGAGTTGCCTGAAAGAAGTCGAGCCACCGGTCGTGTTGAATGGGGAACGGGGAATGGCTCTGGAGTCAATGCAGGGGAATCGGGCCTCATCTCGAGTTGATTGGGGGCACATGGAGCTGCTTTGCATTGATGGGGTGACCTCAGGGTCCGTCTAGACTCCTGACAGTGTTCTTTGGGACTGTTTCGTGATCCATTAAGCAAGTGGAAGCTCCTGACTTGTTTGAATGGGATCACGGAATAGCTTTGCATGCACTGCAGGGGAATGGGACCTCATGTCGCCTCTAGGGGAAGTCTCATGGTTTTTCTCGAGTTGCGGCGGGGACCTGGGGTATGTTCTCGACTTACGGCGGGGATGGCCCTTCAAAACACGAGTTTCTTCAGTGACGTCAGGACTCCTGTCTAGTAACGAGGGACACCTCAGGAATCTCTTCGAGGCTTGGCAGGGCAAAAGGGACGCTTCTCGAGGTGAGGCAGGGCACCCAAGGAACCTTTCCATTAGCCACAGGGATTTTGGATTCCTATCACTATTCAAGAGGAGTCAGGCATCGTCACCTTTTGAAGCAATGAACTCCGCGTGCCTTTCGAGGTGTCAGCGGGATGTGAGGCATTCCGTCAAAATGAGGCAGGGACATAGGGCTTTCACTAAGGTCTCCACAGGGGATTCAGACATCCCTTCATGTTGTGAGATGAAAGACGAGCCTGTATTCAAGCCACTACAAGGAAATCCGGCCTCCTTTCAAGTTAGGGCTTCTCGATCTATATTCCCCTTGAGGCAGCAAACTCGGGGTCCATCCCTCATACCTATTGCTGAGAGAAGCCTCCTCCTGACGTGCTTCCGGAAAGTTGGCATACGTCTTCATCCTAAGCCAGGGAATCAGCTCTCATCTCGAAACGATTTGGGGTACACGGAGCATTCCTCGAGTTGCTGTGCTGAAGTTGGTGTTCCTCTAGTCTTGGGACAGTGTTCTCGGGGCATCTCTGGAGTTGCCTGAAGGAAGTCGAGCCACCGGTCGTGTTGAATGGGGAACTTGGAATGGCTCTGGAGTCAATGCAGGGGAATCGGGCCTCATCTCGAGGTGATTTCGGGCACATGGAGCTGCTTTGCGTTGCTGGGGGTACCTCAGGGTCCGTCTAGACTGGTGACAGTGTTCTTGGGGACTGTCTCGAGATCCATTAAGCAAGTCGAAGCTCCTGCCTTGTTTGAATGGGATCACGGAATAGCTCTGCATGCACTGTAGGGGAATGGGGCCTCATGTCGCCTCTAGGGGGAAGTCTCATGGTTTTTCTCGAGTTGCGGCGGGGACCTGGGGTATGTTCTCGACTTACGGCGGGGATGGCCCTTCAAAACACGAGTTTCTTCAGTGACGTCAGGACTCCAGTCTAGTAACGAGGGACACCTCAGGAATTTCTTCGAGGCTTGGCAGGGCAAAAGGGACGCTTCTGGAGGTGAGGCAGGGCACCCAAGGACCCTTTCCAGTAGCCACAGGGATTTTGGATTCCTATCAGTATTCAAGAGGAGTCAGGCATCGTCACCTTTTCAAGCAATGAACTCCGCGCGCCTCTCGAGGTGTCAGCGGAATGTGAGGCATTCCGTCAAAATGAGGCAGGGACCTAGGGCTTTCTCTAAGGTCTCCACAGGGGATTCAGACATCCCTTCATGTTGTGAGATGAAAGACGAGCCTGTATTCAAGCCACTACAAGGAAATCCGGCCTCCTTTCAAGTTAGGGCTTCTCGCTCTATATTCCCCTTGAGGCAGCAAACTCGGGGTCCCTCCCTCATACCTATTGCTGAGAGAAGCCTCCTCCTGAGGTGCTTCTGGAAAGTTGGCATACGTCTTGAGCCTAAGCCAGGGAATCAGCTCTCATCTCGAGATGATTTGGGGTACACGGAGCATTCCTCGAGTTGCTGTGCTGAAGTTGGTGTTCCTCTAGACTTGGGACAGTGTTCTCGGGGCATCTCTGGAGTTGGCTGAAGGAAGTCGAGCCACCGGTCGTGTTGAATGGGGAAAGGGGAATGGCTCTGGAGTCAATGCAGGGGAATCGGGCCTCATCTCGAGTTGATTTGGGGCACATGGAGCTGCTTTGCATTGATGGGGTGACCTCAGGATCCGTCTAGACTCCTGACAGTGTTCTTTGGGACTGTTTCGTGATCCATTAAGCAAGTGGAAGCTCCTGACTTGTTTGAATGGGATCACGGAATAACTCTGCATGCACTGCAGGGGAATGGGACCTCATGTCGCCTCTAGGGGAAGTCTCATGGTTTTTCTCGAGTTGCGCCGGGGACCTGGGGTATGTTCTCGACTTACGGCGGGGATGGCCCTTCAAAACACGAGTTTCTTCAGTGACGTCAGGACTCCTGTCTAGTAACGAGGGACACCTCAGGAATCTCTTCGAGGCTTGGCAGGGCAAAAGGGACGCTTCTCGAGGTGAGGCAGGGCACCCAAGGAACCTTTCCATTAGCCACAGTGATTTTGGATTCCTATCACTATTCAAGAGGAGTCAGGCATCGTCACCTTTTGAAGCAATGAACTCCGCGTGCCTTTCGAAGTGTCAGCGGGATGTGAGGCATTCCGTCAAAATGAGGCAGGGACATAGGGCTTTCACTAAGGTCTCCACAGGGGATTCAGACATCCCTTCATGTTGTGAGATGAAAGACGAGCCTGTATTCAAGCCACTACAAGGAAATCCGGCCTCCTTTCAAGTTAGGGCTTCTCGCTCTATATTCCCCTTGAGGCAGCAAACTCGGGGTCCCTCCCTCATACCTATTGCTGACAGAAGCCTCCTCCTGAGGTGCTTCCGGAAAGTTGGCATACGTCTTGAGCCTAAGCCAGGGAATCAGCTCTCATCTCGAGATGATTTGGGGTACACGGAGCATTTCTCGAGTTGCTGTGCTGAAGTTGGTGTTCCTCTAGTCTTGGGACAGTGTTCTCGGGGCATCTCTGGAGTTTCCTGAATGAAGTCGAGCCACCGGTCGTGTTGAATGGGGAACGGGGAATGGCTCTGGAGTCAATGCAGGGGAATCGGGCCTCATCTCGAGTTGATTTGGGGCACATGGAGCTGCTTTGCGTTGATGGGGTGACCTCAGGGTCCGTCTAGACTGGTGACAGTGTTCTTGGGGACTGTCTCGTGATCCATTAAGCAAGTCGAAGCTCCTGACTTGTTTGAATGGGATCACGGAATAGCTCTGCATGCACTGCAGGGGAATGGGGTCTCATCTCGCCTCTAGGGGGAAGTCTCATGGTTTTTCTCGAGTTGAGGCGGGGACCTGGGGTATGTTCTCGACTTACGGAGGGGATGGCCCTTCAAAACACGAGTTTCTTCAGTGACGTCAAGACTCATGTCTAGTAAGTGAGGGACACCTCAGGAATCGCTTCGAGGCTTAGCAGGGCAAAAGGGACGCTTCTCGAGGTGAGGCAGGGCACCTAAGGACCCTTTCCAGTAGCCACAGGGATTTTGGGATTCCTATCAGTATTCAAGAGGAGTCAGGCGTCATCACCTTTTGAAGAAATGAACTCCGCCTAACTCTCGAGGAGTCACCGGGATGTGAAGCATTCCGTCAAAATGAGGCAGGGGCCTAGGACTTTCTCTGAGGTCTCCACAGGGGATTCAGGCATCCCTTCATGTTGTGAGATGAAAGACGAGCCTGTATTCAAGCCACTGCAAGGAAATCCGGCCTCCTTTCAAGTTAGGGCTTCTCGCTGTATATTCCCCTTGAGGCAGCAAACTCGGGGTCCCTCCCTCATACCTATTGCTGAGAGCAGCCTCCTCCTGAGGTGCTTCCGGAAAGTTGGCATACGTCTTGATCCTAAGCCAGGGAATCAGCTCTCATCTCGAGACGATTTGGGATACACGGAGCATTCCTCGAGTTACTGTGCTGAAGTTGGTGTTCCTCTAGATTTGGGACAGTGTTCTCGGGGCATCTCTGGAGTTGCCTGAAGGAAGTCGAGCCACCGGTCGTGTTGAATGGGGAACGGGGAATGGCTCTGGAGTCAATGCTGGGGAATCGGGCCTCATCTCGAGGTGATTTGGGGCACATGGAGCTGCTTTGCGTTGCTGGGGTGACCTCAGGGTTCGTCTAGACTGGTGACAGTGTTCTTGGGACTGTCTCGAGAATCATTAAGCAAGTCGAAGCTCCTGACATGTTTGAATGGGATCACGGAATAGCTCTGCATGCACTGCAGGGAAATGGGGCCTCATGTCGCCTCTAGGGGGAAGTCTCATGGTTTTTCTCGAGTTGCAGCGGGGACCTGGGGTATGTTCTCGACTTACGGCGGGGATGGCCCTTCAAAACACGAGTTTCTTCAGTGACGTCAGGACTCCTGTCTAGTAACGAGTGACACCTCAGGAATCTCTTCGAGGCTTGGCAGGGCAAAAGGGACGCTTCTCGAGGTGAGGCAGGGCACCCAAGGACCCTTTCCAGTAGCCACAGGGATTTAGGATTCCTATCAATATTCAAGAGGAGTCAGGCATCGTCACCTTTTGAAGCAATGAACACCGCGTGCCTCTCGAGGTGTCAGCGGGATGTGAGGCATTCCGTCAAAATGAGGCAGGGACCTAGGGCTTTCTCTAAGGTCTCCACAGGGGATTCAGACATCCCTTCCTGTTGTGAGATGAAAGACGAGCCTGTATTCAAGCCACTACAAGGAAATCCGGCCTCCTTTCAAGTTAGGGCTTCTCGCTCTATATTCCCCTTGAGGCAGCAAACTCGGGGTCCCTCCCTCATACCTATTGCTGAGAGAAGCCTCCTCCTGAGGTGCTTCTGGAAAGTTGGCATACGTCTTGAGCCTAAGCCAGGGAATCAGCTCTCATCTCGAGGTGATTTGGGGTACACGGAGCATTCCTCGAGTTGCTGTGCTGAAGTTGGTGTTCCTCTAGACTTGGGACAGTGTTCTCGGGGCATCTCTGGAGTTGCCTGAAGGAAGTCGAGCCACCGGTCGTGTTGAATGGGGAACGGGGAATGGCTCTGGAGTCAATGCAGGGGAATCGGGCCTCATCTCGAGTTGATTGGGGGCACATGGAGCTGCTTTGCATTGATGGGGTGACCTCAGGGTCCGTCTAGACTCCTGACAGTGTTCTTTGGGACTGTTTCGTGATCCATTAAGCAAGTGGAAGCTCCTGACTTGTTTGAATGGGATCACGGAATAGCTCTGCATGCACTGCAGGGGAATGGGACCTCATGTCGCCTCTAGGGGAAGTCTCATGGTTTTTCTCGAGTTGCGCCGGGGACCTGGGGTATGTTCTCGACTTACGGCGGGGATGGCCCTTCAAAACACGAGTTTCTTCAGTGACGTCGGGACTCCTGTCTAGTAACGAGGGACACCTCAGGAATCTCTTCGAGGCTTGGCAGGGCAAAAGGGACGCTTCTCGAGGTGAGGCAGGGCACCCAAGGAACCTTTCCATTAGCCACAGGGATTTTGGATTCCTATCACTATTCAAGAGGAGTCAGGCATCGTCACCTTTTGAAGCAATGAACTCCGCGTGCCTTTCGAGGTGTCAGCGGGATGTGAGGCATTCCGTCAAAATGAGGCAGGGACATAGGGCTTTCACTAAGGTCTCCACAGGGGATTCAGACATCCCTTCATGTTGTGAGATGAAAGACGAGCCTGTATTCAAGCCACTGCAAGGAAATCCGGCCTCCTTGCAAGTTAGGGCTTCTCGCTCTATATTTCCCTTGAGGCAGCAAACTCGGGGTCCCTCCCTCATACCTATTGCTGAGAGAAGCCTCCTCCTGAGGTGCTTCCGGAAAGTTGGCATACGTCTTGAGCCTAAGCCAGGGAATCAGCTCTCATCTCGAGATGATTTGGGGTACACGGGGCATTCCTCGAGTTGCTGTGCTGAAGTTGGTGTTCCTCTAGTCTTGGGACAGTGTTCTCGGGGCATCTCTGGATTTTCCTGAATGAAGTCGAGCCACCGGTCGTGTTGAATGGGGAACGGGGAATGGCTCTGGAGTCAATGCAGGGGAATTGGGCCTCATCTCGAGTTGATTTGGGGCACATGGAGCTGCTTTGCATTGATGGGGGACCTCAGGGTCCGTCTAGACTGGTGACAGTGTTCTTGGGGACTGTCTCGTGATCCATTAAGCAAGTCGAAGCTCCTGACTTGTTTGAATGTGATCACGGAATAGCTCTGCATGCACTGCAGGGGAATGGGGTCTCATCTCGCCTCTAGGGGGAAGTCTCATGGTTTTTTTCGAGTTGCGGCGGGGACCTGGGTTATGTTCTCGACTTACGGCGGGGATGGCCCTTCAAAACACGAGTTTCTTCAGTGACGTCAGGACTCCTGTCTAGTAACGAGGGACACTTCAGGAATCTCCTCGAGGCTTGGCAGGGCAAAAGGGACACTTCTCGAGGTGAGGCAGGGCACCCAAGGACCCTTTCCAGTAGCCACAGGGATTTTGGGATTCCTATCAGTATTCAAGAGGAGTCAGGCGTCATCACCTTTTGAAGTAATGAACTCCGAGTACCTCTCGAGGAGTCAGCGGGATGTGAAGCATTCCATCAAAATGAGGCAGGGACCTAGGGCTTTCTCTAAGGTCTCCACAGGGGATTCAGACATCCCTTCATGTTGTGAGATGAAAGACGAGCCTGTATTCAAGCCACTGCAAGGAAATCCGGCCTCCTTTCAAGTTAGGGCTTCTCGCTCTATATTTCCCTTGAGGCAGCAAACTCGGGGTCCCTCCCTCGTACTTATTGCTGAGAGCAGCCTCCTCCTGAGGTGCTTCCGGAAAGTTGGCATACGTCTTGATCCTAAGCCAGGGAATCAGCTCTCATCTCGAGACGATTTGGGGTACACGGAGCATTCCTCGAGTTGCTGTGCTGAAGTTGGTGTTCCTCTAGACTTGGGACAGTGTTCTCGGGGCATCTCTGGAGTTGCCTGAAGGAAGTCGAGCCACCGGTCGTGTTGAATGGGGAACGGGGAATGGCTCTGGAGTCAATGCAGGGGAATCGGGCCTCATCTCGAGGTGATTTGGGGCACATGGAGCTGCTTTGCGTTGCTGGGGTGACCTCAGGGTCCGTCTAGACTGGTGACAGTGTTCTTGGGACTGTCTCGAGAATCATTAAGCAAGTCGAAGCTCCTGACTTGTTTGAATGGGATCACGGAATAGCTCTGCATGCACTGCAGGGAAATGGGGCCTCATGTCGCCTCTAGGGGGAAGTCTCATGGTTTTTCTCGAGTTGCGGCGGGGACCTGGGGTATGTTCTCGACTTACGGCGGGGATGGCCCTTCAAAACACGAGTTTCTTCAGTGACGTCAGGACTCCTGTCTAGTAACGAGTGACACCTCAGGAATCTCTTCGAGGCTTGGCAGGGCAAAAGGGACGCTTCTCGAGGTGAGGCAGGGCACCCAAGGACCCTTTCCAGTAGCCATAGGGATTTTGGATTCCTATCAGTATTCAAGAGGAGTCAGGCATCGTCACCTTTTGAAGCAATGAACACCGCGTGCCTCTCGAGGTGTCAGCGGGATGTGAGGCATTCCGTCAAAATGAGGCAGGGACCTAGGGCTTTCTCTAAGGTCTCCACAGGGGATTCAGACATCCCTTCATGTTGTGAGATGAAAGACGAGCCTGTATTCAAGCCACTACAAGGAAACCCGGCCTCCTTTCAAGTTAGGGCTTCTCGCTCTATATTCCCCTTGAGGCAGCAAACTCGGGGTCCCTCCCTCATACCTATTGCTGAGAGAAGCCTCCTCCTGAGGTGCTTCTGGAAAGTTGGCATACGTCTTGAGCCTAAGCCAGGGAATCAGCTCTCATCTCGAGATGATTTGGGGTACACGGAGCATTCCTCGAGTTGCTGTGCTGAAGTTGGTGTTCCTCTAGACTTGGGACAGTGTTCTCGGGGCATCTCTGGAGTTGCCTGAAGGAAGTCGAGCCACCGGTCGTGTTGAATGGGGAACGGGGAATGGCTCTGGAGTCAATGCAGGGGAATCGGGCCTCATCTCGAGTTGATTGGGGGCACATGGAGCTGCTTTGCATTGATGGGGTGACCTCAGGGTCCGTCTAGACTCCTGACAGTGTTCTTTGGGACTGTTTCGTGATCCATTAAGCAAGTGGAAGCTCCTGACTTGTTTGAATGGGATCACGGAATAGCTCTGCATGCACTGCAGGGGAATGGGACCTCATGTCGCCTCTAGGTGAAGTCTCATGGTTTTTCTCGAGTTGCGCCGGGGACCTGGGGTATGTTCTCGACTTACGGCGGGGATGGCCCTTCAAAACACGAGTTTCTTCAGTGACTTCAGGACTCCTGTCTAGTAACGAGGGACACCTCAGGAATCTCTTCGAGGCTTGGCAGGGCAAAAGGGACGCTTCTCGAGGTGAGGCAGGGCACCCAAGGAACCTTTCCATTAGCCACAGGGATTTTGGATTCCTATCACTATTCAAGAGGAGTCAGGCATCGTCACCTTTTGAAGCAATGAACTCCGCGTGCCTTTCGAGGTGTCAGCGGGATGTGAGGCATTCCGTCAAAATGAGGCAGGGACATAGGGCTTTCACTAAGGTCTCCACAGGGGATTCAGACATCCCTTCATGTTGTGAGATGAAAGACGAGCCTGTATTCAAGCCACTACAAGGAAATCCGGCCTCCTTTCAAGTTAGGGCTTCTCGCTGTATATTCCCCTTGAGGCAGCAAACTCGGGGTCCCTCCCTCATACCTATTGCTGAGAGAAGCCTCCTCCTGAGGTGCTTCCGGAAAGTTGGCATACGTCTGGAGCCTAAGCCAGGGAATCAGCTCTCATCTCGAGATGATTTGGGGTACACGGAGCATTCCTCGAGTTGCTGTGCTGAAGTTGGTGTTCCTCTAGTCTTGGGACAGTGTTCTCGGGGCATCTCTGGAGTTTCCTGAATGAAGTCGAGCCACCGGTCGTGTTGAATGGGGAATGGGGAATGGCTCTGGAGTCAATGCAGGGGAATCGGGCCTCATCTCGAGTTGATTTGGGGCACATGGAGCTGCTTTGCGTTGATGGGGTGACCTCAGGGTCCGTCTAGACTGGTGACAGTGTTCTTGGGGACTGTCTCGTGATCCATTAAGCAAGTCCAAGCTCCTGACTTGTTTGAATGGTATCACAGAATAGCTCTGCATGCACTGCAGGGGAATGGTGTCTCATCTCTCCTCTACTGGGAAGTCTCATGGTTTTTCTCGAGTTGCGCCGGGGACCTGGGGTATGTTCTCGACTTACGGCGGGGATGGCCCTTCAAAACACGAGTTTCTTCAGTGACGTCAGGACTCCTGTCTAGTAACGAGGGACACTTCAGGAATCTCCTCGAGGCTTGGCAGGGCAAAAGGGACACTTCTCGAGGTGAGGCAGGGCACCCAAGGACCCTTTCCAGTAGCCACAGGGATTTTGGGATTCCTATCAGTATTCAAGAGGAGTCAGGCGTCATCACCTTTTGAAGTAATGAACTCCGAGTACCTCTCGAGGAGTCAGCGGGATGTGAAGCATTCCATCAAAATGAGGCAGGGACCTAGGGCTTTCTCTAAGGTCTCCACAGGGGATTCAGACATCCTTTCATGTTGTGAGATGAAAGAGGAGCCTGTATTCAAGCCACTGCAAGGAAATCCGGCCTCCTTTCAAGTTAGGGCTTCTCGCTCTATATTTCCCTTGAGGCAGCAAACTCGGGGTCCCTCCCTCGTACCTATTGCTGAGAGCAGCCTCCTCCTGAGGTGCTTCCGGAAAGTTGGCATACGTCTTGATCCTAAGCCAGGGAATCAGCTCTCATCTCGAGACGATTTGGGGTACACGGAGCATTCCTCGAGTTGCTATGCTGAAGTTGGTGTTCCTCTAGACTTGGGACAGTGTTCTCGGGGCATCTCTGGAGTTGGCTGAAGGAAGTCGAGCCACCGGTCGTGTTGAATGGGGAACGGGGAATGGCTCTGGAGTCAATGCTGGGGAATCGGGCCTCATCTCGAGTTGATTGGGGGCACATGGAGCTGCTTTGCATTGATGGGGTGACCTCAGGGTCCGTCTAGACTCCTGACAGTGTTCTTTGGGACTGTTTCGTGATCCATTAAGCAAGTGGAAGCTCCTGACTTGTTTGAATGGGATCACGGAATAGCTCTGCATGCACTGCAGGGGAATGGGACCTCATGTCGCCTCTAGGGGAAGTCTCATGGTTTTTCTCGAGTTGCGCCGGGGACCTGGGGTATGTTCTCGACTTACGGCGGGGATGGCCCTTCAAAACACGAGTTTCTTCAGTGACGTCAGGACTCCTGTCTAGTAACGAGGAACACCTCAGGAATCTCTTCGAGGCTTGGCAGGGCAAAAGGGACGCTTCTCGAGGTGAGGCAGGGCACCCAAGGACCCTTTCCAATAGCCACAGGGATTTTCGGATTCCTATCAGTATTCAAGAGGAGTCAGGCGTCATCACCTTTTGAAGAAATGAACTCCGCCTACCTCTCGAGGAGTCAGCAGGATGTGAAGCATTCCGTCAAAATGAGGCAGGGACCTAGGGCTTTCTCTAAGGTCTCCACAGGGGATTCAGACATCCCTTCATGTTGTGAGATGAAAGACGAGCCTGTATTCAAGCCACTACAAGGAAATCCGGCCTCCTTTCAAGTTAGGGCTTTTCGCTCTATATTCCCCTTGAGGCAGGAAACTCGGGGTCCCTCCCTCATACCTATTGCTGAGAGAAGCCTCCTCCTGAGGTGCTTCCGGAAAGTTGGCATACGTCTTGAGCCTAAGCCAGGGAATCAGCTCTCATCTCGAGATGTTTTGGGGTACACGGAGCATTCCTCGAGTTGCTGTGCTGAAGTTGGTGTTCCTCTAGTCTGGGACAGTGTTCTCGGGGCATCTCTGGAGTTTCCTGAATGAAGTTGAGCCACCGCTCGTGTTGAATGGGGAACGGGGAATGGCTCTGGAGTCAATGCATGGGAATCGGGCCTCATCTCGAGTTGATTTGCGGCACATGGAGCTGCTTTGCGTTGATGGGGTGACCTCAGGGTCCGTCTAGACTGGTGACAGTGTTCTTGGGGACTGTCTCGTGATCCATTAAGCAAGTCGAAGCTCCTGACTTGTTTGAATGGGATCACGGCATAGCCCTGCATGCACTGCAGGGGAATGGGGTCTCATCTCGCCTCTAGGGGGAAGTCTCATGGTTTTTCTCGAGTTGAGGCGGGGACCTGGGGTATGTTCTCGACTTACGGAGGGGATGGCCCTTCAAAACACGAGTTTCTTCAGTGACGTCAGGACTCCTGTCTAGTAAGTGAGGGACACCTCAGGAATCTCTTCGAGGCTTGGCAGGGCAAAAGGGACGCTTCTCGAGGTAAGGCAGGGAACCCAAGTACCCTTTCCAGTAGCCACAGGGATTTTGGATTCCTATCAGTATTCAAGAGGAGTCAGGCGTCATCACCTTTTGAAGCAATGAACTCCGCGTGCCTCTCGAGGGGTCAGCGGGATGTGAGGCATTCCGTCAAAATGAGGCAGGGACCTAGGGCTTTCTCTAAGGTCTCCACAGGGGATTCAGACATCCCTTCATGTTGTGAGATGAAAGACGAGCCTGTATTCAAGCCACTACAAGGAAATCCGGCCTCCTTTCAAGTTAGGGCTTCTCGCTCTATATTCCCCTTGAGGCAGCAAACTCGGGGTCCCTCCCTCATACCTATTGCTGAGAGAAGCCTCCTCCTGAGGTGCTTCTGGAAAGTTGGCATACGTCTTGAGCCTAAGCCAGGGAATCAGCTCTCATCTCGAGATGATTTGGGGTACACGGAGCATTCCTCGAGTTGCTGTGCTGAAGTTGGTGTTCCTCTAGACTTGGGACAGTGTTCTCGGGGCATCTCTGGAGTTTCCTGAATGAAGTCGAGCCACCGGTCGTGTTGAATGGGGAACGGGGAATGGCTCTGGAGTCAATGCAGGGGAATCGGGCCTCATCTCGAGTTGATTTGGGGCACATGGAGCTGCTTTGCGTTGATGGGGTGACCTCAGGGTCCGTCTAGACTGGTGACAGTGTTCTTGGGGACTGTCTCGTGATCCATTAAGCAAGTCGAAGCTCCTGACTTGTTTGAATGGGATCACGGCATAGCTCTGCATGCACTGCAGGGGAATGGGGTCTCATCTCGCCTCTAGGGGGAAGTCTCATGGTTTTTCTCGAGTTGGGCGGGGACCTGGGGTATGTTCTCGACTTACGGAGGGGATGGCCCTTCAAAACACGAGTTTCTTCAGTGACGTCAGGACTCCTGTCTAGTAACGAGGGACACCACAGGAATCTCTTCGAGGTTTGGCAGGGCAAAAGGGACGCTTCTCGAGGTGAGGCAGGGCACCCAAGGACCCTTTCCAGTAGCCACAGGGATTTTGGGATTCCTATCAGTATTCAAGAGGAGACAGGCGTCATCACCTTTCGAAGAAATGAACTCCGCCTACCTCTCGAGGAGTCAGCAGGATGTGAAGCATTCCGTCAAAATGAGGCAGGGACCTAGGGCTTTCTCTAAGGTCTCCACAGGGGATTCAGACATCCCTTCATGTTGTGAGATGAAAGACGAGCCTGTATTCAAGCCACTACAAGGAAATCCGGCCTCCTTTCAAGTTAGGGCTTCTCGCTCTATATTCCCCTTGAAGCAGCAAACTCGGGGTCCCTCCCTCATACCTATTGCTGAGAGAAGCCTCCTCCTGAGGTGCTTCCGGAAAGTTGGCATACGTCTGGAGCCTAAGCCAGGGAATCAGCTCTCATCTCGAGATGATTTGGGGTACACGGAGCATTCCTCGAGTTGCTGTGCTGAAGTTGGTGTTCCTCTAGTCTTGGGACAGTGTTCTCAGGGCATCTCTGGAGTTTCCTGAATGAAGTTGAGCCACCGCTCGTGTTGAATGGGGAACGGGGAATGGCTCTGGAGTCAATGCAGGGGAATCGGGCCTCATCTCGAGTTGATTTGGGGCACATGGAGCTGCTTTGCGTTGATGGGGTGACCTCAGGGTCCGTCTAGACTGGTGACAGTGTTCTTGGGGACTGTCTCGTGATCCATTAAGCAAGTCGAAGCTCCTGACTTGTTTGAATGGGATCACGGAATAGCTCTGCATGCACTGCAGGGGAATGGGGTCTCATCTCGCCTCTACGGGGAAGTCTCATGGTTTTTCTCGAGTTGAGGCGGGGACCTGGGGTATGTTCTCGACTTACGGAGGGGATGGCCCTTCAAAACACGAGTTTCTTCAGTGACGTCAGGACTCCTGTCTAGTAAGTGAGGGACACCTCAGGAATCTCTTTGAGGCTTGGCAGGGCAAAAGGGACGCTTCTCGAGGTAAGGCAGGGAACCCAAGGACCCTTTCCAGTAGCCACAGGGATTTTGGATTCCTATCAGTATTCAAGAGGAGTCAGGCATCGTCACCTTTTGAAGCAATGAACTCCGCGTGCCTCTCGAGGTGTCAGCGGGATGTGAGGCATTCCGTCAAAATGAGGCAGGGACCTAGGGCTTTCTCTAAGGTCTCCACAGGGGATTCAGACATCCCTTCATGTTGTGAGATGAAAGACGAGCCTGTATTCAAGCCACTACAAGGAAATCCGGCCTCCTTTCAAGTTAGGGCTTCTCGCTCTATATTCCCCTTGAGGCAGCAAACTCGGGGTCCCTCCCTCATACCTATTGCTGAGAGAAGCCTCCTCCTGAGGTGCTTCCGGAAAGTTGGCATACGTCTTGAGCCTAAGCCAGGGAATCAGCTCTCATCTCGAGATGATTTGGGGTACACGGAGCATTCCTCGAGTTGCTGTGCTGAAGTTGGTGTTCCTCTAGACTTGGGACAGTGTTCTCGGGGCATCTCTGGAGTTTCCTGAATGAAGTCGAGCCACCGGTCGTGTTGAATGGGGAACGGGGAATGGCTCTGGAGTCAATGCAGGGGAATCGGGCCTCATCTCGAGTTAATTTGGGGCACATGGAGCTGCTTTGCGTTGATGGGGTGACCTCAGGGTCCGTCTAGACTGGTGACAGTGTTCTTGGGGACTGTCTCGAGATCCATTAAGCAAGTCGAAGCTCCTGACTTGTTTGAATGGGATCACGGAATAGCTCTGCATGCACTGCAGGGGAATGGGGTCTCATCTCGCCTCTAGGGGGAAGTCTCATGGTTTTTCTCGAGTTGAGGCGGGGACCTGGGGTATGTTCTCGACTTACGGAGGGGATGGCCCTTCAAAACACGAGTTTCTTCAGTGACGTCAGGACTCCTGTCTAGTAACGAGGGACAACTCAGGAATTTCTTCGAGGCTTGGCAGGGCAAAAGGGACGCTTCTCGAGGTGAGGCAGGGCAACCAAGGACCCTTTCCAGTAGCCACAGGGATTTTGGATTCCTATCAGTATTCAAGAGGAGTCAGGCATCGTCACCTTTTGAAGCAATGAACTCCACGTGCCTCTCCAGGTGTCAGCGCGATGTGAGGCATTCCGTCAAAATGAGGCAGGGACCTAGGGCTTTCTCTAAGCTCTCCACAGGGGATTCAGACATCCCTTCATGTTGTGAGATGAAAGACGAGCCTGTATTCAAGCCACTGCAAGGAAATCCGGCCTCCTTTCAAGTTAGGGCTTCTCGCTGTATATTCCCCTTGAGGCAGCAAACGGGGTCCCTCCCTCATACCTTTTGCTGAGAGAAGCCTCCTCCTGAGGTGCTTCCGGAAAGTTGGCATACGTCTTGATCCTAAGCCAGGGAATCAGCTCTCATCTCGAGACGATTTGGGGTACACGGAGCATTCCTCGAGTTGCTGTGCTGAAGTTGGTGTTCCTCTAGTCTTGGGACAGTGTTCTCGGGGCATCTCTGTAGTTGCCTGAAGGAAGTCGAGCCACCGGTCGTGTTGAATGGGGAACTTGGAATGGCTCTGGAGTCAATGCAGGGGAATCGGGCCTCATCTCGAGGTGATTTCGGGCACATGGAGCTGCTTTGCGTTGCTGGGGGTACCTCATGGTCCGTCTAGACTGGTGACAGTGTTCTTGGGGACTGTCTCGAGATCCATTAAGCAAGTCGAAGCTCCTGACTTGTTTGAATGGGATCACGGAATAGCTCTGCATGCACTGCAGGGGAATGGGGCCTCATGTCGCCTCTACGGGGAAGTCTCATGGTTTTTCTCGAGTTGCGGCGGGGACCTGGGGTATGTTCTCGACTTACGGCGGGGATGGCCCTTCAAAACACGAGTTTCTTCAGTGACGTCAGGACTCCTGTCTAGTAACGAGGGACAACTCAGGAATTTCTTCGAGGCTTGGCAGGGCAAAAGGGACGCTTCTCGAGGTGAGGCAGGGCACCCAAGGACCCTTTCCAGTAGCCACAAGGATTTTGGGATTCCTATCAGTATTCAAGAGGAGGCAGGCGTCATCACCTTTTGAAGAAATGAACTCCGCCTACCTCTCGAGGAGTCAGCAGGATGTGAAGAATTCCGTCAAAATGAGGCAGGGACCTAGGGCTTTCTCTAAGGTCTCCACAGGGGATTCAGACATCCCTTCATGTTGTGAGATGAAAGACGAGCCTGTATTCAAGCCACTACAAGGAAATCCGGCCTCCTTTCAAGTTAGGGCTTCTCGCTCTATATTCCCCTTGAGGCAGCAAACTCGGGGTCCCTCCCTCATACCTATTGTTGAGAGAAGCCTCCTCCTGAGGTTCTTCCGGAAAGTTGGCATACGTCTTGAGCCTAAGCCAGGGAATCAGCTCTCATCTCGAGATGATTTGGGGTACACGGAGCATTCCTCGAGTTGCTGTGCTGAAGTTGGTGTTCCTCTAGTCTTGGGACAGTGTTCTCGGGGCATCTCTGGAGTTTCCTGAATGAAGTTGAGCCACCGCTCGTGTTGAATGGGAACGGGGAATGGCTCTGGAGTCAATGCAGAGGAATCGGGCCTCATCTCGAGTTGATTTGGGGCACATGGAGCTGCTTTGCGTTGATGGGGTGACCTCAGGGTCCGTCTAGACTGGTGACAGTGTTCTTGGGGACTGTCTCGAGATCCATTAAGCAAGTCGAAGCTCCTGACTTGTTTGAATGGGATCACGGAATAGCTCTGCATGCACTGCAGGGGAATGGGGTCTCATCTCGCCTCTAGGGGGAAGTCTCATGGTTTTTCTCGAGTTGAGGCGGGGACCTGGGGTATGTTCTCGACTTACGGAGGGGATGGCCCTTCAAAACACGAGTTTCTTCAGTGACGTCAGGACTCCTGTCTAGTAAGTGAGGGACACCTCAGGAATCTCTTTGAGGCTTGGCAGGGCAAAAGGGACGCTTCTCGAGGTGAGGCAGGGCACCCAAGGACCCTTTCCAGTAGCCACAGGGATTTGGGGATTCCTATCAGTATTCAAGAGGAGTCAGGCGTCATCACCTTTTGAAGAAATGAACTCCGCCTAACTTTCGAGGAGTCACCGGGATGTGAAGCATTCCGTCAAAATGAGGCAGGGACCTAGGGCTTTCTCTGAGGTCTCCACAGGGGATTCAGACATCCCTTCATGTTGTGAGATGAAAGACGAGCCGGTATTCAAGCCACTGGAAGGAAATCCGGCCTCCTTTCAAGTTAGGGCTTCTCGCTGTATATTCCCCTTGAGGCAGCAAACTCGGGGTCCCTCCCTCATACCTATTGCTGAGAGAAGCCTCCTCCTGAGGTGCTTCCGGAAAGTTGGCATACGTCTTGATCCTAAGCCAGGGAATCAGCTCTCATCTCGAGACGATTTGGGGTACACAGAGCATTCCTCGAGTTGCTGTGCTGAAGTTGGTGTTCCTCTAGTCTTGGGACAGTGTTCTCGGGGCATCTCTGGAGTTGCCTGAAGGAAGTCGAGCCACCGGTCGTGTTGAATGGGGAACTTGGAATGGCTCTGGAGTCAATGCAGGGGAATCGGGCCTCATCTCGAGGTGATTTGGGGCACATGGAGCTGCTTTGCGTTGCTGGGGGTACCTCAGGGTCCGTCTAGACTGGTGACAGTGTTCTTGGGGACTGTCTCGAGATCCATTAAGCAAGTTGAAGCTCCTGACTTGTTTGAATGGGATCACGGAATAGCTCTGCATGCACTGCAGGGGAATGGGGCCTCATGTCGCCTCTAGGGGGAAGTCTCATGGTTTTTCTCGAGTTGCGGCGGGGACCTGGGTTATGTTCTTGACTTACGGCGGGGATGGCCCTTCAAAACACGAGTTTCTTCAGTGACGTCAGGACTCCTGTCTAGTAACGAGGGACACCTCAGGAATTTCTTCGAGGCTTGGCAGGGCAAAGGGACGCTTCTCGAGGTGAGGCAGGGCACCCAAGGACCCTTTCCAGTAGCCACAGGGATTTTGGGATTCCTATCAGTATTCAAGAGGAGTCAGGCGTCATCACCTTTTGAAGAAATGAACTCCGCCTAACTCTCGAGGAGTCACCGGGATGTGAAGCATTCCGTCAAAATGAGGCAGGGACCTAGGGCTTTCTCTGAGGTCTCCACAGGGGATTCAGACATCCCTTCATGTTGTGAGATGAAAGACGAGCCTGTATTCAAGCCACTACAAGGAAATCCGGCCTCCGTTCAAGTTAGGGCTTCTCGCTCTATATTACCCTTGAGGCAGCAAACTCGGGGTCCCTCCCTCATACCTTTTGCTGAGAGAAGCCTCCTCCTGAGGTGCTTCTGGAAAGTTGGCATACTTCTTGAGCCTAAGCCAGGGAATCAGCTCTCATCTCGAGATGATTTGGGGTACATGGAGCATTCCTCGAGTTGCTGTGCTGAAGTTGGTGTTCCTCTAGACTTGGGACAGTGTTCTCGGGGCATCTCTGGAGTTGCCTGAAGGAAGTCGAGCCACCGGTCGTGTTGAATGGGGAACGGGGAATGGCTCTGGAGTCAATGCAGGGGAATTGGGCCTCATCTCGAGTTGATTTGGGGCACATGGAGCTGCTTTGCGTTGATGGGGTGACCTCAGGGTCCGTCTAGACTGGTGACAGTGTTCTTGGGGACTGTCTCGAGATCCATTAAGGAAGTCAAAGCTCCTGACTTGTTTGAATGGGATCACGGAATAGGTCTGCATGCACTGCAGGGGAATGCGGCCTCATGTCGCCTCTAGGGGGAAGTCTCATGGTTTTTCTCGAGTTGCGGCGGGACCTGGGGTATGTTCTCGACTTACGGCGGGGATTGCCCTTCAAAACACGAGTTTCTTCAGTGACGTCAGGACTCCTGTCTAGTAACGAGGGACACCTCAGGAATTTCTTCGAGGCTTGGCAGGGCAAAAGGGACGCTTCTCGAGGTGAGGCAGGGCACCCAAGGACCCTTTCCAGTAGCCACAGGGATTTTGGATTCCTATCAGTATTCAAGAGGAGTCAGGCATCGTCACCTTTTGAAGCAATGAACTCCGCGTGCCTCTCCAGGTGTCAGCGGGATGTGAGGCATTCCGTCAAAATGAGGCAGGGAACTAGGGCTTTCTCTAAGGTCTCCACAGGGGATTCAGACATCCCTTCATGTTGTGAGATGAAAGAGGAGCCTGTATTCAAGCCACTACAAGGAAATCCGGCCTCCTTTCAAGTTAGGGCTTCTCGCTCTATATTCCCCTTGAGGCAGCAAACTCGGGGTCCCTCCCTCATACCTATTGCTGAGAGAAGCCTCCTCCTGAGGTGCTTCCAGAAAGTTGGCATACGTCTTGAGCCTAAGCCAGGGAATCAGCTCTCATCTCGAGATGATTTGGGGTACACGGAGCATTCCTCGAGTTGCTGTGCTGAAGTTGGTGTTCCTCTAGTCTTGGGACAGTGTTCTCGGGGCATCTCTGGAGTTTCCTGAATGAAGTCGAGCCACCGATCGTGTTGAATGGGGAACGGGGAATGGCTCTGGAGTCAATGCAGGGGAATCGGGCCTCATCTCGAGTTGATTTGGGGCACATGGAGCTGCTTTGCGTTGATGGGGTGACTTCAGGGTCCGTCTAGACTGGTGACAGTGTTCTTGGGGACTGTCTCGTGATCCATTAAGCAAGTCGAAGCTCCTGACTTGTTTGAATGGGATCACGGAATAGCTCTGCATGCACTGCAGGGGAATGGGGTCTCATCTCGCCTCTAGGGGGAAGTCTCATGGTTTTTCTCGAGTTGCGGCGGGGACCTGGGGTATGTTCTCGACTTACGGCGGGGATGGCCCTTCAAAACACGAGTTTCTTCAGTGACGTCAGGACTCCTGTCTAGTAACGAGGGACACCTCAGGAATTTCTTCGAGGCTTGGCAGGGCAAAAGGGACGCTTCTCGAGGTGAGGCAGGGCACCCAAGGACCCTTTCCAGTAGCCACAGGGATTTTGGATTCCTATCAGTATTCAAGAGGAGTCAGGCATCGTCACCTTTTCAAGCAATGAACTCCGCGTGCCTCTCGAGGTGTCAGCGGAATGTGAGGCATTCCGTCAAAATGAGGCAGGGAACTAGGGCTTTCTCTAAGGTCTCCACAGGGGATTCAGACATCCCTTCATGTTGTGAGATTTAAGGCGAGCCTGTATTCAAGCCACTGCAAGGAAATCTGGCCTCCTTTCAAGTTAGGTCTTCTCTCTGTATATTCCCCTTGAGGCAGCAAACTCGGGGTCCCTCCCTCATACCTATTGCTGAGAGAAGCCTCCTCCTGAGGTGCTTCTGGAAAGTAGGCATACGTCTTGAGCCTCAGCCAGGGAATCAGCTCTCATCTCGAGACGATTTGTGGTACACGGAGCATACCTCGAGTTGCTGTGCTGAAGTTGGTGTTCCTCTAGACTTGGGACAGTGTTCTCAGGGAATCTCTGGAGTTGCCTGAAGGAACTCGAGCCACCGGTCGTGTTGAATGGGGAACGCGGAATGGCTCTGGAGTCAATGCAGGGGAATCGGGACTCATCTCGTGTTGATTTGGGGCACATGGAGCTGATTTGCATTGCTCGGGTGTCCTCAGGGTCCGTCTAGACTGGTGACAGTGTTCTTGAGGACTGTCTCGTGATCCATTAAGAAAGTCGAACCTCCTGACTTGCTTGAACGGGATCACGGAATAGCTCTGCATGCACTTCAGGGGAATGGGGTCTCATCTCGCCTCTAGGGGGAAGTCTCATGGTTTTTCGCATGGTTTTTTTTGCTGAGAATGGAGATTGGTAGAGCCACTATGAAAAACAGTATCAGTTCAGTTCAGTCCCTTAGTTTGTCTGACAGTATGAAGGTTCTTAAAAGACTAAAAATAAGAGTTACCACATGATACAGTCATCTTACACTTGGGCAAATATCCAGAGAAAAACATAATGTGAAAAGATCCATGTTCCCCAATGTTCGTTTCAGCACTATTTACAATAGCCCACAGACAGAAGCAACTAAATGTTCCTCGATGGAGGAAGAGATAAAGCATATGTGGTTCATGTTTACAATGGAATATTATCGACTCTTAAAACGAACAAAATAATTCTATGTGTGAAACATGGATGATCCTAGGGAATGTCATACTGAGTGAAGTCTGATATAGAAAGACAAATATCATATGATGTCACTTACATATGGAATCTAACAGAATGTTACATATAAACCTATTGACAGAAATAGAGCCTCAGATGTAGAGAACAAACTTATGGTTACCAAAGAATGGTGAAGGATAAATTAGGATTGACAAATACACTCTACTATACATAAAATACATAAAGATCTACTGGAGAGCACAGGGAACTCTATTCAATTCTTTGTAATAACCTACATGGAAATAGAATCTAAGACACGAAGGTATACATAACTGATTCACTTTGCTGAACAGCAGAAACTAACAGAACTGTAAAGAATGATATTACAATCAAAATTTAAAATCATAAAACAATGAATCAAGACACATAAATATAAGAACTGAAAACACAGAACCTCATCTCACTCCCACAATTATTATAACCACTGTTCGTTTTTCTGACCCTGATGCTTCCTCAGCATATACAGGATTTTAGCCAAGTTCCCTGGCCATGGTGCAAATGGGTGGCGGGGAGGGAAGCATTCTCAGTGTTTGGGGGATAGAAGACAATGTGGGCTGGCGCTGGCTGTGCTGAGCAGACCAGCCCTTGGACTGACTCCCACTGACACCTACTGCCCACCTGAACCCTGTCTCCCAGGGCTCAGGGACATACCCAGTGTCATAGGAGCAGATGATTGGCTACACAAACACTGACATCACATGGAAGGATCAACGTGATTGGAAAATATCTCTGATCATGTTATATAGATTTTCCAAAGGACTTTCAGAGAGACAGTTACCTATAGATGGATGAGGGGGAGAGAAGAAGAAACAAAGGGGCTGGCACAGAATTTCACCCATCCATATCCAGCTGGTGCAGTGGTAAAGAACCCACTTGCCAATGCAGGAATCACATGAGACACGAGTACTGTCCCTGGGTTGAGAAGATGCCTCTGGAGTAGGAAATGGCAACCTACTCCAGTATTCTTGCCAGGAAAATCCCATGGACAGAGGAGGCTGGGCTGTAGTCCATGGGATCACAAAGAGTTGGACTTGACTGAGCGACTGAGCACACATATGTGTCACAAGGGACAACCTTCAAACAGTGGCTCACCTTCCATGTGTTACTTGTAATGGCTTTTCACTAGTTTCCAAATGTAACTGGAGATGAAAAGCATGTCCACATATTTTAAAGAAATTGCCCTAAGTTTATCAAACATGTTCTGAGGAAGTTTAACTTGAAAAGGACACTTTTGAATGGGGCAGTCAGTCAGTTCAGTGGCTCAGTCATGTCTGAGTCTTTGCAACCCCATGGATTGCAGCACAGCAGGCTTCCCTGTCCATCACCAACTTCCGGATGCTCTGCAAGCTCATGTCCATTGAGTCAGGGCTGCCATCCAGCCATCTCATCCTGTGTTGTCCCATTCTCCTCCCGCCTTCAGTCTTCCCTAGCATCAAGGTCTTTTCCAATAAGTTGGTTCTTCACATCAGGTGGCCAAAGTATTGGAGTTTCCACTTCAGCATCCATCCTTCCAATGAAAAGTCAGGATTGATTTCCTTCAGGATTGACTAATTGGATCTCCCTGCAGGGTTTGCCATAAGCGGGTACACACTGCCCTCTGGTGGCCGCGTGAGAAATAGCAGGAGCACTGCTGGGCTCCATGGGTCTGTATGCCAAAGAGGCCAACAATCAGTTGAAAGCTTCACAGTCTTGCTATGAGAGTAAACCAAATTCTGCAAGTCTCAATGTTTGGGGGCTGCCGTCTAGGGGAAATCGCTGTCTTGACTATGACACAATACATCACTTTCCAAGTGCAGAATTTCAGAGAGTGATGGTTAAGCACCTGAGTTAGGCCCTGGGACCACAACAGAGAATCGAGAGGAGGTGGCCACCTCTTGGGACCGGCAGGAAAAGGGTGGGACCGTGCTGGGTGGGATCACTTGCCTGCCTGCAGTCATGTGAGGAGACCTGTGTACACAGTGCCTGGCAGCCGGGCAGAAAGTCTCAGGGCACCAGTCAGCTGCCTGTGCTGCTTCTCAGAACTACAGACATGTCCCCTCCAGACACACGCCCACCACTCTCTGCATAGAGCTCCACCGAGCACGCAGACCCCTGACCACCTGCCAGCTTTGGGTCCACACTGGCACAGAGCAGAGCACTTCAGGGATCCTGCTTCCCCACTGCCAGCCCATCCTCAGGTGTGATTGTGACAGCACGCCCTGGTCACCATGTGCCCAGCAACCCACTCCTGCCCAGACGGAGTACCTCCTCTCATGTCCCACTTTCCCGCACATGGAGATAAGGGCTGCTGGCGCTGCCCAGAGACGGCTCCCAGTGTCGGCCAGGCCTGCTGTGGCCAGCTCCCGGTTGACTGGGATTACCTTAGGTGACCTCATGGTAAAAGACCAGAGGCATCCAGGCTGAGTGCTGAACTGCCTGAAACATCTGAAAAACCTCTCCCTCCACGGTTTTCTGAAGCAGAAGCCCTGGCCAGTGGAGACACAGCTGGAGAACATCCTTCTGGATGAAGACTCTCCAGCCAAGCGATCCCCAACTGGCTGCGGTGCTGGGGCTAGAAGGTGGGTGCCTGGTTACAGGGTTCCTAGTTCTCTTAGGGTCTGCTGTTCAGGAAGTGACTTCACCACCCGGTGATCCCTTCCTTGGATTGACAGTGGACACCCCTGCACATAGCCCTCAGGATACTGACCGCTCATCCCTCATCCGTGCAGCCCCAGGCCTCAGACAGTTGCACCACACAGCCCTCCACACAGCTCCCGGGCAGGCTGTGTGTGCAGCTCTGAGTTGACAGACCGGGGCCCAGACTCACCTCACATTTCCTACCTGTTCTCCATCCTGGATGAGTCCCTGTCTTTCAAAGCCTGTCGGTGTCCCACCTGCACAGCGGGGATGACGCCCGCATGGACTTCTAGGGATGTCCTCAGACAGAGGTGGGACAACACCTGGAACAGGTTGGAGTCCTGTCGCAGGAAATCAGTGCCTCCAACACCTGTATATTTTTCTTATTACCTTCTTCACATCTGTTCCTCTTCTGAGCCCAACCCACAGTCCTTAGTAATTGTCAGTGTGAATGTGCATGTGTGAGTGTATCCCAGTGCTCACTATGGTAGGCCAGAAGAAAACTGCCCCTGTAAGGAGGAATAGGTAACAGCTTCCTAAGATCTCAGGGTTTCTAATTTCCAAAGCAAATCTATTGAGAGGGGTCTCAGCTTTGGCCAAGGAGATCAACACACTGTGACACAAGACACTCAAGTTGGCAGGGGCTAGAGCTGGGTTGACAGACTCAACATCGTCTGGCCCCACTGTGCACACACATACCCGCAGTACAGGATGTGATGACACAGCTGCCTTCACGGGACTCACAGCCCAACAGGCTCTCATCTCAGGCTGGACACAGAGAGGCCCAGGGCCAAACTGGTGCTCACAGCCTGTCGTCTGCCACACAGACTTGACCATCCCATCTGTTGTGGCCTTTATGTTCCTGTCCTGAAATCACTCTGTCATTTTTGAGATTGCACACAAGCACACCATTTCAGACTCTTGCTGACGATGATGACTACTCCATTTCTTCTAAGGGATTCTTGCCCACAGTAGTAGATGTCATGGGCATTTGAATTAAATTCACCCATTCCAGTCCATTTGAGTTCACCGATCCCTAAAATGTCAATGTCCACACTTGCCATCTCCTCTTGGACCACTTTCAGTTTACCTTGATTTATGGACCTACCATTCCATGTTCCTATGCAATACGGTTCTTTATCACATCACACTTGACTCCCATCACCAGTCACATCCAGAACTGGGTGTTGTTTCTGCATTGGCGCCATCCCTTCATTCTTTCTGGAGTTGTTTCTCCAGTAGCATATGGAGCACCTACTGACCTTGGGAGTTCACCATTCAGTATCATATATTTTTGCTTTTCATACTGCTCATGGGAATCTCT